TTCGTGTGGAACGAATCTTCTTCTTACTAGTACTTTTCAGCAAGACCTTGAAGAGTCGATACTTAGAAATGGGATGTCGGCAATCGGGGCATAAAGGCTCGGAGCCATTGTTCGTTTGAAATTCAATATGTTCGAGAATGCAGTGGAAACAATATTGATGCCCGCATTCCGTCAATGTTAATTCACCTATTGAGATGGGTGCTTGAGTGCAAATAGAACACTCTGAATCCTCGATGTGTACTTTCGCATAAAGCGAATACAACTTCTCTTTCATCATTGTCTCAGACCAAAACTTTTCCTTCTTAATGGGCTCCTCAAACGCTGCCAATTCCTCTTTCCAGGAATCATCAAGTTCTGAGCTAGCAGCAACAAGATCTGGATGGCAACAAACTTGGCGTAAGCGAAGAATATGTGTGAGGATTTGAGTATATTTCTTTAAAAGTTCACCACTTTTCAAACCTTCCTTGAAGGAGTTATATGCCCTGGATTTGAAAAAATCATAGAAAAGCTGCTCGCGGTCACTAAATTCTAATTCCTCAACAACAACCTCTTTACTAGGAAGATCAATCAACGGCGTTCCATCTTTTTGTTTCATATTTTTTGTTCTTCTCAAAAAAATCGGTTGTAAGATAGACTTAACAACATCCAAAGTTTGTTGGAACTTTTTCTGTTCAAAAGGTAGAGTAACGAACGTTTTCCAGTATGAAAAGTTGCTCCACGGTTCAAGCCTCAAGAATTTGACCAACGAAAAAATGTCATCTAGTCTATTAACGACTGGTGTGCCTGTCAAAATCCATTTCCTTCTCAGCTCGAGCTCATGTACAGACTTTGCAGTTTTCGTCGTCCGGTTACGAATATTGTGACCTTCATCCACCACAATCCTGAAGAACTCAACGGAGAATAGTCCTATTTTTGGAAGCTTTCCATTAGCATCACGGAGTTTGTTTATACGTGTCCATTCGCTTTGCACCGTTCCATATGTTGTCAAGAGAACAATAGGGATATTCTCCGATCTGTTACAAAGAAGAAGCGACAAATCTGTCTGCACCAGATCGCCATAGTAAATGTGGCACCGATGATTAGAGTTTTTGTTAGAGCGATCGAACTCTTTTTTCCACTGTGATAAAAGGGACATGGGGACGATAATTAATGTGGTTTTAGAGGCATAGTTCCGAGTACCTGTACGAGCAGTAGCAGAGTCGTATGGGACAGAATGAATTAATGAAAGTGTCAGAATTGTTTTGCCTAGACCCATTTCATCAGCCAAGATACCTCCCTTGAGAAAGGATTTTAAAACAGGCTTTTCTGTGGATAACTCACCATTGTACAAGTTAGCATAGAAAAATTCCAGTTCACTAGTCAGTAAATCCGGATTTGCCGGGTCTTGGGGCCATTTAAATGTACTCCATAAAGGGTCCATTACTTCGTCATCCTGATTGCGTATGGCCTGTCTTTTCTGCGTAGAAAGTACTTCCGAATTATTCACGGACAATTCTTCGAGCAAATCAAGTTCCTTTTCACGAGAGAGCATCCACGAGAGACCATGTTTCTGATAAGGCCGTAAAGTCAACGCAAAGTTTTCTTCAGGCGGTGTAGTGGTCTCTGGCAAGTTTTCGAGGAAATCTGACTGTTGGTTTGCCGTATAGAACTGTTTTAATTGTTCAAGACTGAGTTCCTCTGTGGGTGCTATTTCCGGCTTGGGAGTACTGGAAACGGAACTATCGTCGTCGGGGATTTCTTCGGCGTCCGTATTGACAGAAGACTTGTCGTAAGGTATTATGGATAGCTTATCAAACAAACGAGAGATGGATTTCTGTTTGAGGCGTAAGGCAGCCTCAGCTTCAGTTTCTTGGCTGAATGTGATTCCAAGTTTGGCCGTCTTACGTCTTTTTGATTGGCTATTCTCCTCTTCACCGACCACTTGTCCATGGTCCACAAAAGTGTTATTGTTAAGGTAACACTTTATCTGGAGGAAAAACGGATCACCTATCGAAAGCCGTCCTTTAGTTTCCATGATAACAGAGGCTGAAAAGTTTGCAATCTCCAAGTCAATAAGTGGAGAAAGAATCCGCGTAATATCTTCCGGAAGACGTCCGATTTCTCTAGATCCGTCTGCTTCCGAAGTGTACAAGCGAATGACAGCAGAGTCGCCAAACTTGGAAGCGACAATAGACAGTTTCTTCATCTTATTGGGAATTAATCGTTTCAACTGTAGCTCTTGCTGATACCGTAGACTTCTTAAATAGGGCCGTGTAGCCCAAGCTTGGACGTCCAAAGTCCCAATATACCGTTTCCAGCCCATAGCCTTTTTCATTTCGGCCTCGTTTCTTGCTTCTGTATTCATACGTTCCATAACTTGCTTGAGTTCTTCGCGTTTATCCTCCTGAACATTCTCACTCGCTTCGCCACTCGATTCATCGTCAAAAGATATCCCGTTAAAGTATTCGTTAGACGCAAGCTGGATGTAATTCGGTCGGTTGAAGTATTTGGCGTACAAATGTCTCATTGCCTTCATAGACGCGTCTCCAATCACAGACAGAAGCTGGCTTTGAAAAAGCTCAAAGCCAATATCGGAAAGCAGAGGTTCAGCGGGAGTCGGAGCTTCTAGATTGTTCGGCAAAGGCTCTCTTCTAGGGACAGTTTGAGGAACATCCACGGAAAGTTGTTGGGCAGAACCGTTTCTTGTGGCCTGTGACGCCTGATGAGGTTCAACTTCTAAAATTTCATCTTCATCTTCTACGAAAAGAGCTTCTTTCAGCGGGACGGTTTCAGCCGGATTCGGCGAGCGCAGCGGACTCGGGAAAAACCGCTTTTTTCCTTCCATAAATTTTAGAGATGCAAAAAGTTTCAGTGGAGGCGTTAGTACATCGCGTTGCTCTAGGTATATATGCATTCTATGGTACAGTTGATCTGCTTATGTGCAAAAATGGGGAAATGCGAATATTGTCGCTTGACAAAATGGATGGATCAAGACGTTTGTGTCTTTTGATAGATAGGTCGTTACTATTGATCGAATCCCGGGGATTGTCATCAACAGAAACGTGCCTCGAATTTCTTGTTTTGTCGACATTATTTCGTCAGGCCAGAAATGGGTGGCAGACTTGAGCAAAACATTCAGAAAAGAATACCAGCCGGGTCAAGCGAGGTTGCAAGTACAGTGGGATCCACATTATTGGCGTCGCACCAACCTCTGAGAGCACGACGCTCCAAAATCACCTCTTCGGCCTCGAATAGAACACCCATGTATTCCAATGCTAGTAAACAGTCGTCTTTTCGAAAGCCTGTTTTGTCGGCCAAATCTCGTAGCGACACACTTTCTGCAGTAGAAAAATCATTCCAGATCACAAACGCAAGGCGTTTAGCCCAGAATCGAAGATATGTTGCCTGGCCAAAAGGCGAGAGCGGGAATTCTGGCCCCAGGCGAGCTTGGCCGGGGGTGACTCGCGCCAAAGCATACAGAAACTCCACTAGTAAAGACCCCAAGCGAAGCCTCTGGAACGGCGGGAAAACACAGATACATGCAAGGTTATTGTCTTCGTCCCAGGCATTCACCTCTTTGGAGAAAAAGCCCATGGGCTTTAGGCGTGCGCGCTCGCCCGCATCGTGATTTGTCTCAGGCGCATACACCACATAGAAGTCAAAGGCGTCTACATTGTAATAGACGGACTTGTCGTCTAGAAAAAGCTTGCCGAAAAGCGCCAAGTTCTGGCAGAAGAGTTCGTGGCGGAAACCGCGGATCCTTTTGATGACGCGCCGTGATTTTGAGTCAGCGTATACCAACGTTCCAAGCGGCGGGTATGCCTTATTGAGCGGGCAGATGGCGCGGTGCTGAGCCATTAGGGCGCGGTCTGTACTGTATTTGAAGCAAAAGTCGCACACATAGAGACAGTCGAGCCAAAAATGGGGCGCGCGAACTGGCGCGCTTTTCCGTCGACCGGATATGCAGCAGTCGACGCCCAAGTCGCTCGAGCCGGGAGAAAAATACGCGCCGTTGCCGTACCAGGTATTGAAGTCGTAGTCGCCAAACGAAACTCGCTCGATGTTGCGCTCCGCGAGAACTCCGTACTCAGACATGTGGGAGTGAAAACCGCCGGTCTTAAGGGCGAGTTGACGGACAGCAGAATTGATGGGCGGACATTTCGAGTAGATGTGATCTTCGGCCGGTGCAGGATTTCGCCTCAACACGACTCTTTTATTTGAGTTAGAGCCATTTGCAACTTGATTTGCAGCACCAGCGGCTATGACGTTTTTAAAAAAGTATCGTGTGTTTCAATGTTAGGTGAATTTTTGTTTGTGGTGTTTGTAACGTTTGGTCTCTTTTGTGGCCCTGATGGCGAAGAATAGCAAAATGAAATTGCAATGGACTGCAAACCATGGAAACAAAAAGTCAAGCAAATGTGTAATAGGTACAATGAGAGCAAATGGAATGAACTAGACGATACGTTCATGTACGGCAAAAAAGAGGGAAAGAAGGTTGGCCCAACCAAGAAGAGAACAGAAGAGAACAGAAGACAACAGAATAGAACAGAAGAGAACAGAAAACAAAAGAAGACAAAAGAAGAAAAGAAAGACAACAGAAGGACAAAGAAAAAAGGAACAAACCAGTCAATGTCCAACCTAATCTAGAAGTGCCCGCTTGAAGCTTGAATAAAGGCCAGGCCACCTGCACAGAAGCTCTCGATGGCCAAGTTTCTGGAGTAAAGCCGTTACTCCACATGATTAGTCAAAACATTTTTGAAACGTTCCATACACTTCTCGAACGCCGCTAATGCATCTCTGCGCCACTGAAGCAGAAGTTGTGGCCCAAAAAGGAAATGGAGTCATGAAAGAGCGATATGTGCCCGTAACAGAGTGATTTGTGCCCCAAGCATGACGAACGCTAAAACCTCGCATCTGCATAGAAGCATCGAAAGTCATTGTTTGCCGTACTAAAATGCATGGTTCCATGCAGGTATCGCACAATGCCCGCACGCGAAAAAAACGCACTTGGTATATAAGAGGCTCTTGTATCGCCTTGGTACACTTTTCATTACTTATAAACACAAACACACAAATCCAATCTACAATGTTGAACTACCAAAACTCCGACTGCTCCTGCTCTTCTTGCAAGTGTTCTACTTGCTCCTGTTCTTCCTGCAAGTGCTCTCCTTGCTCTTGCCAAACTTGCAAGTGTGAGGTTTGCAAGTGCTCTTCTGCCTCGTGCTGCAACTAAAGGGTTCAATAAAAATTCACATGGGAAGTTTGCTTTTAATTATGACATAGGAAAATAAAATGTTTGCTTTGACTATTTGCTTACGTAGCTTCCATCTTGTAGCAATGTATCTATTATTCACATCTTTGTGTCTCAAGAGGCCCAGTATGAGGATGTACGGGTGCAAAGGGCCCATACGCGTACTCTTTTGATCTCAAGAATTACATCAAAGAACTACCACTAATGCCACCAAAAGGTTGGAGAAAAAACCAGCAGGGCAAGTTCCCGCAAAATCCAAAGGATACGGAACTTGTGTCGATCGATGAGATTCTTTTCCCAAAATCAACCATCGCCAAACTAGCAAAACAGATCACGTCGGGCGAAAATGACGCCAACATGATCTTATCCAAGGACTCGCTAGTGGCACTTCAAAGGGCAGCCACCGTGTTTGTGTCTCATTTGCTGTTCCATGCGAGGAACTTGGCCAAAGACGCCGACAGGAAGAACTTCAATGCTCAAGATGTATTACACGCTTTAGAAAAAGCCGAGTTCATGGGCTTCGTGCCTGAAGTAAAGCAGAAACTCGCAACCTTCGAGAGAAACTCCGAGGCTAAAAAACTCAAAAAAGCAGACACCAAGGCACAGGTGCCTATATCTCTGGATGAAGGGCCAGCAGCTAAGAAATTGAAAGACAACACATTGAAGTCTGTCGATTCCACGGTGGATCCTGGAGATGAAACCGCACAAGATGAGGAAGAAGACGATGATGCAGACACGAGGACGCTTGAGGATGAGGACGAGGATGACGAAATTGATGCACCAGAAGAGGATTCCGAGCATCGCGATACGAAAACAATCTTGAACAAAGATGCAGATCTCACGGTGGATGACACAGAAGGTGCTGATGGTTCCGATACCGAAGGTCAGATTGCATAGAATGATGTCAAGGGTTTTGTTAGAGACGTTGAATAGCAAAATCTGGAATCGAAATGCAGATTAAAGAAGCACTACGCTTACTCGTTCATTACAGCTTAGACTTGGTTTCCCTTTTGTTGCATATTTGATATCATGGAAGGCGCAAGATCTCGTGAGTGAGTTAGCAGCTATGATGAGCCATAAACTACAGAAAGTTAGTCGCCAAGGACACTTTTTAGACCATGATCATGTTTCTTTGTTCGGTCAACATTTGTAATCTTCACTTCCAGTGACTCGCGTGTGGCAGTAACCGAGACAAAGGTGTCAAAAAGAGAGGCTCGCCCAGAATATATGTTTCTGCTACCACTTCAGCTTCTTAGTGAAAACATTTCAGCATGAAAGGATATCCACACTCAAAACCGAAAAACAAGTAGAGTAAGACCGCAAGGCCGCCACTAAGCATGGCTATAAGTCGAACGTTATTCCACCACATCTTTCTTCTCACAGAAAGAGCGCTTTTCTGGAAAACTTGCGCTGAAGATGTAAGTCTATCAGTCTGGTCCACCAAAGAGTTCACTTTATCCCCTCTGCTAAGGAGCTTATTGATGTTATCAAGCATAAGCGAACGTACTTCATCTACTTCTTCGTTTGCTGCTACCAACTGATTTGGAGTAATCACATCTGAGCTCTGTTCGCCATTTCCATGATTGTCATTCGTAGAGCCATAGTTGTAAATGTGCAGATTTGTGTCATACTGCATTTCCTCGAAACGAATGATTTGCGTCATGTACAACTTGAACTCGCCCAATTTTGTTTTTGCCTGTTGTTCAGCCGACAGATTGCCGTCTCTTTCAGCTGCGTTCAGAATATCTTCTCGAAACTCAAAATACTTGTCCATGATCTTTTTAAGCACAGACAACACTAACGTTTTGTTCACCTGTTGATGTGCTAGGGTCACCACTGTCACCAAATCGTTACTGCCATCTGGGTTATTGAGCGTTTTCTTCATGAAATATAGTATAAGCGATGTTTTCGTCACCGAGGCATCAGTATAGATTGGAATCAGCCCTACCAATGTCTTTGAAGCATTTATAAGCCCGAGCTCCTGCGAAATAAGTTCAGAACAATTGAGGTTTGAGATAGCATGCACCAACTTTGCATTTTCAGTGGTGTATAGCGTCGTAGAATTGAGCGTAAGTGTTGTGTGGATTACTAAGGAAACGTTAGTAGGAGCAAAAGAGCAAGAAAAAGAAAGCCGAGCTACTTACACTGCTTGTATAATTCGGGAGAAGACATGGATGCTGATTGCTCTTGATTAGACTTGCCAAAGTGTGATAAAGAGCAGAACAGTTATCTGCAGGACACTAGCCGGCTACGGTCATACCTTTATTTTTTCAACCTTTCGCTTTTTATTCATTTTAGGTGACGACTTTTCAGGTTGAAAGGATGGTACTGGGAACAATGAATATCACATTTTTGTAGGTACTTTTGTTGTTGTATTATTTCTGTTATGCATATAGTGAGAGCTAAAGTTTACTCTAGCACAATTACCAGGACTGGTGGAGAGAAAAAAAGGTGGTAGTTCGGTTACGACGGGGTAAAAAAACTATACCCCAAAGAGTCCCCCTTGTTTCTTTTCTCTTTTAGCAAGATGATGGATAGACTATGGAAATGTGGAGATGAGGTCACGTGCACCACTCTTCTCATCGCCTGAAAAACGCATCTTAGCTTACCCAAAGAAATACATATCTGGGTATGGGCAAGTACAGAAAAAGATTCAATGAAAAGGCCCGCTCAGGCATGCTTGCCAAGCAAGCTGCTCTCAAAAAAGCCCGAAACAAGCAATTTACCAGGCATTTTGAAGACGGAAATGACACTTCCAATGTACCTCAAGAAACCGCTGTTGAACAAGATCCAAATGCCGACATCTTGAAACCAATGACCGAACAAGAGAAAGAGGAACGTAAGAAAAGACTTGCAGAGAACCTCTATCTGGAGAATGAAAAAGAATCGAAAATGTCCAGAGCAAAACGGAAGCGTTTGGATAAGTATATTGAGCACCAGATCAAGCGAGAGGAAAAGAAAGTATTATTGGAAAAATTGGCTGAGACAAAGGTTGACACCTCAATGTTTGCTCCCTCAAAACTACTAGGAACTGGAAAACAAACCAGAAGAGAAGAGATGATTGAGGCATTAGAGCTTGAAAGACAAGGTAGAGGAAACGAAAGAACAAAGGACATTTTATATGAAGAGAGAGATGTCAAGGAGTGGTCAGAAGAGGATGATGTTTCGGACCATGCCGATAATGGGAATGAAGAGGAATCGGATTTCGATGACGACTTCACTTCAACTAACTCTACCTTTGTTGATTATAGACCTCTGGCCAGTGGTGGATTTGGAAGTGGATTTGGATTTGGAAACTTGCCCAAGAAGACGAAAACATCCACAACTAAAAAGTATACTTGGAGATTGAAAGTTGAGCGGGAAGAGAAAAAGAGGGCCAAGATTGAGGACGAAAACGATTTTATTCTGAGTGACGAAGAGGATCAAGACGGATCTGACTCTGAAGGCCACGAAACAGACAAAGAGAGTGGTAGTGAAGAATCAAACTCTGGCGTCTCTTCTGAGATTGAAAGTGGTTCGGAAAAGGTTGCTTCAAAGGAGAGTCATTCTGAAGAAGAACAAGAAGATTCTGATGAGAGCACTGGCGACTCCGAGGATGAATCTGAAGACGAATCTGAAGATGCCTCTGAGGAGGAAGAAGATGAAGAAGAAGAAAGTGAACTGGAGCAACCTCGTCTTCTTCAAAATAAGCCAAAGCATTCTAAAGTCGCTGAATCGTTTAAGGAATGGGCGGAAGAACAAGTTCGTAAACTTGAAGGCAGAACAGAAATGGTTCTTCAAGAACTTAAGCCCGAAACTAAAGAAAAATACTCTAAAGGTGTCCATAATGACAAAGCATTTTCTGACGATGAGGATTCAGTTCCAATTAACCCCAACTTGCAAAGAGATGCATTTTTTGTCAATGTTACTAGATCCCCTGAGATTCAACAACAAAGAATGCAGCTTCCGGTTTTCAGTGAAGAGCATCGTATTATGGAGGCCATTCATCATCATGATTGCATTGTTCTCTGTGGTGAAACCGGTTCTGGTAAAACTACGCAAGTTCCTCAATTTTTGTATGAGGCTGGATTTGGCAATGTGAAATCCTCTATGTATCCAGGAATGATTGGAATCACGCAACCTAGAAGAGTCGCTGCTGTCTCCATGGCAAATCGTGTTGGGGCAGAATTGGGAGATCATGGTGCAAGAGTAGGCTACCAAATCCGATTCGATACCACAATTAAAAATGAAGGAACTGAGAACGGAACTGCAATGAAATTTATGACAGACGGTGTGCTTCTTCGTGAAATGATGAACGATTTCCTTCTCACAAAATACTCCGCATTAATTATAGACGAAGCCCACGAAAGAAATATCAATACCGATATTCTTATCGGCATGTTGAGCCGTGTGGTGAAACTTAGAAGAGAAAAAGACAAACCTTTGAAACTCATCATCATGTCTGCAACTTTACGTGTCTCTGATTTTTCCGAAAACAAACAATTGTTCAAGTTGGCACCACCTATCTTAAAAGTGGAGGCTAGACAGTACCCCGTTTCAATTCATTTTGATAAGAAGACGAAGTTCGATTATGTGGAACAAGCTTACAAAAAAGCATGCAAAATTCATAAGCGATTGCCTCCTGGTGGAATTTTGATCTTTTTGACCGGTCAAAATGAAATCACAACTCTCGTTAAGAGATTGCGAAACGAATTTCCGTTCAACACTAGAAAAAAACAATATGTTGAAGATGAAAACACAGAATACAGGGTAAGTAATAATGTTGCGATGGAAGCAGAAGATGTGGACTTAGATATTGCTTTGCGTGAACGCAAAGAAGAAGAAATGGAAGAGGGATCAGACTCCGAATCTGATTCAGATGAGGAGGAAGGTTTTGAAGAAACTTTAGAAGAAGGTCAATCAGAAAATGACCCCCTTTATGTTCTTCCTCTTTACTCGCTTCTTCCAACAAAGCAGCAGATGAAGGTTTTTGAGAACCCACCAGAAGGAAGCAGAATGTGCATCATTGCAACTAACGTTGCCGAAACATCTTTGACCATTCCAGGAATACGATATGTTATTGATTGTGGCCGTTCCAAGGAAAGAAAACTCAATGAGGAAACAGGCGTCCAGTCTTTTGAAGTTGACTGGATATCCAAAGCTTCGGCCGGTCAAAGAGCTGGTAGAGCTGGTAGAACAGGACCTGGACACTGCTATAGACTATTTTCGTCTGCATTATACGAGGAGTTTTTCCCACAGTTTAGCAAACCAGAAATTTTGCGGATGCCAGTGGAAAGCACAGTTTTGACCATGAAAAGTATGGGCATACATCAGATTGTGAATTTCCCATTCCCAACTCCTCCAGAAAGAAGAGCCTTGGCCAGGGCTGAAAGACTTTTGATAACTTTGGGTGCGTTGGATAAGAAGACGAAAACCGTGACAGAATTAGGAAAAACAATGGCATTCTTTCCTCTCAGTCCACGGTATGCAAAGATATTAATTGTTGGCAATCAACTCCAGTGTTTGCCATATGTTATCGCCATTGTTTCTGCGTTATCTGTGGGTGATCCTTTCCTTGACGAGTACGAGCTTGGACTTAAACAGGAAGCTAAACAAAAGTCAGCAGGATACTCAAGTGATGAAGAAGAAGAGGAGGAGGAGGATGAAGCAGAAGTCCAGGCGGATGTTGAGCGCAAGAGAAGAATGAGAACAAAATTCTTCAAGTCAAGAGCAATTTTCGCAAGGCTCGATGAGAAGTCTGATAGTCTTCGTCTACTTTCTGCTGTTTGTGCATTTGACCATGTTCCGGAGGCCAAGAAGCTGCTGTTCTTAAATGACCATTTTCTCCGTGCCAAGGTGATGGAGGAGATCCAGAAGCTTCGTAAGCAAATTACCCATATTGTGCATGCAAATGCCAAAAAGGACACAATTGCCCATACGGAACAAAAGGGAGCCAAGTTGGGAATTCCTTCCAAACAGCAAGTATCGGCTTTGAAGCAAATCATTGCCTCTGGATTTATTGACCAGGTTGCTGTTCGTACTGATACCATAGATGCCGACTTCAAGCTTTCGAAGAAATCCAGCATCATCAGCGTACCATACTCGGTGACCGTTCCGCTTTCACAATTTGGGGATGAAGTTGATCCTCATGTCTACATTCATCCAAACTCTATTTTGGCAAGTTCGGGTCTGACTCCGCCAGAATATCTTGTTTTCCAATCCTTGAATAAGGGAAGCAACCAAAAAGAAAACCAAACCACAAAATTAAGATTAAAGCCATTGGTTGACATTTCAGGTAAGCAATTGGCTAACGTCGCCAAAGCATCTGGACTTGTCACATATTCCAAACCATTGGGTCATCCTTATGGGCCAAAAGAAATAACTCCTACTAAAAGAGAGTGTTACGTTGTCCCCCGCTATGGATCCGGTGTTGGAGATGGAAAATTGGGCTGGGATTTGCCGGTTATCAAAGTTGTTCAGACAAAGAAATTTGGTCTGTGGGTTACGGAAGAGTAAGGTGTAAGATTTTGAGAATAGGGTTAGAAGTAAGAAGACGCAAGTAGAAGAAATAGACAAAAAAGTGCATCTTAAAACTACCATGTCCAACCGAACACATGTGACTGTAAAACTAAGGCCGCTTAAGGAGAGTTGGGAGTGTCTAACGGCTCATATCAGATTTGTCTGTCACTGGACAGAATTTGTCTACTAAGGCCAGAAGACAATTCCAGGAGGAAATAAGTCCATTCTTCAGATCTCAATTAGTTGTACTAAGAAGTCAGATTGTATTTTGCTTTATTGTCGCTTGAGTTTTTATTTTCTGCCTTTCTATTTGTATGCTTTTCTTTCAGTTATTATTGCAACATAATGCAATGTCAATTTTGACCGCCAAGTAATGAGAAGTATGTCTGAAGACTTCCTGAATCAGTCGCACTCTGTATAGTAAACATCAACACTGAACTACTTCGCATCAATTTTTTCTTCACAACTTCAAACTTGATCGCTCTCCTCGCAGGTCTCATTTCATTATGGATAGCAGACGACTGTCCAGACCGGTGAGAAGTCATAATTCTTCCGAGCCCGAGCATGAAAGTCACCCTTTGATACCTGAGCATATTGTGGATCAGGCTTCGCAGCGGTTGTTTGTCGTTTCTCTTTTCGTCCTATTACAGTGCTGGAAAATCTACGATATCTTACTAGTCAAGGCCGATGCTTTTGCTGTCTCCTCCACAAACCACATGGAGGCTGCGGCTGTCCAGCATTTCACCTCGCTAAACAATTTTACATTGTATTGAAATATGCTTTCGTTGATGGCACGTTCCTATGGCTTCTCCCAGTCTTGAATATTCCATTGCTTACATTCACGCCAACATTCACACTCTTGCTTACCATTTTAATTAATGGTTTTACTTTCGTGTTAGCTAGTAATGCCGCATTGCCTTTTCTTTCAAGTCTTGTTCTTCCATTGTGGAACGCTGTTTCCAAAAACAAGGAATTGACAATCATGGGTGACTCGGCAACTTACCAAAATGTTGTCAATGTGAACGAACATTTCAAGGGTAAATACACCATTCAATACTTGCCCGCTTCGTCTGTGAAGCTCAATCCATTCCACTTCGAAAATATGTGTATCGAATCAAGCCCAGATTCGTCTTTTTTCCCACACTCAATACCGTTGCCTATCGAATTCAACACAACATCCGAGGTGGATTTCATTCAAATAAAACATATTTCTCCTTCCAACACCATCTCTCTTATGAATTATACCTCCCGTGATGTTCGGAAGCTAGCTAAACGTGACTACTCACATTTGACGGAATATCCTGGGTATGTTCTGAAAGATGATCGAGTCTTCTACTTGGAAGTGGATGTGACGAAGCCGGGAAGTTACTCCATACACAACGTTTTGGACTCTGATGGGATGAATATTCGCCCTTACAAAAACAGCTTCACCTTGGGCTATTGCCCGACTGCTCGATTTTCGTATCCTGGTCTAGAACTGGAATACATGGCATATAAGTGTATCGGTGGAAAAGACGATGACGAAGATTGGACACTTCCGTTGATTAGCACATACGGTGTTGGTCCCTTGAATGTGGAAATAGCCGCAATTTCAAATGGAAGGACAATCAGCAAGTTTAATGCCACCATATCTGGTGAGGAGTTGGATCAGGATGGACTTGGGTGGCTCCAGAGCCAAGAAATATCCAGAAACGGTTTAGAGCAAGAAATTTTACGTGATCCATCGCTATTCTACAAAGCAAAAGCTGGTACCCTTGAATTTCAAATTCTCGGCGTCTCTGATAAATTAGGTAACAGAAGACCTTACAACCCAGCATCAAAAGATAAGGATGTCAACTACGCTATTCAATTAAAGGAATCTGCAGAGGTGGCACTTGTCGATTTTAAACCTGGATCTCCGTTACTTCTTAACCAGACAAAAGCACTTTATTTTCAAACAAGTCAATCCTTATCTCCATCAGCTACCTTCATTGTTCAGTTTGAAGATGAAAAGTCTGCTAGAAAGGAAAACATCACCCTCACTTTCGCAAACTTAGACGAACTTAAACGTGGATTTTCCGTGAGCAAACCTGGGCGTTATTCTTTAATTGAAGGGCATGATAAGTTTTGTCCGTGCGGTGTCAACAGCGGGAAGCAAATTTCAATAACGACCCCAGATCCACCTTCCGTTTCTATTCGCGGATTGCCTTTGACTGATAAATGTGTTGGAACCGTGGGCTTTGAATTTACTTTCTCATTTACAGGGCAGCCGCCTTTTGAAGTAAATTATAACGTGTTCAAAAACAGTTCGGGTATTCTTAGACCCGTACTTAATGAAAGAGGATTGAAGGAGCACTCTAAAAAGTCTTCTGGCCACCGGTACCAGTTTCAATATAAGCCTCGCCAAGAAGGTAGCTATGTTTTGGTTTTCAAAAGTGTGAAGGATAAATATTACCAAACTATACCAGTCCTGATTCCTGAAGCAGAAAACACTTTTGCCACATACTTCCATCAGAGATCAAAGTATTATATTTTTGATGGCACTGGATCTAAACAACTATCTGTTTGCAAAGGAGGAGTGACAGAAATTCCTATTCATTTTGAAGGTAATCATCCTTTTGCCTTTAAATATTCTATTTCAGATCCTTCGGGGAAGATCGTTGCTCAAGAAACTGTCAAAGATTATTTTCAGGATTTTTATACAATAAGAACACCAGAACTCTCGAAACGTGGTGATTTCCAAGTATCTATTACGGAAGTCTCAGATAATCTTGGATGTCCCGTGGAAAGCTCGGAAAATGTTGTCGTTATCAAGGCACGTGGCGAAGCTCCGTCCGCCCAATTTGAGAAGAGCTCCTTTCATCAGATCGTTGAAGGTGATTCAGTCTCAGTTCCTCTTAAAACAGCTCATATCGTTGGATCACAAAGCAACAAACTTGTTTATAGTAAGACTGGTTTGCACGATAAAGCTTCATCAAAAGACTTGGTCCTTCAAGGCGCATCCACACTCCATCTCAAAGAAGAGGGTGTCTATCGATTGAAATCGTTCGAGAACGGTGGGTGTCCAGGTGTGGTAAGTGAAAGTGAAACTATTACTGTTCTGTTTGCTCCAAAACCTAACATTACAATTATCGCTGACACGAAGCAATCTTCAAGTTTTGCTCGCCTTGAATCGAGTTGTCAAAATGGTATAAGGAACGTTACCCTTCGCTTGGAAGGACAAAAGCCATTTGTTATTCCATATGTGGTTACATACCCGAACGGAAGGACAAGGTCATCTTCAATATCGATCGATGACTACGAAGTAACCATTCCCTTACCAACAAAGGAAAGTGGCAGTTACTTGCACGAATTTACAACCGTTTATGACTCGTTGTACACTCAAAAAGCCATGTCTCGCATATCAAAGCAGTCACCTGGTGCTACAGTTCAGTATGACGTTTTAGAGGCGCCCGATTTTTCTGTGGACCAGCAATACATTCAGCTATGTGAACGTGCTAGCACAAACAACATAGTTCCATTCAAGATTCCCGTGACATTTGAAGGAAAGTACCCTTTCACTGTTAAGGGAAGCATTAAAAAGAAGGAGAGCTTGGAAAAAGAAGCTTTTGAAATTTCGAACGTCTATGTGCCCGAAATTGACTTGAACAACGCCAAATTGAAACATGATTTCTCAGTTGGTGAGCACATTATTCAGTTTGACGAAGTGATTGACGGCAACGGGTGTGATCGTTCTTCCCTCGAGAAGCATAATACTGTTCTGGTATCCATCACAAAAGTTCCATCGATTTCTAAAAGCAGTACCAAAAGCTACTATTGTGTTGGGGACCATATCTCATACAATATGTCTGGCGTTTCCCCATTCACGATCTTTTACCAATTCAATGGACAAAATAGGAAAACAGAACTGGGGTTCGAATTCCAACGCTTGGCATCGAAAGCTGGTGAATTAGCGATTGTTGCATTACAGGATTCCTCGGCCACGCTGTGCCTAGTAAATTTTACGACAGACGGAGACGTGTTTGAGTCCTTGAAATTACGAGTGCGTGACTTGCCGTCAGTGGAAATAAGTCACGGCGACTCGATCATTGAAAACTTGAACGAGGGAGACCAGACAGAAATTACATTCAAGTTTACCGGTGTTCCGCCATTTGAGGTGACATACGTCAGAACTCTCGGCGAAGAAGAAGGAAGACACAAGAAGAGGAGAGGTGCTAAGGATGTTACTCGTGTGCCAAGGCGTATCGTGGACACAAAAACCATCCGTGACATTCATGGGTACGAGTATACGGAAGTTGTGGGCTTAGAAGGTACTTACGAGGCTATCCGTGTCTCCGATGCGTATTGCAGTGCCTCGCGAGATGTTAATGAAATCTTATAGTCCTGTTCAAGGACAGTGTAATATAGAAATAAATCTACTAGCAGTTCTAGAGCATATTAAGTAAAATGTGGAAAAAGTCACACAGCTTTAGACTTGAGCACAAGATACAACACCCAACCACAGTCGTCATTTCTTCCCGTATTTCCGAGTCAATTCTTCGATTATCTTGGACGCACGACTATCGTTATGATTTTTTGACTCGTTTTTTATAGGTGTCTGTTCCACGAAGTTTTTAGCGTATGCTGTATGAACAGCCTGTGCAAGTTTCACATCCAAGTCTGTTACATGGTTGCCCGCATCATGGGTTGTGATGACCAAGTCAATTTTGTTATATGTGTTTGTGATTGTTGGGTGGTGTCTTAGCCTTTGCGCTTGCAATGCAATCATATTTAGAAGCTCCCATGTTTTGGCAAAAGTTTTGAGTTTATACGTTGCCCGGATCTCCGAACTTGAATCATGGAACTGTGCACTCCAGTGTTCGTTTGGGAGCTGTTTGTTGATGATTTCAAGCTCTCTGGTGATTTCCTCTCGTGTAAGAGCCGAGGCACGAGCCGCCAAACGTGTCAATGTCTGTTTCATGGACCTATGGATTTTGTATGGGGAAATACGTCAGTGCGATAGTTGAAAGGTTCACGTGCGAGAATATGTGGCGCTTTTTACGTCAGAATCCACAAATGGGGCCCCGAATCCGCCGGCTAGATTATTTTGTAGGATGTCTCTTTCTCTTGCTTCTTTTCTTTTCTTGTCCCTTTTATTCTTTTTCATCTTTTGTTAGTCCATAATTGTTTGTGTTTTCCTTCACTCGCTCTCGCTTCTTCTTCCCCTCATGTTCATTCGCATCAACATTTCGCCTACTTCGAACCGTTTCCTTTCTGCAGGTCTGACGATCTGAATATCTACACCTTTCGGATATAATGGTCGCTGCTGTGTACATTCTCCATTGGCCCGATCCGGAATTGGAGTTCAGGCGTTCCGAGGTACTCTTGCACCGCAATTATGTCAATGACATTCCTGACGCCCATGCACTAGTCTCTCGCTTTAACCTCATATACAAAAAGTTGGAGGCCTACAACCGCAGCCCGTGCATCCATGACAATGGGCTCAACTACATCTATATCTGGGGTAAGAACGACATCATGTTTCTTACTGTTGCTCGCACCAACATCAACGTGATGCTGACCACGGTCTTTCTCAGTCAGTTTTACCTGATTCTTGAACGGTATTTCAAGCTGAAGTTGACGCATGGCACAAGCTCTGATTCACTGGGCTCTTCCGTCTCGCGAGATACGATTGTGGACAATTTCCCGCTCATATATGAGCTTTTGGATGAGTGTATGGACTTTGGAGTCATACAGCTCACTGATTACAATATTCTCAAAGAGTACATCAAGATGGAAGTCAACCTGGCAACGTTATCCCCTCTGCATGCAATTAGTGACTCTGAATCTGATATGGAACAAGAAACCAGCAAGAAATCAGACAAGTCAGAAAAGAAGAAGAAATCGAAAAAGAAAGAAGTCAAATCAACGCATAACCATGCTGTCCATGTGACAACGGCCACAGATCATCTCATAAACAGCTCGATTTTACGAACACAATCTCTGGCTGTCAGTTGGCGACCCAAGGGTATCTTCTATCTGAAGAACGAAATTTACATTGACATCAACGAGAGCTGTGAGTTTCTTTATGACCTTGAGTCGGACACTGTCAAAATCAACGAAGTTCGAGGGTATTGTGCTATCCGATCATATTTGTCGGGAATGCCAGTGTGCAAACTCGGGCTCAATGAAAAGTATATATCACAGGTGGAACATGAAGAGATTGAAGAGGATGAAAAGTTCGAGGAAGAGGAAGAGAAGATAAACATGGAAGGTAACATGCTTGTCCAGAATGAAGATGCAAACTCGGATGAAGAAGGCGGGATAGATGGAGAGACGGTTAAAACTGCGGAAGAGGATCAAAAGGAAGTTAAGGAAAAGATTGGCATTGTGAGTCAAGAAAAGGATGACGAAAATACACCGGCTCAACAGTCGATTGAAAATGAAACTTCAAAGAGCAGTGACTCGGAGAACACTTCAAAGAACAAAACAGTCCGCAAACTAAAAGTGCCCATCTCCAATGTCCAATTTCACCAGTGCACAGAACTTTCTTCGCTTTACAAGAAAAACTTAATTGTCTTCACGCCCCCAGACGATGAGTTTGAGCTTCTATCATACAAGGTGGAGCAGCGACGCCATCAAAAGAAGAAGCCACTTATTATGATCCAGCCCAAATACCGCATTCATGAACAGAAAGTGCAAATCATGTGCACACTTTCCACTAGCTTCAAACGAAGACTCCACTGTCGAAATCTAGTGGTGCGGCTTCCAGTAGACCCAAATATATTTGAGCTTGATGAAAGCGCTCAAGACGATTTCCGGTTTCGTGCCGAGTTGGGTGAAGTTCAGTACAAGGTTGATTCAAGTGAGATTTTGTGGAAAATCTCTGACCTTCCTGGTTCACGCCAATCGGTGCGGATGATGGCAGAGGTTGTGCTTGGGCCGCGCAAAGTGACTGAGGAAAGTGTGCGTGCGGTTTTCTTCAACCGCGACTCGACGTCGATGCGGCAGAATTCGCGCCCAGATTCGCTCACAGAGTTGGGCGAAGAACAAAGTGCGCGCGATTCTGCCCTTGAAGAATTGGACCGATACTATGGTGTTGGAGGCGCAAATACCACGCTGTTCCGTGCCGCACAAAGAGAAAATGGCCAGCTGGCAGATCGAAATGCCTCTGTGGAATTTGAAATTCCCATGTTCACGTACTCGGGTCTCAAAGTGACCTATTTGCGGGTGGACGAGGATGTCATGAAGTATACGTGCTTCCCATGGGTGCGCTATGTCACTCGTGGCGGGCGGGACTGCACACAGTACCGATTCAAGATGGGGCCGCTGTGTTTTGAGTGGAAAGAATAAATCGCCTGAATCTTCCGAGTTGAACGGAATGGATAAGTAAGGTCACACTCATTCTGATATGCGTGGAAACCTCGGATTCCATGTTTCATTGCGACGCAAGATACTGGCGCGGATCTTCTTACCTCTTTGGGAAGTGTTTTCCGGCACATCGTTATCGCACCCAAGCTAGATAAGATACGCCAACTACTAGTCTTCTCTAGCCATGAATGTGGAGCTAGACAAGCACGGGTTGCCTCTGAGAAAGTCCCGTAAAGGGTGCAATACCTGTAAACTCAAGCGACGCAAGTGTGACGAGCACAAGCCGTTCTGTTTCAACTGTCTTAAGCGGCAGATTCAGTGTGGAGGATATGCGACGCAGTTCAAATGGCGATCTTTCGACACGGAGGACGACAAAAAGGATACAAAGCCTGAGGGTAAAGACAAGGACCGCGAAAAGGGTGAGAAGAGCTCCAGCAAGAAGTTTGTCAAGAATGATGAAGACCTGTCAGACAAGAGGCTGAAAAAGACATTTGCTGGGACGCGAGGCACAACAAACATGGGCACCCCTGTCTCAAGGAGCACTTCAGAGTCCGGCTACGCTTCTGGTACCCACATGGATGCCTCTGGTAACGAGTATAACGTTCCTTCTGGTGCCAAGAGCAATGGAAAGGGCTCCAAGCCAGATGGTGAGTTTGTCTTCCCCGTCAAAGTTGAGCCAGCACTGTTGCAACATCATCTAGAACTAGCCTCCCTTTCTGTCGTTGGGAAATCTACACGCGATATCAAGTTCGACAATGAGCTCATTGCTCGTGGAATCAACCCTCACACATTCGAAGGACGCCGCCCCTCCGACGTCGGTCAACGCATGCAACGGACACGAATGTTACATCGAAGCGCAAGCCAGGGCGATGCACATGTGGAAATGGCAGCATTTCGCTGTGACGTGCGCCGGTCGTACACATTGGATTCGCTAGCAGAAGCGGCTGCGGACCAAATGCGCCGCCCAGACTCCAGCCCATTCGACATGGGACGATACATCAAACGTGCTACGCCGCCCGGATCTCCTGCAACCATATCGCCTCAAAGAATCGCGTCGGACCCGTTGCAGAAGCAAGGGGAGATTGAAGGCATGGACAATAGAAACCAAAACCAAAATGAGCATGCGTCTAATGGACAAAGTGACCTTGCTCCAAATGAACATAGCCTCACACAAGATCTTGCGCAAATGCAAGAATCTAGATCATTGGAAAGACAGAATGAACATGAAAGCATGCAACAAAATGGGCAACTGCTGACAAATCGGAGCCATCAAATGCTGAAAAACGACCAAATGAACAGACAAATGGGAAATGTGCACCTTATAGAAAACACACAGATGGACATTGAGGACCGTGTGACCAAGTTTAATGGACCGAAGTTCGAGGACATTTCTGGCACTAGTCCGAGGTTAGAAAACGGCGTGAAGTTCTCCAACGGTGGTGCCAAATTTCAGACCATGGGGCCAAAGTTTATGCCCAACATCGGGCCACTGCATCAGCATATGGGCTCTCCGCTAGAGTTGTCGCCGTTACCTGTGCAACTTACGCCATCCTTAAGCGCACTTCTCAGCTCGGTGTTCCCTGATGAGCGCAATGCACCAAGCCCTCTTGATTTGGTACTTGACGAACCGCTGCGTTTGCTTCTGGATGTTGCTCTTCGACTCGGATCGCGTCTCGCCCACGCCGCAGAACAGGAACAGATTTTGGCGCTCTATCTGGCACATACTTGCGGAATCATGTCGATCAAAAACGGAGCCCATGAAAACCCGTGGCGCACTGTTTTTGTTGGTCTTGCTGCTCAGCATCTGTATTTATTCAACCTGATTGCATCTATGACGCTTTTCCACCTCGCGGGGAACATTAATGTTCGTGAACATGCTGAAGCATTGCGTGCCAAAGGCTATGTCTACATGAAAAAGTGCATTCTCGAGTTGGCTGCACGGCTCTCTAAAATGGACACTGACTCCGAAAATGCCCTTCCTGCTGACATTGCGTTAGCAACATGCCTCAACTTGGCTGTGAGCGAGTCCTGGGATACCCACACCCTGAGCGGAATTGCTCATTTGAAAGGAGCGAAAAGTATGATTCACAAGGTTTTGGCGTGGGTTCGTGCACCCGAAACGAACCGTGCTGCGTGGCTTGCGGAGGCACGGCGTCACTTGGTACTCGTGTCGCCCGAAGAGTGGGCCCGTATCGGCACGGGCGAGGCTCGTATTGGAGCAGGCGACACACGAAGATTCGAACATGTTTCATCCACTTCGCCTGGGTCTAACTCCAACCAGATTTCGCCCGTGTCTGCGATGCCTGTATCTACTGGATCGAGTCTGATTCCTAGCATGGTTGACGCTTTTGTCCCTCGCAATCTCCAGTTGCTTTTCAACACATGGGTTTACTTTGATGTTCTCTCGCAAATGACCTCACACCTGCCTCACGATGACAAGGGCATTGATCTTGTGGCGGCAATTACAAAATCTGGACACGCAGAAGAAGAGTCGCCGCGCTCGGAAGATGCGCCGTTTGCCTTCTTCGAACTTGACCTGATGCTCCACAGCCCAGATCACGTCGATCCTCTTTTGGGATGTGCGCAGTCGCTTTTCTTGATCATGGCCCGTGTTGCCGCCTTGATAGGTCGCGCCCGCCAAACTCGCCCAGGACAGCGCAATTCTTTGGCCAATATCACTGCCGCAGCCGAGTTGCGCAAACAGTTGGTGGATTGGAAGCCAATGGTGTCGCTTCAGGCAGCCGAGCGCCATTCTTCAGGCGATAATTCTACGTGGGACTTGTATCTGTGTGTGGCTACAGCCGAGGCATATCGTCATGCCACGTTGCTTCACTTGTATCAGGCAGTGCCAGAAATTCCTCTGGTGGCTCCTCATCTGTTGGCGGAGAAAATCTTTGTTCTTCTTGCTGCAGTGCCGTCGCTGTCCAACGTGCACATTGTGCACATTTTCCCACTCTTGGTCGGGTCCTGTGAGGCAGAGCCGGGCGAAGAGCGCGAGTGGTGCGAGGCGCGCTGGGCGCTGCTCCGCGAGCGGCTCTGGATAGGCAATGTGGACCGCGCGCTCGAGGTGGTGCGCGAAGTTTGGCGCCGCAAGGACGAGGCGCGCGCCCGCGACGACGAATCATTTGACGACGAGGGCGCTTCGCACCGCTGCCATTGGGGCACTGTGATGCGCGAGTGGGGCTGGGAAGTGTTGCTTGCTTGAAGCCCGATGTTGTTGGATGCTGTTTTATATTTATTGGACTATGTCCGAATTCATAAAAGTCATCATATCATAGATGTAGCCTCGTGTGCAGTCCTATCGGATAAGGTGCACCGTTTTTGCTTGTATCTTAGAGCTTGATAACAAACCGGGCCATATCGGATTTTTGCTTTTTTCTGCATCTGAAGTGAGCGCCTCGTACCCTGCTCATCCTGCTTCCATTCTAGTGGCAGACGAATCATTTGGTATTTGATCTCCCCTGCTTTGTCCCGTATCCCTGACTTCCAATGAGATCAGTCAAAACGCGTTTTCGGCTTCTCTCCGACCCATTGCGCCCTGAGCGAATCGCAAAGTCGCAGGCGGACACCCGCTTTCCCAAGCCCTACCTTGTATCCTTCGACCTTTGGGACACGGTTTACACGCCGCGCAAACCGATTTCCCAACAGTACTATGAGATCTCGCATCGGGAATTCGGGCTACCGCTCTCGCTTGAAAGCATCGAAGAAAAATTCCCCATGGTGTACCGGGACATGGTGCAAAAATATCCCAACTACGGCAAGTACAGTGGGGAAATCCACTCGACCAACGACTGGTGGGCCGAGCTTATAGTGCGGCTCTACGATATTCCGCACTTCACCCAGAACAACGAGTCGCGGCGCCTCTGCGACCGCCTTCTCGCGCACTTTGGTTCGAGCGAAGCGTACTATTTGTACGACGACGTTTTGCCCGTCTTGGAGACGTTGTCGCGGAACGGGATCAAAATGATAGCCGCCACAAACTCGGACGACCGCGTGCTTGGGATTTTGCAGAGCTTTGGCTTGGCGAGATATTTCGAGTCGGTGCATATTTCCTACGATGTGGGCCACGCCAAGCCCGACCGTAGGTTTTTCGCGCGCGCTGCCCAGAAACACTTGAAGGCGCTTCAACAGCAAGACCCAAACATCACGGCAACAGATTTTTTGGAACGTGCGTGGCACGTGGGCGACCATTATGAAGAAGATTTTGTCGGTGCTGTGAAAGCCGGGTGGAATGGAGTCCTTGTAGACCGGGAGAAACGGTCGGTGTTCATGCAAAGTGCAGGACCGGCCCAACTTTCGAACGACTGTTTTTCGGGCGCGCAACCGTCGCTCGACTCGCAAGACCTCGTCATGATCGCCAATAACAGAGTATGTGTGAGTGGCTTGAAAGAATTTCTTCGGCTCTTTGACCTCAAGTGAGGCCTCAATTGTATGTCGATGTGCCTTTGTCAGCCACGTTGGCCCGTTCGTTGTATGCAAGTGGGTGCCAACTGCGCCTCTAAGTACTAACAACGCCATCTCTAATACATGGTGCACCTTCTCAAGAAAATCCACCCCGTCTTTAGATGTTATGTTTCTGCCACGGCTGTTCCTGTGTCTGCCATGGAATACGGTGCCACAGACTTCTTTAGTTCTCACTAGTTCTTCTGACTTTTTTAGTTCTCACTAATTCTTTGGCTGATTTCTCTAATTCTCGCTAGTTCTTCCATCTACTTCTAATTTCACTAATTCATTTACAAACAGCTAGTATGATCCTCGTCTTCTATATGTCTTCTGCTTGTTATGCTTGTATCAATTGCTCCAAAGGGGTTTGCAAAACACCCAGAAACCGGGCTCAGCTATAAATATCCGTGTTGAGGTGTGCACATGCCAGATCAAGGATTCCTGGGCGCATTCACATTCGGCAAATACTGAAAGAACAACACCACCGGAAATTGCACATTCAGAGACTGCAAACAAACAGATTGCATTCGGAGACTGTTTTTTAGAGATCATCTTGAGATTCCCAGAGCGCGTGAAAGCTAAACAGACAGTACTATCGCTAGTGAGGCTGAAAAACCCTAACCTGCAAACAAGCGTGGCTTTCGATATACCAAAATTTTCACTTCAAGCTGGCAATAGTGAAGCATCAAATTGCCACTCAACAAAGTCGACAGAACTACCTTCTTTTATTTTCACTCTCTTCAATCTTTTGACTAGACGAGAGTCTCATTTAAAGCCAAAGAGTTTCGATGCGCTTTTCTACCATCCAGGCACTTTCAGCACTTTCGCTATGTTTTCTTCGTGTTTTCGCCGTGACTCTTGATGTCGAGTCGGAAGACTCCATCTGTGAGGCCGCGTGGGAAGTGATTGTTGGCGAGCTCAACTACTACGAAGGTACAAAATACGGCGGCACTGTCGGCATGTTCTCCCCTCCCTATTATTGGTGGAATGCGGGCGAAGTTTTCGGCGGCTGGGTCGACTACTGGGCCTTCTGTGCTCAAGACAATGACACCTTTACAGAGCTTCTTTCCAATGCTATGTACCACCAGGCAGGTGACGATTTCAACTATATGCCTTCTAACCAAAGTATGACCGAGGGAAATGATGACCAGGGTGTTTGGGCAATGGCGATTATCCAAGCAGTGGAAAGAAATTTCACAAACACAGGCGACCACAGTTGGCTTTACATGACTCAGGCCATTTTCAACACCATGAAGAACCGTTGGGATACTACCACATGCGGCGGAGGCTTGAGATGGCAAATCTTCACGTGGAATCTGGGATACAACTACAAGAATTCCATCTCCAACGGATGTCTTTTCCATCTTGCTGCACGCTTGTACCGTTTCACGGGGGAAAAGGTTTATTTGGAAACCGCTGAAAAAGTATGGAACTGGATGTGGGATGTCGGCTTTATTCGTGACAGCCCTGAATTTATTATTTATGACGGTGCTGATGACACAGAAAATTGCACTGACTTGACCATTCACAAATGGTCCTACACTTATGGTGTCTACTTGGCGGGATGTGCATATTTATACAATGCAACCGGAAACGAAACCTGGGAGACTGGAGTGGCGCAAATCCTTGATGCTTCATCTTACTTCTTCAACAATTCCATCATGACTGAAACTACATGTGCTCAGAGTAACAGTTGTAACAATGACCAGCGTTCTTTCCGGTCCCTTTTTGCCCGCTGTCTCAGTTTAACGGCAGGTTTGATGCCTGAGCATTTCGACCAAATCTACAACAACTGGATTGTACCTAGTGCAAAGGCGGCTGCAGCTTCTTGTTCTGGTGGTAGTGATCATATAACTTGTGGTGAGAACTGGTCTGTAGATGGCTGGGATAACAAGTATGGTCTTGGAGAGCAAATATCAGCAGGCGAAACCATCATGGCTCTTATCACAAGTAAGAATACGCCATTGACGCCAAAGACAGGCGGTCTGGATGCCGGTGCCAGTGTGGATGCCGGAAATCTGACTTTGTCCAGTGTGAACCGGAACAAAATTACAATCACAGGAAAGGACCGTGCTGGAGCAGGTGTGCTTACGGCAATTGTATTGGGTGTCATTCTTGCGGGAGCTGTGTGGATGTTATTTTAACAGAAATGTATGTTCGCTTTTGGGTATTGTAAAAGATGAGAAGAAAAGACCGTTATTAGGTGAGGCTAAGGCCTATGAAAGTGAGGGGATCGCCGGTAAATGGGAGAAGCGAGTCAGTTTACTGTAGCTTTTATCAAGTCTATATTACGTGCTTCGGCCCCAAATAGAAAACAAAGAAATAGTAAGAAAGGTTCTAAATAGTAAGAAAGTCTCTAAATAGTAAGAAAGTCTCTAAATAGTAAGAAAGGTTCTAAATAGATAGAGAACACAAAGCAGGAGGGGCTACTTCTCGCGACTCTAAAGTAGAATGTATCACTAACTATACTCCTCTTTACTACATTGGCGACTCCAGCTCCTGCTCTTCTGGTTTATAATGTAACATCTGAGAGAAATTGTTTTCGAGAGGCAGATGAAGCCAACTTTGATAACATACACAACTAGTTTTAAACAGAAGTTTTAATGGCGGGAATGAGATTATTAACATACATAGAAAATGGTCAAAAAATAAAAGGAAAATAAAAAATCAAAACACCACTTTACGAATGTTCCAAGACGCTTCCTCCTTTATCATCTGTTATCTTCGCGCATGATGTCTTAATTTCTTCGACCAAAAGTTATCCGTAGATTTATTAGCTTTGGTATATACCATTCGCTATACAGTCTTTTGAAGCCTTGTAATTTCTCTACCACTCTCTTCTGTTCTTTCCCCGGTCTCGTGTGTTCCCATTATGAGACCTGATCAGTTATACCTCCCTGTTGGTCTTAGCCTTCGTTTATAATGGCCATGTTCTGTTTATCATTCTTGCCATCATTGCCATACACTCTCTTCCGCTTATTTTCTCCGGTCTGTCTCAACTCTAGTGCTTATCACTCATTGTAACCTCTTTCTCTCATATTCGCACACATTCGCACACATAGTCATCGTACTTGTTATACTATTTTCTTTAACATACTTCTCTCTCTTTCGTTCCCCAATGGTTTTATCTCAGGCGTTTAACCAACTCGCCAATCCGAACACGGTTAATAACCGTCGGCGCCGTCTTTTCATTCCTCCGTCGACCCAGTTCCCGCTCTTTAGCTATGGCCGTGAGCCTGATCAGAGATCTTTCCTTTCCCTCGACGAATCAGGCTCTGTCTACACGGGAACAGACGTCGACGATGTTGTTAGTGTGGCATCTTCGCGTTCCTTGCCGCTGACATTAAGCTCCGCTCATACATCGGAAGACCAGGAGTCCTTCCATAGTTGGTTGGTAGAAGAGCACCAGCGACGTTACAATGCGACGGAGTCGGACCTGGATGAGCAATTACTAGAGCTGCGTTCTGTTGGCTCACGGTCCAGTGCTTCTCATTACAGCGACAAAACTTTCCAGCTGGTTTTCGAGCAGGAGGACTTTGCCAGCTTGAAAACTACCTACTCAAGAGAGCTTAAAATGTTGGTGCGGTATCTGACTCCATTGGTGATAACATTTGTGCTCGAGCATTTTTTCTCCATCGTCTGCCTTTTGGTTGTGGGTCACTTGGGTAAAGATGAACTTGCTGCTGTTTCTTTGGCGCTGATGACTTCCACGATTACATTTGCAATCTTTGAAGGAATTGCCACGGCTCTAGATACCTTGTGTCCTCAAGCATATGGAGCTGGCAATTATGAGTTGGTCTCTACTCATGTGCAGCGGTGCTTTGTTTTTTCTCTTGTCGTTTACCTTCCGTGTGCTTTGATGTGGTGGAACTCCAATCTTCTTCTCCAGTTTGTCATATCCAGTCCAAAGGTACTCGAGCTTACAACGCAATTCTTGCGGATCCTTATTCTCGGCGGGCCCGCGTACATTTTTTTCGAAAACTTCAAGCGCTTCTTACAGGCCCAGGGCATTTTCGAAGCTGGTACGGGTGTTTTGTTTGTCAGCGCCCCCATCAACATATTTCTCCTGTGGTTTTTGGTATGGGACCTGAAATACGGAATAGGGTATGTCGGTGCACCGATTGCCACGGCTATCAATTTCTGGATCATGGCCATTCTTTTGGTGTTGTACGCTACTTTTGTTGATGGTTCTCGATGCTGGTACGGCTTCTGCTCTCCAAAAGAATTGTTCAGCAAATGGGGCCAACTCTCGCATTTGGCTCTCCCGGGCATTGTTATGCTTGAGTCAGAGTATCTTGCCTACGAACTTATGACGCTTTTTGCGCTGTATTTTGGCACGACTCAGTTGGCCGCACAAAGTGCCGTGGGATCCATAGCCCTGTTGACCTATATGGTTCCATTCGCTCTCAGTATTGCGTCATCTACTCGAATTGCCAACTTCATCGGTGGGCAGAACATATATCTGGCACAAATCGCCACAAGGGTTGGGCTCATGTGTGGCTTATGTCTTGCTGTGGCAAACTGTCTTGTGTTGTTCACATTCCGGTGGCAGATAGCCAGGCTTTTCTCCAAAGACGACGAAGTTATTTTGCTCATAGTGCAACTCCTAGCACCGCTTGTATCTGTTTTGCAAATCTTCGATGGAGTAGCATCTGTCGCCAGCGGAATCTTGCGGGCGCAAGGATCGCAGAAGATTGGAGGAATCATCAATTTTCTTTCCTACTACGCCTTTGCTATGCCGTTGGCATTTGTTCTCTGCACGTATACGGACTTGGAGCTCAAGGGCTTGTGGCTTGGTGTTGGTAGCGGAATGGTTTTAATTGGTCTTACAGAGACTATTGTCATTTTGAACAGTGATTGGGAATCAATCATCGTACATGCTGGACTCATGAACTATGCGGAGGAGGAATGAAGAGGCTAGAGTTGTACATGCATTAAATGCCCTATGGGTGTTTTTAACGTCATGCTAAGCTTCGAAAAAGCCAGTCATTTCTGTGAAGCGATTTTCACTCTTCAAGGCTTCGGCGATACCGTCTCGACCCATGTTGATGCACGCTGATGCCAAGCTTTCTGTCTTTGGCTTATCTGACAGATGCAGATAAAGCGTCTTATCAGTGTGGATTACATTTTTTCGCTAATGTGCGGACATTGCTTTTGATGCTCGTTAGCACTGCAATCTTTCTTTTCCTTTTTAATTTTTTTTTTTTTTTAATCTTTAACACCTACCAATCTAATTTACCACTCTGAAATTTTTCAGTTCAACATTTCCGGTGTCTACATGTGATCCTGCACGTTTTTGATGCATTATACGTAATCTTCAGCAGGGACCGGGCTCTGATTGGCGCTCTGATTGGCTCTGATTGGCTCTCAGTAGTGGTCATTCCCAGGCGACAAAAATGCCTCATCCCGTAAGGCAGACAACAGACACATTGGTGCTTGCCACAGCCGGTGGAGGACAGTGTCCGACATCAGACTGGGCCCATATTTCGTATCTCATCCACCATCATCGAAGTACTTTGAAAAAAAACTTGTGCTTTCGTGCTTATCATAACCGCTGTGCGCATAGGTGTCCGCTTGAAAGGGCCAAAGAAAACGAGTTCCTGCATCCACCTTCGCTGCGGACAACTTTTCCTCCACAGGCAGCAAATTTATTTGTCAGGCAAATGTCAAATCATTTGGCTTACATGCACAGGCCCTCAAGGCAGACTTACATGCACATCGTGCGCGAAAAAATCAGTGGAATCCTGCTGGGGTATCCTGTGTCAAGAGGCGCGCTTGCTTATCTTATCTCGCCCAAGACCCATATGCGCGCCCATGCGCGATCTATGCCTCTTTCAGGCAACGTCAGCACATTGGCCCGAAACCATCCAAAGTACCATATATACGGGCTGTATCCGGTGCACTTTTGTTGGCTTGTTCGCTGTGACCCACCGCTATCTGATTTCCACGCTCAACTATGGACAAAAAAAAATACGACGTTGCCGTTGAGCCCATCCACTCGGTGGCCATGGGCGAGGTGCAAAACTTTGTCTCCCACCACATTGACGGTTTGACCAGCGATAATGAAAAGGCCGAGCGGTATTTGGAAGAGGCCCAGGTCAACTTGGCCATGGCCGCTGACACCGGTTACACGCCCGAGTTGAAGCGTAATTTCTCCACTATTGCCCTTTTGGGTGTTGGTTTTGGCTTGACCAATTCCTGGTTTGGTATTTCTGCGTCGTTGATCACCGGTATCTCGAGTGGCGGGCCCATGATGATTGTCTACGGTATTATGATCATTGCTGTGGTGTCCATGTGCATTGCCATTACGCTTTCCGAGCTTGCTAGTGCCATGCCTAATGCTGGTGGCCAGTACTACTGGACCATGAAGTTGGCTCCTCCAAAGTACGCTCCATTCTTTTCGTACATGTGTGGTGCTTTTGCCTGGGCCGGATCTGTGTTCACCAGTGCCTCTGTGACGATTTCGATCGCCTCCTCTTTGGTGGGAATGTACGCTTTGGGTTCAGGTGGGCCTGACTTCACTGTCAAACGTTGGCAAGTTTTCATCACATACGAGATTGTCAATGCCTTGTTGGTGTTCTGCAACATCTGGGAGAGACCTTTGCCCCGTATTTCGCAGGCTGCTTTATACGTGTCCTTGTTTTCGTTTGTGGTTATCACAATCACCGTTTTGGCTAAAAATTCGGGCCACTACCAGAGTGCTCATTTTGTGTTTGTGGAGTTCTCTAACGGAACTGGCTGGCTGTCTGCGGGTATCGCTTTCATCGTTGGTTTGGTCAACCCTAACTGGTCTTTCAGTTGTCTTGACGCTGCAACCCATTTGGCCGAAGAAACCCTCAGTCCTGAAACTGATATCCCCAAGGCTATCATTGGCACTGTGATTATTGGTTTCATTACTTCTTTCTCGTACGCTATTTCGATGTTCTTCTGCATTACCGACTTGGACAGCATCTACGCTTCTACTACCGGTGTGCCTATTATGGATATTTTCTACCAGGCTTTGAAAAGCAAGGCTGGTGCGATTGTGTTGAACTGTTTGATTCTCCTCACAGCGATCGGATGCAACATTGCATCACACACGTGGCAGGCCCGCTTGTGTTGGTCTTTCGCCAGAGATAACGGTTTGTGGGGCTCCCATTGGTGGGCCAAAGTCAACACCAGAACCGGTGTTCCAGTTAATGCTCATCTCATGTCGTGTGCATGGTGTGCCGTTATTGGTTGTATCTATATGGGTTCTACCACCGCTTACAACGCTATGGTTGTGGGCTGTATTGTTTTCCTCTTGATGTCCTATGCTGTTCCAGTCGTCTTTATGTTGATTAAAGGACGTAACAACGTGAAGCATGGACCATTCTGGTTAGGAAAAGTGGGCCATGTTTGCAACTACGTATTACTCTTGTGGACGCTCTTCGCTACTGTTTTCTACAGTTTGCCGTCGGTCATGCCTGTGACTGCTGGTAACATGAACTATGTGTGTGTGGTGATTGGAGTTTTCGGTGCCTACTGTGTTGTTTACTGGCACATTCGTGGAAAATCAAAGTTCACCACGATAGACGAGAGAGAAAGCAAGATTCCAGAGTTGACGCAACAGTTGTCCAACCAAATCGAACAGTTGGAGGCTATTGTTTCAGGAAAAGGCTTTTCAGAGTAATGTACGCTAGTCGTTTCGCTCCTTGAGTTTCATGTAATTAGTGCTATGTAATACAATTCTGATTTGGCATATTGGATAACTGCTTACTAAATGAGTGTGCACCGTAGTTATAAAAGCTAAATTCATTGTACTTTAGATCTTTTAAAAAATACTCCTATTCATGATAATTCTCCATTATTGTTCTTATCTTTGTATCTGCATCTTACTGTCTCCTTTTTTGATTATCCTTTTCGGGCCATTCTTGGCATTTCTCGTGTAGGTACTCTATCAGTTTGCATTAGTAGCAATAACGAATTTGCTTTGAAGTGCTTTTTATCTAGTTGTTCCTACTTCACATGAAATTGAATGGTTCTCTTTCCTGAAATAGAAGCAAGAACTAAATTAGCCCTATAATTTGTGGTGGTGTCGTACTGCTCTCGTAAATATGTCTTTCTATTCTTCTGCAATACAAAGCAACCTCAACTTCGTGCTTCGGCTTTCAAAGTCCTCTCTCATACCCCATATCTTACAATGTTCATTTATATACATACAGTCACATAGCACTACTTTCTAAGTGCTCTTCTGGCCTTTACGGCATCAGCCAAATTCTGCAAAACAGCTTCTGTGTCCTCAAAGCCGATGCATGCATCTGTGATGGAGCAGCCGTACTTCAAAGCGTCCTTGCCGCCTTTCTCTGGTGGTGGCACGTCTTGTCTGCCCTCTTCAATATTCGACTCGATCATCAAACCACAAATTCCGTCTTCACCAGCAGCAACCTGGCGAGCCACTTCTGCCGCTACCAAAGGTTGGTTTCTGTGGTTTTTGTTTGAGTTGCCGTGCGAACAGTCCACCATGATACGTGGGCCTGGTTTCTCTTCAGTCACAACTTTCGCCTTGATCAAAGCTTCTTTCGTCTCCTTCACCGACTTGGCGTCATAATTGGTGCCTTGCTTTCCTCCTCTCAAGATAACGAAACAGTCCTCATTGCCTTCAGTACCCACGATGGCCACAATACCCGGCTTGGTCACGCTTAAAAAGTGGTGTGGGTGCGATGCCGCTCTCAACGCATCTACAGCGACACCCAACGTTCCGTCTGTTCCGTTTTTGAATCCAATGGGGAAGGACAAACCGGAGGCCAATTCTCTGTGTAATTGAGACTCGGTCGTTCTTGCGCCAATGGCTCCAACACTGAACAAGTCTGACAAGTATTGGGGTGAGATCGTGTCCAACATTTCACCTGCAATGGGCAATCTTTCAGTGAAGTCCACGAACAACTTACGAGCAATTCTGAGCCCCTTGTTGATTTGGAAAGATCCGTCGATATCTGGATCGTTGATTAAACCTTTCCATCCGACCGTGGTTCTGGGTTTCTCAAGGTATGCTCTCATCACAATGTGGAGTTCACCCTTGTGCTTTTCTGCTTCTTTCTGCAAACGTTCGCAGTAGTCAAGACCTGCTACTGGGTCGTGGATCGAACATGGCCCAATCACAATCACAAGACGGTCGTCTTTCCCATTCAAAATGTTGACTGTGTCATCACGTCCCTTCAAAATGACTTCCTTGGCCTTTTCAGTAAGAGGGATTTCGTGCTGCAACAAATCGGGAGCAGATAATGGGTCGTATCCCCGAACTAGCTATGTTAGTAGCAAAATTATCAAAAGTCTAATAAAAGCAATAACGTACTTCTCCAATCTTCCATGCGGCTTCTGTCGCCGACATTAGCGTTTTCGATGAACATGGTATGGTAAAGAAAGAGGAAAAAAACTGGTTTGCGGTTCTTGACCTTTAAGTAGTGGGAGTATAGATTTAGGTTGCCGTTTCTCTGGCCACTTATGGCCGCTGAATGAGTAATCGGCTTGTGTGTCGGAATTCCCTGTAATAAGCTTGAAGCCGTCTACAAACACGGAAAAACAAATCCTTCAAGAAAGGACAACATTGGCCCCTTTCGTGTATACCATAGATTTTCGTGATATTCATATTTGATGACGATGAAACCAGTTTTTTGCGGCAGACTGTAGCCCTTTAAATTGTGGGCCATTTTTATCAACTTATTTGTATGCAATCTAACTCGTGTCTCGTTGAGTCACGGAACAATTTATTGTTCCATACTTCATGCAGGCATTATTCTGAGATATGTGGAATACGCCAATTCTTGAACTACCTGCAACATATCTATTTCTTGCGGACGCGATAAACAAAAGACATCAATTGACCTCTTGTAGATTCATAGAAGACTTTCTTCTATCCAAAAGAACCACACGGAATAATGCTCAAAGGGCTCTCTTCCGATTTTTTAGTATGTTAAGATTGCTCTTTGTTCTTCATTATGCCTTTGAAATACTCTTGTCTTTGATGCTTAAGGCAAACCGTCTGTGTGATTCTTAACCCTAGTCTTGGGAGAAGAAGTATATGTAGCCATTTTTGCGCATGTCTTCCAAATTGTTGTCACACCGAACAACTTTCTCGTCGTTAAAAAGTACCCACTCCTCTTTGATTCTCACAAATACAACGTAATGACCCGTATGAGGGGATGAGCCTTTATGACAAACCACAGCCTTCAATCTGTAATTTCCAGAACCCATGGGCTCCTCTAATAGCTTCTTCTTCAATTTTTCGGATTCTTCTTTAATGTTAAACACAGGTTGATTGTCATGAATAACTCCATCATCATCTGGGTTACTGAAAAGCCATTCCACGGAGGCATTTACATCGTTTCCGTTTAAATGTAACGCCTTTTTGGCAAGAAGAGCACTGAAACCCATGGCCACTAAATTATCGATAGCTTCAAGGTTCTCCGGTGCACTGTTTCCATCTTGTTCCTTTGACACATCAAAAGGATCATCAATTCCAGGATCGTCCATATGCTCAAACAACCAGTTCATTGCCTCTTCCGCATTTTTGTTGCCCGTGTGGAAAAGAGCTCGAGCACTGCGAGCTTCGCCGAAGCCCATACTAGAAAGCATTGACATGGCTTCTTCATTAGGCACAAACGCTGAATTTTGTGTTTCCAGCACTTCCGTTTCTCCCAGCTCAAAGCTAGGTGCACCAAGAGAAGAAAGTTGCAAAGAGTCTGGGATGTCAACTGCGACGTCCTTTTTCATAGGAATCCAGTTCTCCAACTTAATTCTGTTCACGCCAACGATGAGGTTTTTAGGATGGCTCCGGAAGCCAGTCGTTTTCAAAGCAGTGGAAGTTTCCCCACATGTATCACACTTGTAGTTTTCAATTTCTTCTGTAGCAGCAAACCGTTTAAAGCATTCTGGTAAGCTCATTTCTTTATAAACCGGTTTCCCTTCTTCAGTTTTTCCCTCTTCTATTTCCTCTAGTGGGACAGAAACGTTGTCAACGAGCTCTGTGGATAATGTTCCCGACTTGCAGTTAGTACAAAGGACTTTCGAAGTCAATAGGAACTTGAATTCTTCGTTCAATGAGAGCCCGTACTCCCTATCTAACTTGTCAAGGAGATAAAGAAGGAACTCGTAAGCATCCTGTTGCTTATTTGTCTTGAATTCGGCATGCTCTGCTCCGATGAGGGTTTTGAAAGACGAAGGTTTAATTCCTGCTTGGTAGCCCTGACTATCCAATGGGTTAGGCTTCGAATACCTACCAGAAAGTAAACCATCGTAAAGCTTAAGCATTTGCGAGCGCAAGTCTATTGCTGGGTCAGCGACATGTTTATCAAACAGCAAGTTTCTGAAAAAGTTATCATAGCTCTCATAACTGAACAACGCCTGCACCACTGAACTGAGGTAGCATGAATTTCCCAAGTTTGCTAGTCCAGTAAGTCCTGGTCCAAAAACGGGTTCTAACTTATCACCGTTAGCTCCGTCAAGGTTAAACTGCCAGTTTTTGTTGGTTTCCAAGTTCAACTCAATCAAGCTTTTCTCTGTTTTGACTGCAGAGTTCAAGTCGATGCCAATTTGAAGAAGCTTGGCACCTAACTGAGGGACTTTCACTTCATCATTGCAACTATAGCAGTAGCAGTCGCAACTATCTTCATCCGCAGCCAAAGAGCCGAGCTTTACCGCCACAGCGTGCCCTGTTTGTTCAAAATGGACCAACGCATGCGAATTTCCCTTCAAGCTGGAACCAAACTGCTCTCGGCCACACCCGACCGCAGCACATGTTAAACAGACCCATAAGTTTTCGCCCAAGTCGCATGAGGCACAGTGAGAAAAATCTGCTGTAGCTGAAGTTTGCTCAATGCTACTTGAGTGTGCGCAGGGGAAAACCTGCTGCTCCCAAGTCTTGATCTCGTCATTCGTACTTGCAGAGTTGGAAAATAGAATTTGTTGCGCCAACAGGCTGGCCGGCTCAGGACATTCATCTAGAGGAACCAGCGTGTCTAAAGGGGCCACATAAATTGAGTTGAAGACATTGTAAAACTCATCTTGCTCGTGATCAGTCACTTCCAAGCGAGGAATTTTTGTCTGGCGGGTGGAGTCCTCATTATCGAGAATCCGCTTTCTTTCTTCTTCCGGTTTTAACCGCTTCGTGATGTTGACATAAAGAGAATGTCTCTTATCCTGGTAGTGTTCTGCAGTATAGTTTTTGTGGGGAGCCCGGGCAAAAGCTTGATAACAGGACATACAAATATCAAGCCCGTTGGCGTTGTTTTCTGGTGTGTCAAAAGAAAACATGCAGTCATCTTTGTAAATTTTATCTGAGGGGGAAAGATTGGTTTTCAATCCTGTGCATGCGGAAACGATAAAGTCGGACATGTCTAGATGGGTGTAATTCTAATTGGCTTCTTTTGCCTTTTGTAATGGCATACCGCGATTCATTGGAGGCGACTCAAGGTACCGGGCAGGACTGCATACACTCCCTTTTTGGGGGCGGACAGAAAAAGTCACCACCCAAAGAAATATGGCATTGTGTTTAGATGGTCAGGGATCATTCAATGCATATATATAAGACCTTCTAAACTCTTGCCTGTTCCTTTTGTCATTTTCTTTATAGTCTTTCTATCTTTTTTATTCCATGTCTCTGAGGCTTAGTGTGAACCATGCAGAATCCAGGAAGCGGCCGCGCAAACTACCCCAGATTTTGCTTGTCGTGCTTCTTCTTGGTTTTTCGCTAGTGACATTGGGCGTGACAGTGCTTCTTTTTGCCCACGTGAGAACTCCAACATCGACTATGGGCTACATCAAAGGTGTGTATTACTCCAATTGGTCAGTGTATGGCCCGAAACATTTTCCTTCGCATTTGGACTCAGATCACCTTACGCATGTCTTTTATGCGTTTCTTAAAGTCGATGCGGAAACAGGCGCAGCCCTTTTCACAGACCCATGGGCAGATGTCGAAATGCCTGTCGACGGAAAAAGTGGAGCTGTGGGCGCGTTGAATCACTTGAGAGAGCAAAATCCAAAACTCAGTATTGTTGCTTCTGTGGGCGGTTGGGGTACAGCAGCCATGTTCCAGGTGTTAGCCGGAGATCGGAGGAAAAGATTGCAATTTATATTCACAGCCCTTGATTTGGTTACAACTCACAAGTTCGACGGCTTGGATATTGACTGGGAATATCCATCTTCGCCGGATGAAGGACAGCAGTTGGCGGAATTGCTTCGGGAATTGCGCCACGCAATGGACAATGTGGACCGGAGTCTCATTCTAACTGTGGCAAGTCCTTCTAGCCAGGAGCATTTGGCCAATTATCCACTCGGGCGCATGGACAGGTACTTGTCCTTTTGGAACGTCATGTGCTACGATTTTTCTGGCCAAGGCTGGTCGGAGAAAACGGGCCATCATGCCAATTTGTATGGAGATAATGGCAATAATGGCCTCAGCGCCTCTGCGGCCATTTCATACTATACTCAAAAGGGAATACCTCCCAGTAAATTGGTATTGGGAATGCCACTTTATGCACGTACTTTTTACGAGCCCCAATCGCTTCGAATTGGGGTTCCTTTCAACAAAAGCGCCCCTTACGAATCTGACATTGTTGATTACATTAACATAACTGACGAAAACGAAGTTTTCGATGAACTGAGGGTCGGAGCACTCAAGTTTGATCCATCGAAAAAGCTACTCTATTCTTACGACAATCCGCAATGTGCAAGAGAAAAGGCTCGCTATGTGGCTCGTAATGGTCTTGGAGGAGGGTTCTGGTGGGACTCTAAGGGTGAAACCCAATCACAGCAGCGGCGTTTGATTCGGGCATTTGCTCAAGAACTTGATCGGGAGTAGTGCTAGGATACAGATGAAAGGAAAAAAGAAACGGTTTAGAAAAATGGGCTTCTGAGATATAAAAAAAAATTGTGTTTGCGTTTTTCATGGTTCTAGGGTCGGTACTTGTAGATCTTGTAACACTTAATTCCTTGAAAGAGGCTATTTCCTAAAATTTCATTCAAATCAACTGTGAGCTCACTGTATATGTACCATAATAGTACCCAAGTGGCGTGCCAAACATGTATGATTTATGATCTCTCGTTTGGTGGACTACGAAGATCAACACTTTGATGCCACCTAAATAGAAACATGGCATACTTGCGAATTGCATCACCAGTTGATTCACCAGTGCTCAACCGGTCATGCATGAACCACTCGGGATTCCATGTCTACATTGTCTCTTGTTGTCTCTTTATTGTAAACTGACTCACAAGATGGAGTCCATGCGGGAAAAAACACTCAAGATTGCGGCCACAAGCTCCAATTGTAAATCATTAGCCTGCTCCACTTCTTTGGCGACCTCCTGGGCCAAGTTAATACCCAAGCCCAAAGGACTCAGCAGACCTTTAGTGCCAAAAGGATACTCACTGTAATCATTCAACAATTCATCTGCCCGCGAGAAAGCCAGGTCACGTTTGTCATAGTTCAACGACATCAAAGCATTTTCCAACACATTGGCAGCGTAAGCACCGCACACCAAAGAAATCAGGCGCAAGCAACGGAATGAAGTGTCTGCGGGGAATTGGTCATTGCTCAAAGAGTCAAAGTCAACGGTTTTCTGGGTCAACAAGTTCAAGACTCTGTTCTTGATGTGCTCCTTGGCCATCTTATCGGCAACAGGGTGGGTGGCCATGTCAAACAAAAAGAAGTTTTTGCGTTCAGTACGCAAAATACCCTTGTCGACCAAGCCTTTCGCCAAACGCTCGCGCACCTGTTTCAACTGATAGTTGATTTTCATTAAGTTCCACGTCTCGCCCGACAACAAGTCGATCCAATTGCCCACAGACAAGTGGCCCTCGTCGTTTTTCATGATACGAAGCGACTCGTCTAACAAAACTTCGCCAGTAGGCTCTGTGTCCACCACCTCGACCAAACGGTCGCTCAACTCGAACCGCCGACGGGCCGGGTCGTTGACAAGAGCGATCTTGCCGCGGAACGCCAACTCCAACAAAATGCATCCACGGAGCGCGTACGAAATGTTGTCGTTCCAGAACGAAAGGTAGCCCTCCTTGTCTTTCAAGCCCATCAACAACACCTCCTCCATAAGCGTGAGAAATGGAACTTTCAATTCACGATGGTTCACGATATCGCGTGTGTCGACGCCCACTTTGTGGTTTTCAAGGTCGTTTTCGTCGGCCGATGCTAGTGGAGCAGTCTTGGCTCCACGGCGTTTTTGCAAAACAGAGGACATCGGTATGAGACAGCTGCGTGCAGAGTGACTGAGAAGAGAAAACCTGCAAGGAGAGGAGAAACGGAAACTGCAGCTGCTGCTTTTTGGAGTGGGTAGGAGGAAGCTTCCGGTGGCTGGATAGTTAAGGTGGTTTTTCGCGCCGCTTGTGTAGAGGAGTACCTTAGGTGGACAAGCGAGTCGGAATTGGGAGAGTGAAGTATCGCAAGCGGTTGCGGAATGAGAGAATGTGAAAGTGAAAGTGAAGTGAAAGTGGGTGAATGTAAGAATGAAAATGAGAATAAAAATAAAAGTGAATGTGAGGGTTGAGGTGGTGGCTTCTAATTTTGCAGTAGAGTGCATATTTCGTCCAGTGGCTAGTGTAAATGAGCCACCGAAACTGACAATAGACACACCGTCAAATAGTTGTAGAGCAGTACAATTGCAAAAGAGAAGAAGAAACAGGTACGCACATTGAACCTTGGGCTATTTGTGTTGTTGTCGTTGTTGTGGAAGACTTTTTATTGCCAGATGCTATTTTGAGTGATGTTGGCGATTCCGCACAAAATCATAAATGCGATCAGATGGTTTGGAATCGGCCAATACCTGTGTAAAAAAACGAGCTTGCAATAAGGCCCTTGGCGATCGAATAAAAGCTATGAAAGATTATTTCAAGACAACCAGTGACATTTTCATTGATAGGTGACCTATGTATGCGAAGATAAAAGTGCGTACAACGAGTATATAAAAGTCCATCAAGAGATGCGGTTAGCATGTCTATACCTTTGTATGTAGTCGAAACACTTCAGCAAAGAATATACATCGGGCGTTATAGGTACGCGTGAACAAGAAGCAAATGGCCAATACTGCTAGCTTGGCCACTTACCTCTTCTTCAATACAAAGTAGAATGACACACCTCTCGCTAATACTTAAATGGAGACATGCTGAGCCATCGACATCTGGAGTACTAATAAAGGGCGGCTCATGCGATATAGATCACTCACTTGAAGATAACGACTTTGATGCCCCTACTCAATAGGTTTCAGGTACTGAATCTTTTCTAATATTCCAATCGTTGATCCCAGGTCACACCTTAAGATGTTCACAGGTACTTCTATTCCACAATTCCATTGACCAGCCATGAGCAGAACTTTAGTGTTTCATTTTTTCATAGTGAAGGTGATTCGCGTCATTCCAGAGCTGACATGTCATCCAATTTCTTCTGATGACTTTACGATAACTTCCGACTCTTGCAATGTGAAGCTTTTCCTCACTGGCGAACATTTGTTATTATGCTGTTGTAGTACCCACCAGTACCCCATACTGCGCGCTCGCTTGCATTTATTCGCATTGATCACTCTTCTGCTCCGGCTATTCAATTGCACTCGGAAACCACTCTTTTCCATTCATCAGTGGATAGGCTACACGAAAAGTCCGACTCACTCATCCCATTGTGCTTTCTCCCCTTTCCCTCATCATTTAATTTTCCCAATAAGCATCCTTTCTACAATCCTACCTACACAATATTTTCCATAGAGAAACCACCCAATGCCAGACAAAGAGCCCGATTTTGTGTCGTTCCCGACGCTACCGGACCCTGAAACAACAGGCCAAAGATCTTTTTCCAACATCATATCCAACACGTTGCGCCGAGTCACCAACAACGCATCGCATTTAGTTCATTCTTACGCGCCGCCTCGTGTGCCCGACACAATTGCCCCCAACTTCGCGCCAGATCTGGTCCCGCCAGGCGCGCCTCCTGCGAAAAATACCCCTGCGCGCCCCCCACTGCCCCAGTCTGCATCGCTAGCCCAGGCGCTTCCTGCAGCATCCTCGACCCAGAGTGTGCAGCCCGCACCAAAACCGGCTCCGCCCATCACTGCGCCGCCCGCCCCGACCAGGGCTCCACTCTCCCAAACCCGAGCACCTTCGATCCACACTTCAACACCGTCTGTCCATACTACGATCCCAGTGCCAACAAAGCCGTTGCCAGCACGTGTCACTTCCGATGCTCGTAGTCTACGTCTTTCTACCATGGCGCCTTCAGCTCATCCGGCCTCAGTGGTAAGCCGAGACGAGGTGACAGTTGTTGCTGAACCTCTTGAACTCTCAAGAGAAGGCGCTACATCTCCTCGGCCTCGCCTGCTGCTGCCCCCGCCCGTATCTCCAGGGGCAGCGCACTCCACATTGCAGAACCGTATCTCCTCCATCTTCAACAATTTGCCCAACGACATCGAGTTATCAGATGATTCTGCTTCCGAAACAGAGAGCGTAGGTAAATCAGGCAATACCAGTGGCATCAGTCTTGGAAACGACGACGCTAAAGAGAAATCGAGAGATCTCATTGGAACCCAAGCAAACAGTACAACAAACGGCAGCACAATCTCACGTCTGCCCTCGCGTCGGCGCCGCACCGGTGTCCGTAGTTCCCCGTCGTCTTCTAATTTTTACACCTTGAAAAGCTTCGCTCCCCCTATGACTCGCAAAATTTCATCCAATTTCTCGTCGGCAATTTTAGGTGGTGCCAAATCCATCCTCAACACTAACTTAGCGGGCGTAGCATCATCGACGACATCCATGGTTAGTTCTATATCAGAGAAAAAGCGTCGCAAGAAACGGAAGCCCCGCAAATTGTCCGATAATCCATTGAAGAACGGAGGTATGCCGAAAAAATACTGGATGAATGACGCCTTTGTTGCGGACTGTCTAAATTGTTTCAAACCATTTACTGCTTTCCGGCGGAAACACCATTGTCGTTTCTGTGGGCAGATTTTCTGTTCCGATTGCACCTTGTTCATCTCTTATAGCCATTACAAAAACCAACGGCAGAACAAGGATGCTTTGATCGTCACAGATAGCAACAACTACAGGGATAAGCTCCGCGTCTGCAAGGCATGTTATAGCGATGTTGTGGTGTATCTTAGTGATGACTCAATGAGCTCGTGCTCTGAATCAGATATCGATAACGACGATGTGCTTTCGTTGGGTCGATCAGAGAACTCTGAAGATCCACCAACACAGAGAGAGTATCCTCTAGCACGCTATAGAACTCTATCTATCACGTCTCGAAAAAATAGTGTTGGGGGCGATATGTCGTTAACTCCTACCACGAATCGCGCTTTCTTGAACAATGGGAAAGAAACCGAAGCTCTTGCTTCGGCTTCACCGGCAGGTTATTCTGAGCCTGCTCAGCGTAGTCCAGAAGGTATCTCCTACAAACAAGCACCACAAATGGCCATCCCTACAACGCGTACAGGTCAAGCGGTAGAAATACCATTGACCAAGAGCTCAACTGGTGCCCCATCATCTTTAAAGTCCAACTTGACATTCCTAGCATTGAAAAATGCATCAAACGCAAATATGCATCTGAATCCGGCTTTAGGAGCAGACATGGATATGAAAAATGCACCGTGGTATATTCCTTACGCATATCCACAAGCGCCTGTAACGGGAGATTCGATGAGACCGAACAGTTTAGAAAACTTGAGTCTGTTCTACAAGTCCATGGTAAATTACCGCTATGGAAGAATTGCATCAAATTCAGACAAGTACCAGAATCAATCTCTTTTGCCAAAAAGTTCCGGAGACCAGGCAGAGGAAGAAGACTTCGAAAGTGAGAACGAAGATGAGCAGGTTATGTCCTTGTATACATCTTTGAACCACAGCTCGAATACGCAACCAAGTATTTCTCCAAGACCGCATAATGTGTTAAGCACATCTATGTCCTCCGTTCCTACTTTACACGAGTTTCCCAATATGGTTGCTGATGACAAGTATCTTCCAACTACTTTCAACAAGAGTGCTGGAATGATGCAGTTTGACTTTGGTGTAAATGGATCAACGCAGGGCGTTTCTATCAACGAAGATAGGCTGCGATCAGACAGACGGTCTAACGCAAGAGCCAAAGCCTCTTTGAGGAGAATTCGTGGAAGAAGGACACAAAAATTTAACAAAAATAAATGGTCAGGACATCCGGGCCATTTGACTTCGTCGATGGAAAATGGCCTAACATCTGGAAACAATATCAATACCTCAAGTTTTTCGCCCCTCTCTTCAACTCCACGGTCATCTCTGGTGACATTGAATAATCGGCTCCGCGATGCTTCCTCGTTTCTAGACTCTAGTCAAAGGCAATCATCTCATGAACCACAAGGTATGAACGCTACTGCAGAACATACTCAAGATCTGCAGTATAGCTTGGATGAAATCAAAAACGGGTATGACTCGCATCGATCCTCGAACCCTGAGGCATTCGTTTTAGAGAGCTTGGATGCACTCGAAACGAATCTTTCAGAATCCTTCAATCGCCATATTGATAGTATGATTACGCAATGTTTAGCAGACTGTGATATCAACGATCCCGCAGACCAGAATCGCTGGAGCAAAGTTCTCACCAAGTGCCTTTCGAATATGCGCCGTATCAAAATTAGTGATACGCTTGATGTAAAGCAGTATGTGAAAGTGAAAAAAATTCTTGGTGGGAAGATAGAAGACACCGACGTTCTTGACGGTCTTTTTATCACAAAGAATATTGACTCTAAGCGGATGTCATCTTACATTGAGAATCCTAAGATTGCGCTTCTAGTATTTCCCATCGAATACTTGAAGCAAAAAGAACAGTTTATTAGTTTAAGGATTGTTGATTCACAACAGTCTGTTTTTATCAGCAACTTGGTTTCCCGCTTGATCTCCTTGGAGCCAGATATTATCGTGGTGGGAGATACTGTCTGTGGTCTAGCTGAACGTTTGCTTGAAGAAGCGAATATCACTGTTCTTTCGAATGTGAAACCCCAAGCAGTTGAAAGAATATCAAGATACACAAATGGTGATATTTTCCAGTCCGTCAATGATCTTTTCTTGAAAAAATCTTCGCTTGGATCGTGCCGTTTGTTTGAAGTCAAACGTTTCTTGTACAAAGACACCATCAAGACCTATTCGTTCTTCACGGGAAGCAATATTGAGTCTGGATTCACCATTTGTCTCAGAGGAGGCGATGAGGAGTTTTTAAGTGGAGCAAAATATGCTACGGAAACTTTGATACCTGGTTTCTTGAATTCAAGGTTAGAGCAGAGCTTTTTTATGGACTGTTCATTATACCTCCAGAAAGAAGAAACTGTTTCGCAATTCGATATTCTTCAAAAGTACTTGTCAGATAAAGCTACTTCTCCAGATGATTTAAAATCAGCTGCGCTCGATACTATGGAACGCTTGGGGGTCTGTAACTACATCAAACTATTTGAGACCAGATATTTGAGTGTTTCACCGTCGGTTGAATATCCTCTTCCTCCAGTGTTGGCAAATGTTGTTGAAACCTTTCAGGATTTCAGTAACTTCTACGACTTTAACAGCAAGATTCAACAACTCACTACAGAGGACACTACAGATAGCGCATGGTTCGAAAAGTTGCATTTCGCGTTTAACTTAGAAAGCTTTTCAACAAAGGAAGATGTCGTGAATATCTTGAAATTCATGAGTGACGAAATGACAAAAAGGAAATTCAATGAATTTAATTTCAGGAGCAGATTGTGGGCTAACTGTATGAAGTACACCATTTACCAGCTCTATCCCATCTTTCACAAAAGCATCCACTTTTTGCATTCCACAGTATCTATCAAGCATGCGACCCCATGCCATGGGCCTCTAGTTGTGGTCATTGATTATTATACTGACAACGACAAGAGTCTCGGCCTGTTTTTGGACCAAATATTTCAAGAATCGAACAAACTATGTGACGAATGTGGTGAAATAATGTTGGATCATTTCAAAACTTATGCGCATGATAATGGTAAGATCGACTTGATCGTTGAAAAAGTTGAGAATCTGGGTTTCGAAGATACGAGGCATAAAAATGAACACTTTATGTGGAGCTATTGTCCTGAATGTGATTTTTCTACTCCTATTACTGCTCTTAGCGATGAGACGTATTCTTTGTCTCTAGGAAAGTTTTTCGAACTTTGTTTCTGGTCACGGAACGTTAAGTACCAGAATCACTGCCCTCATGACTTCTTTAAGAAGCACATCAAGTATTTTGGAAGAAATGGTCTCGTCATAAGAATGGAGTACAGTACGATCGATACCTATGAAGTCGTTGTTCCCAAGAAAAAACACGAATTTGTTTCTGAAACTGACATTAAATTGAAACTTGAGGCGTACTCAGGAATAGAAAAAAGTGCCAGTGCTCTCTTTCAAAGTGTTGCAAAGAGACTCAATAGAGTTAAGGTTGATACTTTCGATAAAGCCGAAGATGGGTCGAAAAAGGTAGAAGAACTAAAAGAAAGACTCCGACAACAAGAAGATTTGATCGCATCTAAAACGTTCAACATTTACAACTCAACATCTGCCACTAACTATCTTTCTTTGAACGTGATTCAAAGGAATATTCAAGAGTTGGGTGTCCAATGGGAAAGTGAATTCAATGACTTTGAACAAAAATACTTACCAACGGAAAATGAAATCACAAGAATCACCCAGTTTCATTTGAGAAATTTGTTAATGGATAAGCTTCACGACGACCTGAAATCCAAAACAATGGAGAGGGAGAACCCATCAAAACTCGTAGCTGATAATTCGTTGCTTGATGATGCTAAAACCAGTGAAACTGATGAAAACAAGAGGGAACCTGGAGATGGCGAGGATGGCGAAGCAATTAGAAAAGATAACCCACCGTTGGGTATAAAATTAAGGGTCCCTCTGTCATTGATAGAGGATAAGATTATGCAAATTAAGCAATCGTTTGAGAACGATCTGAATCAAGGTTTCAAACCTCCGGCAAAGTCCAGGTCAAGCTCTATTGCTGACCTGAGCATTTTTGACAACAGTTCTGTGATTCAAGGTGTTAAAAAGGTTCAAGATTTGACTAACTATTTCAATCAGATGACTCTTGAGTTCCAAAGACAACGAGAAGAGACCTTAGAAAGGAATTTAAACAAGTATAAAGCTACTCCTGTCGCAAATTCAAAGCCGATCGTTGAGATTTATGATAATATTGAAGATGTGGTGGATGTGAAACATGATTACGACAAACAAACGGCTAAGTTGGATAATAATGGCTCCAATCATAGCGAAGGACAGGAAGTTCAATCTTCAGAGGTTTCTCCGGAGAGTTCAGTCCATGAGCAATCTGCAAATGCGAAAAGAATGGATAATTTGAACGCACTGGATACAAAGATAACCAAAGGTGATTTCAGGAAGGATGACAATGCCAAGGCAAGACTTGACATGGCTCAACCAGAGAAGAACTCTTTGCTTAAATCACTTTCCAATTTTTGGGCAGACCGGTCTGCGACGTCATGGGATCCGTTGGAGTTTCCCTTGGACTCTACGGAACACACCTTCGCTGATAATGAAGTCATCGTCAGAGAAGATGAGCCCAGTTCATTGGTTGCATTTTGTCTTTACAGTGATGATTATAAGCAAAAGCTTAGTGATCTGGCATCTAACGTTGAAAACCAAAGGGATATTTTGGAAATCAATGATCAATACAAGAAAAAGTTGCATAATTTCACGAAGATTGAGAAGAAATTCAAGAAGAATTACGACACTAATAGCAAAAACAGTGAACTTGAATCTGCGATGACAAAAGAGAAATCATCCCACTTGAAATTTCAGTTTGTTGACGGAAACTCCGATTTATCGTGCAAAATCTTTTACAGTGAGCAGTTTGAAGCTTTCAGAAAAGCATGTGGAATTGATGATAGCTTCATTCAAAGTTTGTCAAGATGTGTGAAATGGGATTCAAAAGGAGGGAAAAGTGGATCTAACTTCCTCAAAACTTTGGACAACAGGTATATTCTTAAAGAGCTTTCGAAGACAGAGTTGGAGTCATTTGTGTCCATTGCACCGTTCTATTTCAAGTACATGTCACAATCTACTTTCAACACGTTAACAACTGCCATTGCAAAGATTTTCGGATTCTACCAGGTTGAAATACGCAATTCCGTGAACGGTAAAACCTTCAAGATGGATTTTTTAATCATGGAAAACCTCTTCTTTAATCGCACGACGACGCGCATCTTCGACTTAAAGGGATCTATGAGAAACCGTCATGTTAAGCAAACTGGAAAAGAGAATGAGGTGTTGCTTGACGAAAATATGATTGAATTTATCTACGAGCGGCCAGTTTTCGTCAAGGAGCAACTGAAAAAATTACTCCGTGGATCGCTTTTCAATGACACATCTTTCCTTTCTGCGATGGATGTGATGGACTACTCGTTAGTGATTGGTATCGATGAAGCCTCGCACAAGCTATACGTGGGCATAATCGACTGGCTACGTACATTTACGTGGGACAAAAAGGTTGAAAATTGGGTCAAGGGCACAACTTTGGTGGGCAAGAAGGGTAAAGATCCAACGATCGTAACCCCCAAACAATACCGAACTCGTTTCCGTGAGGCCATGGATCGGTATATTTTGGAGGTGCCTGATATCTGGTATGAAGGAAACACGCAATAGACAGGTAGTGAGATGCAATAGACAGGCAAGAGACAGGCAATAGACAGGCGCAGCCAAGCCGCACCTCCGCTATCGGTCTCGCCTCTACCGGTAATCTGCAGGTCAATGGCCTATCAAAGGCTCCACTCATTGACACACTTGGCCAACTGAATGGATAGTAACGTTACTTGAGTACCCACGTCAGACTCTATACCTCGAGCACTCTCATTTCTTTTATTTTTGTGTGAAAAGTGATGCTTCGGGTTCTTTTTGATTGCCGGCCGAGAGAAAATTTAGCTCAAGGAGGTGCAGCAAGGCGAGTGCGACAGTGCAGCATGTTGTTTACGATTAGAGCGCGCATCTTGCGCCGTGCGGCGCGTTTATCAATCCACTATACCCCTATTGCGCGCCATTATGGTTCGAAAAAAAAAGCTATCCCCAAAAGGTGCCACGCTTGGTGCGGCGTTTGTTATCTGCCACAAGGAATCAACGCATTTTGTTTTACATTACTTTCTTTCTTTTTTTTTTTTTTACTTTTTCTTCTCTGCTACGCTCTTCTTTCAAATATCGAAGCTAGACGTATTACTACTCGAGTAACAGACTTTTCTTTTACAACTGGTCCGCCTTTGAAATTGAATTGAAGAGATTTGTTGAATTGAAGAGATTTGCTGAATCGATCCTACTAAAACACGACTCATTCTGAGGAACACACATCGGTTCTTTTTTCACTGATCCTCCTTTCCACACCGCACACATAATGCAAAGGAGCACGCTTTTTACCAGCGTGTCACTTGTATTACTCGTGGTGGCATTTGCCTTTCTGATTTTGGGTGTGGTGACGCTGCCCATTTCGTCCTCGCTCAAACTTGGCTCAACTCCCGATTATACTTTTGGTATCTTCGGCTACTGTCACAAGAACAAGTGTTCTTCGTCCCTGTACCCTGTGTCGTTTGGAGACATTGACAAGAACGAAAACTGGCTTCTCACCGCTAGTACAAGAAACACCTTATCCAAGGGTTTTATCATTTCTCCAATCTCTTGCGGACTTGTCTTCTTGGCGTTAATCTTTACCTCTGCATCGCTTTTCGTGCAGCATTCCCTCATCAAGATCTTTTCACTTGTATTTGGATTCATTAGCTTCGTCGCATTGACGGTAACTGGTGTTTTCGTTGTGCTTGTGTTCTATCCTCACGTTGCTTGGACAGGGTGGATTTTGATTGCCGCCGCCGCTTTGGCGTTAGCTGCGCTTCCCTGTCTCTTTTTCTCCATTGGTGTCAAAGAATCAGTGTCTCAAGATGACGAGAGCGAAAACAGCGCTTTCGGTGGCTATGGCAAAATTGACAACGACACCAGTTTTACAAGTACCACGTTGATGAAGCAGAATTCTGACTCAAAAGTACAGTTCAACGGCCCAGTCACGACTGCTTATGGAGAAAACGCCAGCAGCTTCTCTAATGAGTACAGTTATCGCGGTATGACTGGTGGTGGCGGATACGACGTGACTAAGAATGACTCGCAGACCAGCTTGTTCAATTCTAAACCAAATGATGCAAAAGATTTCACGAAACAGCGGCCGACTGCTCCATCGCTTAACCTTAACGGTAGCACCACGAGCTTTTATGGCGACCTGAAAATGAATATGCACGAGGTTCCTCGTACCCCGATCTCAGCTAAACAGAAGATGGCACCTCACTTAGTGCCAAATTCGGCTGTCACCTCCAACTCTCATCTTCCAGATAATACGGCCTTGCCTTATCCACCATCCGAGTCTACAATTACACGTCTAGATTCAGCCAAGTATGGTGTTTTCGACCACCATCCTGAGGTGGAAGGCCACAAGCCGTTCACAGAGTTGGACGATTCCGAGTTGAACGACCAAGAATCAGAAACTCTTCCTCAACCGCAAGATTCAGATGACGACTCTGATTTTACCAGTGTTTCGCAACGGCCACCAAATGTTGATTTCCCTGGTTACTATCAACAGGCACCACAACATCAGCCTTACGCCCAGCATTATCAGCAACCGTATCCGCAACAGGCATATCAGATCAGGCCTAACCTTTCCGAGCCTATACAACTGCCGCAACAGTCATCCTATTATGGTTCTGACGGGAGCAGCGCAAATCGCGGCTATTACCAGCAACCACAAGGTCAGCGTCCACCTCAGCCACCGCAGCATTACCAGCAGTTTGCTCCTCAGGGCTACGGGGGTCGATCAGCACCTTTCCAACCACGGCCCGTGCCACAGAGCAAGCCTCATGGCCCTACCATTTCTGATAGCGTGTTGAACAACAACCCCGATTTTGCCCTAGGCGCAGGAGGCAGACGTAAGTTTGTTCCAGTTGCTGCCCGGAATAACGCAAGCAACAGACCAGCAAGAAGTGGAGCGCGTGATGGACCCTACGGGATGATAGGCTAATAACTGGGAGTTTCATTTCGTTGTTGTATTACTAGAATAAAAAATGTCGATAATTATCCGCCTCCAATATAATTCGGTCAAAGTAACACATGTAGGAGAGGACCAGCCTTCTCTTCGGGGCCACCCAAAAGTGCCTCGTCAACTCCAATCTCTGTATCTCCAGTTGTAGTGTCTTCGGTCTTGGTGTCTGTGTTGTCGTTTTCATTCCCACCTTTGGTCTTTTCTACTGTTGTAGACCCATGAGGTCTCGCCACCACGAGAATGAATAAAGCAAGCACAATAAGACATAACAAAAAGATGATTTTGCACTTTGTCGTACGCTTCTGGTAGCCCTGGGCTTTGATTAACTCCTTGTCTGAAGATTTCAAGTCTTCCACCGTACGCGTGAGATTGTAATCGATGCGGTCCAACATACTACCTTGGTCCACCACAAGCGTTTCCATCTCCTTGAAAATGGTGGAAATCTCCAAAATACCCATTGCCAATTTAGAAATCTCGCGCTCACGTTGCGCTATAAGCTGGGAGTTTGGGTTCTGCTGTATTTGCTCTTGTGCTTGTTCTAGTGCCTGTTTCGAGTACTCTTCAATGTTTTGTGTATCTTCCATTAGAGCCACAGAGCTCGGAGTTGCCGACATTAGCAACTTGTCGGTTTCTTCATCGTCGTCATCTTTCAAAAACTTGATGTAGTTGTTTTGCAAGTTACGGAACACCACCAGGCTGTCCTGGATCTTCAAGGCGTACGTCTTTTTGTAGTTTTCAATGATGGCAAGTTCGTCTGCTCCATAGTCTAAGCGCAAACGTTCGTAGTTTTTCTGAAGAAACTCAAACTTCTTGATCAGCACATAGCATTCCTCAAACATTTTGGTGATGCTGTAGTTCAAATCTTCGATCCGCAGCTCGAGCTTCAGCTTTTCCGTGTCTCGCGTAATCAACAACTTCTTGTACAACAGGCTGAGCTCGTGAGTTTTTTGTTTGATCAGGCCTAACCGCTCATCAAGCAGACTCGAGATATCGAAGATAGATGGCGCAATTGGTTTCATCTCAATGGCTTCCTCTGAAGCATTGTCCTTATAGCGTTTCCCTTTTCTGGGAGCCCTAGAGCCCATAAGGCCTTCTTCCTCTTCAGCCAAGGCAACCACTCGAGATCCTGTGGCTTTTTTTGGCCGGGATATGGTCCGCCGGTACGAGAGGAAAAGATTGGTTCTGTCTCTGAACATTTGGGGAAGAAGAAGTGATATGAAAGATATGACTGCAGGCGCGCGTAGTGGTTAGTATGGTGTACTCAGACGGAAAAGAAAGTCTATGCTTTCGAAACACGAGAGTAGTATTGCTTGACAAAACGGGGTGCCATCTGAACTACAATTCTGTTTCAGGTAGTTTGCCCTTAACGCCATTGAAAGAATGTGCTATGTATGTGTTCTGGTGCGGTAAGTGTTCATTCGCACCTTGGTCTATTCGATTCTCTTCAATACATTCCAGTACAATTAATCAAGTACGTTGAGCAACGGTTTCCTTCGATATAGGTGGCGGGTCATAGGACTTATTCCATCCAATTGGCTGGCCATTGTTTCTATCCGGCTCCTCGACACAGTACATCTGTAGTTTTCAATGGTACATCACGACTGTCCTTTCCAACTGACATCTGAGGCACCGATACTACAATTAATGAGAGGACCGAAAAGTACAATTTCACCTTCTATCAAGTTTGTCGTTAACAGAAAAAAAAAAAGGCATTCATATGAAAGCATTTAGAATGTTGTAGGATCGTGGGCCATGGATGCGATTGCGCAGGAAGCGCAAATATGTAGCTTTGATAAAATAAAGAATCTTCTTTTTCCGAAGTCTAAAAGGAGGAAATACTAAACTCTGACCCCTCTGAATATCTACGTCAAGAATGACGATTTCACTTTCGTATTTCCTCAAAAAAAAAAAAAAAATAGAAACTTTTTTAAGTCCAGATACACAAATGGACTTCCCATATTTTGAATTGAGCCAGCGATCCACAAATGAAGTGCACCGGCTATCTATATTTACACATCTACGCATCCAAACATTTCCTTGTAGCTTAACAAGCTTACTTGCTTCAGCTCATGAGCCAGCAAGTAATAGATTGGATAATAATGATTCGATACTTCTAGTACCACAATGCCTTAAAACATGTCCATGACAATATAGCTGATGACATTCGAATTAATTCGTTTCATGGTATGTGACAGAATGATTTAATTTGGCACTTCTCCAAGCTTCATTTTTCTGTTCAATGAATGTGCACAATTTCGAAGCTTGCACAGATTGAATTGATTCTCTTTTATGATCTATACGTTTCAAGCATTTTTCAGGTAATTGTGTGTTCAAATTGTTTGTTCTTTAGGATACGTTGCTTTTCCGAGCTTGTTTGTATTTTTTAGGCTATATTTTTTTGACGGTTATTTTCTCTGTTTCAACACTTTTTTTAGCGCTTTCTTGAATGGTTCTCTTATTTTTTCCGTTTTTGTTCTCTCAGATGCAATGTTTTCGCACTCTGCAGAAGAATATACTGAGAAAGCATATTCATGGACATTATTCTCTTCAGCTCTTTCGGTACCCAGACAAATGTCCTGAGTCATTTCAATTGAGATACAGCCGCTTCCTCATTTTTTGTAGAATTTTGCTGCACATTCAATGGTTGAGAAAACCGCAATAAGAACTCAGATCAATGCTGGTTGGTTTTACCTCGGAATTTCTCCTGTATTCCGTTTCTTCCCTGTTTCATCTTCTCTATGTCAGGCTCTCTTACCAGCTTAAATTGGGGCCATATATTTCGTATTTGATACATCTGGGACTATTTTATGTTCTATCTTCTAAAATTTTTATAGTGTTTAACTTCGCTTTGACTTGCCCATCCATGCTTTCTTATTCATGACATATTGTGTAAATTTGCTCCCACTGTCTGTGGTGTGGTTTCGATTGCCCGCAACCGCTACCGCTTGCGGGCTTCACTAAAGTAGCTGCTCAAATTGTTTGTGGAAGGATTTCGTGATGTAGACGGGGATGAACCAGCGGAGCCCTTCAAATTGAACAGACTCGATCCCCGCAGAAGGAACAGTCGGTTGCGACCCACAGATCCAACAGGCGTTGTGGGTCTCAGAATTTCTTCAAATCGCCGATTGGCTTCGTCTATGTTCACGTGCGATCCTGGCGGTGGCGGCAGATAGATTGGTGCTAACAGACCATCCACCGAGCTTTTCATGGCTTCATTGTATGATGGTACACGAGACATGGCCATGCTTGACTCGGAGCCAACGCGAGAAAGATGAACTGGAGGCGAAACAATGCCTGGTGTTCCAGCAGCCACGTTGAATGCGGAACTACGAGTGGATAGGTTTGGCCGTTTAGAAAAGTAGTCGGTATCATCACCGCCGTCCAAATTGAATGTAGCACGGCCCCGAAGATTAGACGCAGATGAGGCCTGCGAGACCTCGTTTTCTTGCATTTGTCGCTGAATGCTTAACTGGCGCAAATTTTCTGTCAACTTGGCAGTGTCAATGCTGGCCATTGAGAATTGAGACACATCGGTACGGAGAGAACGAGGAGTAGCCAGACCCAGGGCAATAGGTGACTCCATAGGGGACACATCTGACCAGAGCTGATCATAAATGTGTTTTTCGTACACTGGTGGTGCAATCAAACCTGTGAACAGCAGGGCCGACTGGTTCGAACGAAGTCCATCAGGAACATCCAACTCAGAGACGCTTGGGTCTTGTGCAAACAAAACTTCCTCCTCTTCGTCTTCTGGGCCCAGACCAACAGACTCCACGTCCGAGAGCTGGTCTTCAGCACGTGCACGGACCGAAACAAATGGCGAAATGAAAAGCTGAACGGGCAACGACGCACGAAGCTCCGAAACATGCCCGTCTGGGTTGATCAAACCAATGACAAACTTCAACTTGTGGCGTACTTTGATGTGGGTGGAAATGTCACAATCCTGAGTGCATTTAGAAAGAGAAGGAGGCACACGGAGAAAAGTTGTAACTTCCCAGCGATCCAAAGGATACTCTTCATCAACTGCAGGCTGTGGGATTGTTTTCTCTGTCACAACGCGTTCGGCCAGATGCGATGGGGGAATGTAACCAATAAACAGATACAACTCTACCAACGACACACGAATCTCACCCAAACGCAAACCCTTCAATAAAGGAACAAGCATAAGACTAATTGGGGTGCCAGATCCAATGGCAATTGCTTTCGTTGGCACGCTGAGGGAATATTCGACCTTTTTTGGCCATGTATTATCCACAGCCACCGTTTCAGAAAGTTCCACTGCGTCCGTTGTCATGGTCCGCACAACACGCACATGCCTGGTGGTGACCATGGGAGTATGGAATTTGCCACGCTCGAGTGTCGATTCTAATTTGTAGGTGACACTCGCGCCAGGTAAACCTTCAACAGATTCGGGCATGTTCCCAGGCAAAATAGCACTGAATGGGAACTCATAGTTTCCCAGAACCAACGTGTGACTGTTTTTCAATGACATGTTACTCTGCGAAGCCGAATGGGTAAGGTTTGTGCTTGACGAAGTCAAGGCATGGAGATGCAAAGACGTTGAAGACTTCGAACGGAGGGAAAGACCCAAGTTTTTCAAAGATGTCGTCGATCCATGGCTCTTAACCGAGTTGCTCTTGTTCATTGACTGCGACGAGCCGTTGTTCAGGCTCGAGTTGTGAATGTTGCTTGTGGTGCCGTTGTGGACGTTTTCGTACATGTGATTGAGATACTTTGTAATCTCGTTGCTATCCCATTGGTACTCATAGAGCTTTTTCTCGAATCGAATCACCTTGGGCATGGCATTTTTCGGCACGTTGGTGTCGGAATATTTGAGGCGGATGGTACTGACGAGGCGCAAGGTGATTTTCTTGACTGTAAGAGGTTCTGTCACAGAAAGAACGATTTTTCCTGCCAAATACGTGTCAGCCGCATGGTGTTCAGATCCTTTGAGCACAATCACATCATGGTCGACGTTTTTCAAACGGATGTCGAAAAGCGCCGCCTGCTTATGGGAAGATTTCGCTTTGACCATCTAAGTGACGCACGGAAGCTTTTCAGGTCAAGGCGCGAGGGCGTCGATGAGGAGGAAAATGGTGTATTTCAAAATAAGTAGCAAGGGGCGAAGATGATCGTGGTTTCCCTCTTAGGCGGCTTTTGCTGATGTTGTCGTGGTTTGAAAGTTGCTCTAGTCACTTGGACCGGAGAAAGAAATCCTTGCGCGCAGGGAGAAAAAGCCGCACCGAGATCTGCCTGCATTTACATGCGATAGAAGATGGACACAGGCATGTTCTTGAAGGTGGAATAGCTTGAAGAAGATGGAATGGCTTGTAGAAGGGCCATGGCAGGTGGATCGGGGTTTGGTAAACACACCAGAGTAAAAAGAAAGGAAGAAAGTGTAAGCTGATCTGGCCACGATGGGTATTTTTCCGAGTCACTGCAGTCGAATGCGTCCCAACATGTGTGCATGACTATCTGGTGTGCAAGACTATCTCGTGTGCAAGACTGGAAGACTTATCTGAGATACGGCCACAATCTGATACTTCCAAGCGGCTGGAATTGCGGGGCCCAAGGGGGTATCTAAAGTTGGCGTTTGGCATGGGATTAATGTTTGGATTTTGGCTTTCCTACTTGTTCTGCTTTGAACTTTTCTATTTTTATTCGCCCCAATAAGCTTTTGTCCTTGGCACATAACTGCGTTTGTAGACCCGATTGCAAAACAAGAGGGCAAAGTAGGAAAAAAAAAACAGGCAGAGCAATCTGAGTAAAAATTGGACCCAAGAGATGGAGGATCTTTAGCTGTGATAATTGCAGACAACGGTGATACGTGTTATCCAGTTTGGTTGGTAATTCTGTATGGCTTCATTATTCATTGAGGTTAGGGCTTTTTTTAGGATGTATGAAAAACATAAAGCTGGAATTTGGAGAGGATATTTACTTTCTACTCTTTAAGGGGCGGTAGCCGATCGTTGCCACTGTTCTACTAGTTGGATGAAAACAAAAATAGAATAAAGTGAGAAGCTTAGAGAACAGGAAGGGAGCCAGCATAAAAAGAAATAGGCTTCCAAAGCGAGAAATATATGAGGAGAAGTTAAAACATGATTAGCGAAGAATTGGGTAATATGTAAATAGTTGGAGGCATCCTAAGTGTTTTGGCATGAGTTGAAGGGATACGTATATGCACAATTAGATAATACAACTGCTGGCCATGTAAGAAACGAAGGGCCATTAACTATGCTATGGGCAGACGGTGAATGGGAAATAAATGAGCAGGTTAAGATATGCAATAATTTATGCGACGCAGAGGTAATAAATAGATAACAAAATAGGCAAATTTTAGGCAATACATATGCATCAATAGGCACGAAAAGGAAGAAAAGGTAATCAAAACTGTGGGTCTACAGGGTTGCCCATATATCGGTAGGAGAGCCAAAACAACTCCCGTTCAAGCAGTAGAGGGCCAAAAGGCTATTTTTCGTTTTGGAGACAGAAATGCTCGGTATACGCGAAAGGTCAGAGAACGGCAAGTATAGGCCATCATATCAGGCAATGCATAAGCGGGCAAATAGACGATCGGATGCAAGCCTGACGGCCACCACAAGCGGGGGATTCCCGTAATAAGTGGCCCTTGCAATTACTGAAAATAGGATAAGACCATAAATGTGTATTTTGTGCGCGGCCAGCAGCGTTGGTGAGATATCAGGACAATGCGACGCACCGTACAATATGATACGGCCGCAACTGCAATCTGAAGGACATTGGAACACGCATCCAACACATAGACACTTTGCCGACGCAAACGTACGCAGTAAATACTTGACCTACGCATGGAGTATCCTCTATCCCCCATCCTCTATCCTCCATTCTCCTTCTCCATTCTCCTTCTCCATTAAGCCCTAGCACACAACGCTGGCCTCACAAGGTGTGTCAAGGTGTGTCAAGGTGCCAATTCTGCAGGTGCATTGAGCCGGACAATCAATGCACTCCACCCTCTGACAGCTATTTTTGTGCGCGCGCATCTGGACTCACTACTTCGGTGGAAAGCACCGTCCATTGTAGGATAGGCGCATGTACACAGGGCTGCCAAGAGCGTTTTGCTGCAAGTGAAAGAAAATATCTTCTCGCTGCCGGACCACATCCACCGCTCCTTTGTCAAACATCCAGAGGGAGCAAAGAGCCAGCACGACGCGGGCGGCAGACGGAACACCCGTGCCTCCCATGCCCCAGGTTGCCCATAGTTAAGCGCGCGCGGGTGGCTGGTTTTCTGTTCCAATCGAGCAAGTGCGCGCATAACTCTGGCGCCTATGCATTCCTGGGGCCCTGGTTTGGATGAACAAGGGCATATGCTTGTCAGAAACGGCACAGGGAGGAAAAAAGCTGGTGCGCTGAGAGAAGCTTCTTCATGCACCGCGGGCGCTTGCTTTTTCTTTAAATACTTCTTGCTCGGCTTTCTTTGGTCTGCGAGTCTTCAAGGTCCTTGGCTTCATCACCTTTTTCTGTTGGTCTGAGCATCGCTCATTGCATTGTCCCTATAGAGTATACTTCCGGCCACTCTCCCACTAATACTTATACATACTGGCCTCCCCCTTTCGCATTGCTTGCATCCTTCTTCACACCGTCTCCTCTTGTCTCCATAGCTGTTCTCTGTCTGTACTTTGCTGTCTGGCAGACTCTACTTTGGACTCAAGCTTGCCATTGACTCATCTCATTGACTATCCCCACCGGCCTTCTAAAGTATCCCTTTGATTGTCCCACCTAATTGTCTTTTTTACTTGTCCTCTTCCTGGCCCCATCATCTGCCCCTGGACTATACTCGCAGACTTTCCCTGCTTTCGCATCATCCAACTACTGCCACTCTCTAGACTTTTCGGCCTTGCGCTTATTCTTCCCTAATTCACATCCCTGACATTGGCTGCTAATTCTCCTGTCTCGCCATGTCTCTCCCCGCCACAATGGACGCCCGCGTCCTTTCCTTGCAATCGCCTAAGCGCGCGCGCTCGAGCCCGACCCGTGCTTTCTGGGCCAATGCCGCCTGGCTGCTCTCGCGCCGCCGCCTGCGCCGCCGCTCGCGCCGCGCGGGTTCGGTGTCTCCTTCGCCCACCCCGTCGCCCATGTCGCCTGCAGTCGCGCCCTCTTCTCCCTCGTCACCTGCGCTCTTGCCCTATGCGCCCTCGAGCGATCTGGATTTCCTGTTCAACGCCGCCTCCGATAGCGACTTGGAGTCCTTGCCTGACTTGACCGACGACGCATCGATATGTTCGGGCCGAAGTGCAGTGACACCAGTGAAAGACCCAACTCATCTTTCCCTTGCGGAAGACATCCACACCCCAGGCCGCAAAGTCTTGTTTCCTTGGGCACATGCTCATCTAGCGCCGAGGCCCACTTCGGTGACAGTGTTTGACATTCCCGAGTTGGTCCACAAAATAATAGAGTACGCGCACCACCAGAACACCGTGGCGCCCCATGAGATTCCAGGACGTGATGTGGACCCCAACGTTTTGTTCACATGTTTGCAGGTCAACCGTCTCTTTTACAATGTCGCACGCCAACTCTTGGGGCAGCAGCTCGTGTTTTCGCGCGAAAACAACTTGTATCAGTTTTTGCGTGGGCCCGCTCGCACTAATCAATCGTTCCGCCCGCGCGCATGCATGTTCAGTCGTTTGGTGGGTGCCAAGCAGCCCGCCATTGAAACTTTTGCGCAGGCCATTGATGCATCGTCGCTCGAGCGCCTTGAAGTTTTCATGTGTCCAAAACTTCAGCCTACGCCAACACTTTTCCACCAGGCGTTGAAAACGTTGGTGGTGGCTGGGTCGCGCGTTGCGGACGACGTTCTTTTAACGCAGGTCGCACGTCGCTGCCCGAACCTCGAAGTACTTGACCTCCGCGCATGTGAACGTGTCACTGACTGCGGCATACACGCCATTGCATCGTCTTGTCGCCGCTTGGTGTCTGTTAATTTGGGCCGCAAAAGAAAGGGCCATCTTATCACAGACCACTCGACTGCGGTGCTTTTCGCGCGCAATCCACGTTTAGAAACTGTGGGCCTTGCCGGATGCCATGTCAGCGACCGCTCTCTATGGGAGTTGGCACTCCATGCCGGCTCTTCCGTGCAGCGGCTCTCCCTCAACAACTGCCCTCATATTACCGACCGGTCGCTTCCGGTTATTTTGCATCATAATCTCATGCGCAACTTGTCTGTGCTCGAAATACGTTTTCTTGCTGGCGTTACCAATGTGGCGCCCATTGTTACATTCAAGCGCAGCCAACATGCTCGAGGTGTCTTTCTTTTAGTGGAGACATGCGAAGAGCTTCTGGCTCGCATGCAAGAATGCGAGCGCTCCATGGACACTGTGCTTTCGAAGCGTATCTACCAGGATATAAGTGACTGGGCCAATGCTAGTGATGATGACGACACAGCGTACGTCCAGTTCATGAGCTCGCGCAGATAATGTCTACATCATTTTTACGCCACTAATGAATCATAGTTGTATTTAGTGTAGAGCTATGCTAGCAAAAGACACTCAAAATGCCGTTCCGATTGAACTGGTAGGTAAAGTGAGCTTTCCAGCACTGTCTCGTTCGAATTGATAGGCACATAGTCAGTACTACGTAAATGGCATTGTCAATTGGCTACTTGCAGTATCTTGCCTAACTACACAGAGACCTTGAAGCATTTCAATTTGTCAAAAGTAAATAAAGAAACATGCCAAGGAGTTTCATTCATGGTGTTTTCATTTAAAAAGTCAATTGCCAAGTTAGTCAACAAGAATCTGATAAGATCTTCAACAAAGCGCGATTGAAAGTACAATGTGCTACATAGTTATATTGTGACGTGCAGCAGGTAATTCATCAACAAGTAAGCATAGGAGTACACAGGATCCTTAGTTTAAAATTTTGTTTGCATTTTCTTTATTTTTTTGATAAGCTGAACGCTTAGCAAAAGCAAGTAAATACCTGCCCTGAAATACTTCGTCAGTAATACACTGGAACATTGGCACAAGACACAAACGCTACAACACAAACGATACAAAACAATGAATACAATTGCAAAAGCGAAAAGTGTTTCCTGCTCTAAAACATCGATCTCAAGTGCCAGAACCCTGATAGTGTGAAAAAAAAAATACAAAAAAAAATATCTAATTGGTGGCCTGTTCAAGCGAGGACCCTCTTGTAGTATACACATGTGATCTCCAACTGCCAAACATGTACAATTAGACAACAAGTTCTAAGTTTCGTTTTTAACTTTAAATTCTCAACCGACAACCCAGGACAAGATAACTGGTTTTATTTGCGCTTTGTTTATTTTGGTTCTTTCAAGTGTCTCACACCTTCGCATCTCCAGACTTTTTTTAGGTCAAGCTTGCATAATACCCGTTTGACACCGTTGGAATATGCAGGCCCGCCCGCACTTTCCCTTACGAGAAAACGACAACATCCATTTACCCAAAAGAGTGCGCAACTTGAAACCCATCTGAAATCCCGAGATCCTGAAACTCGACACGTCTCTTTTTTAGTGAGGTGTATTTTTATCCTCGATTTCTTTTGTTTTTGGTGGTTTAACGTGCTTTATCCTCCTGTCGTTCAATTGTCTCCTGCGTACTTGCGTTTTAGTGCTGCCTGTTCTACTGTCTTTGATCTTCACTAACTTTGGGTAGCTTTCCCAACTTGGCAAATGCAATCACCCATTTCGCTGCGAAATCCACCACAGAGGGCAAAAACCGCATCTCAAGTCAGTACGGCTGGCCTGCCCCGTTCAGCTAATACAGTCTCTTCTGTTCTTCGAGCCAAGAATTCCTCATCCCTAAACACCCTAAACACCCTGAAATCCCGCCGGAAATTGGCCCACCAGAAATCCAAACTTGATCTCATAGATGATACCACATTGACGTCACTACCGTTTCCTCCGCCGCCACCCCGGGCAAAACTTAATCGCAGCAATTCTACCATTAGTGATTTCCCCAGTTCCTCCAATTTTTTGTTGGAACCTCCACTTATACCAGTACGAACGTCCAATTCGGCCTTCGAGAGCCTAGATTGCTCTACGTTTCTGAGTTCTACATTCACCGTGACGGAAGATCCAGATGAATGCTCCGATGAGACAGATGATCCTATTGTCTTGGTGGAAGATTATCTTTCGGATGCCGTTGCCGAACGTGAAAATACCCGCCGCTTGATGCGCAAAGAATCCCTTGCAACATTCAAGCAAAAATATTACAATAGCAGACTGCCGGATCTGAGTTGTACGGATTTTCATCTGGTCAAACGATCTCTATCGGATCAAGAAGCTGCCAACGCAGGCCATCTTGCAGAGGACTTAGAGGCCATTTTTGGAAAGCTCCCAGGCACAGACAAACTAAAACACTGTGTTTTCTGCGACAAACCGCTATACGAAATCAGCTCCATAATCAGCAATTCCGACATTGACCCGCAACCAAAGGGTAGGCCTGCTCCACGCGAAACCTATACGGAGTTTGTATGCTGGGACTGTATCCACATCTACGAACAGTTTGTGAGTGAGTTGCATGAAATCGAAACTCTTCTGGTCAGTAATACAAAGCCACAGCCCACGGAGGACATTGTTGAGATCTTCAAGAGCCTAAGAGACTCCTGTGGCGCTAGTGCAGAATTGAGACCGCCTAAGAAGCAATCTAGGCGGGCATTTTCAAATGACTTACTTGGCCGTTTGCATTATTTGAGCTCTGTGTCGCAACGGCCGGCGGAAGCTTCGTGGCTCGAAAGTTTGGCTGCAAAACTAAGATGGAACAAAAACATCGAATGCATTTCCCGGACCTGTCCCATGGGACAAGCGTCCGGAAGGTAAATCACAAGACATACATATATACATAATAACATTAATGGGGAAGAGCACTTGTCAAAGACCCGTACCTCCTATGCCTCTTCGGAATGCTTAGCTCACGTCTCGTTAAAAGAAAGTATCCATATGTTTCTACGCATCTCCAGAGGTTTAAACACAACTTTACGGAACAGACCGATTCTTCTGCTTGAAGAATTTCTTTTCCGGCAGAAAGTTCTTCAGACTTATAGAAACGTGATGCGAGTCATATATAAGCATCACGAGAAGAAAGATCTAGCTCAATATGCAAGGGAAGAGTTCCGCCTGAATAAAGATGCCGAACTAAACCACAGAAAGTATCTTCTACAAATCGGGCTCAACAGAATTAATGATATGGCTAAAGTTTTTGGTATTAGTGCCAAGTTTTAAGCTATGATCAACGCGATAGCTTCAAACTCGAACTACGTACACCTTCTATTATGTCCTCTAATGTATCACTGACAAAGTCCTGGGGCAAATCCTCAAAACTGTTGCTTGATTTTATTTTCCTGAAGAGTTTCTTCTGCTTTTCGCTTTCCTCAAATGCACTAATTTCTGCTCGGAGATTAGAGGCTGCTTTCACTAATTGTGGTTGGCTCACAAGCAACGGACAAATGCATGCAAAATCAAAAGCTTGAGCTAAGATGTGGTTGATCTGGTTCGAGAGTGGAGGAAGATTATCGATGAATTTGGGTTTGATCTTTTTGAAGTCCAAGTTTTTAGCCAAGAAACCAATTTCCAGTGCCTTGTCCTTGATTTTAGGGTCCTTGGCCACTTTGAAAAGGCTGAGATACATTTTGAAAAGATGCGCCTCGAATGCAGAGAACTGTTTCATGTGGGAAGAGTTACTAAGAATTTTGTTGAAAGCCTTGAGCATATTCTGAATGTCCGCCTCTTTCCTCTCCACGATGAGTAATTCTTTCAAGTAATACAATTTCGCATATTCTTTGCCTTTCCGTTGTTCTGCTCCATGAAGAAATTCTAGTGGTAGTAAGTGTGCACCCAAATTGTACTCTGTCTTGAAGTCACGATTGTCTGACACTGTAAAGCAATCGCTTAGAATCTCCGTTTTCATGTCCAGTACCACTTTATAAAAATAATTGTAGTATGAGTGGTTCAAGACCCTGGATATTTGCAAAATGCGAAGAATTAACAAGTGCCTTGTGAGCGAATTAGAAAGTCTCTGACCAAACTGGTAGAAGTCTTGAATCTTAGTGTAAAGATCCATTTCGAATCCCTTCTGGATAAAAGACTCCACCTCGCTATCGCTTGTCAAGTAGAAACGAAACACTTGCACAAGTTCATTTAAATTCGCTAATGAAGGCGCAAGATCGAGTTTGTAAGAGAGGGTGTCGTTCTGAATCATCTTGATTTTCAAGTCATGGAATACTTTGATAGCTTTAGTTGATGCATTAATGTTGGTGTACAAATTAAGAAGCCACAATTTCACCCTGTAGTTCTCGGAGTCTTGTTTAGCAAGATGTTCAAGGTGTACAATGTGTTTGACAATGTTCTCCGGCGACAGATCTTGTCTGAGGTCATCAATCATGCATATGAGGTATGTGTCAATAAGATTGACACTGTCGAATTTGGCAAAGTTTGACCACGAAAGTTTTAAGTTGGGATCAATTCTCAAATTAAGCTTGCTCAAATTGCAAAGTTTTGACTCTTCTTTTGGACTAAGCTTCTCTTTGGAAAGCAACTCTGAGTAGTCCAGATGAACCCTTTCAACAAAAGCCGGAAACAATTCGACTAATGAAAGATCAGCTACGCAACATGGTTTGGTAGCAAAAGAATCATAGTATGCAAGTACGCTTGTCTCGATGTCTGATTCATAAACTTTCGCCAATTCGATTTTCGCCATGTAAGCGTTTCTGGAATTGGAGGATATCAATGTGGAAATCTCAGTCTCCAGCATGCCCAAATTATTGGCAGCCATGATTAGGTATTTCCACGTATCGTAGTCATTGAATTCTTCCTTGAAAAGCAATTGGTGGCACAAGTTGTACAACGCTTCCCAATTTTCAAGGCGGAAGAGGCAGTCCAAGTACAACAAAGTCAATTCCAACTCACGATGATCCAACGGCGCAAGAAGCTCCACCACTTGATCATATTTCCCCCGCTTGCTCAATATGGTTGCAAGGGCAAAGATTTCCTGGTTAGACTCGAGCGGAGACGAGTCGTTGAGGATCAGCTCGGCCAAAGCCAAATGCAAGGTCAGTTCCTTTTCCAGAGGGGACTGTAAACTCCACAAAAAATTCACAAACGCTGCTCTCACTGCATAAGCGCGGTTGGACTTGGCGTGTTTTTTCAAAAGCATGGACGCCTTCTGCGCTGACCTTGTGTCGAAACTATGGATGGTTTTGAAAAACCACGTGAGAATCAAGTCTGTGGTGGGATACTTTTTGACTGCGTTTTCGTATATTTCATTTGCTTCCGTCGGGAGGCCTAGTTTTTTGAACGCACGAGACAACAAATCTAGGGCTTTGGCATCGCTGGGCACTTTCTGCTTCAAGGTTCGGCACTGGGCTTCGGCGGATGCATTTCCAGTTTCGGCAAGATAAAAGCAATTCAATGCCAAGTAGTAGGACTTGTCGGGGAACCGCTTGAGTTTCAGCTCCAAGTCGCGCCTTGCAGCCGCAAAACGGCCTTCTTCTATCGCCTCTAGGATCGGGTCGCTGGCCATGGGTACAGAGGTGAAAACGAGGTGTAAAGTGGTGAGTAGAAAAAGGCAATGGGTGTGGGCGCGCACCCGTACCTCCCGCTTGTCACTTAGGTTGTGGATCCCAACGTCTTTCAAGTCAAATGGGCCAATGCCCGCACGTGGATATCAGGTCCGGTTTCAAACAGATTATCTCCGACAAAGGCGTCATGCATTCTTGTGGCTCCACCAGCGGCAAGTGCCCAATCCTGTATGGTCTCGGCAATTGCTTGGACACATGACTTGACCCATGTTGTGTGCCGGAATCCTGCCACTGACCTGTTTACAAGAACTTTCGCCAAGCACGCACCAGATAACGTGTGGAACAAGTAGCATGAAGGCTTTATCTCTGTACGCAGGCTATGATCACCAAAGGAAACTCTCCGCAACCTCCAACACCAATGTGGACCGAAATATATGTGCTGGATTTCCGCCCGAAATAGGGGGCATGCACCGGCATGAAGCTTATCTGGTGCGGACGAAATTGGTTTTTTGGGCCGGTATGAAGCGTTGTAGCACCGGTATGAAGTGATGTAGGCCGGTATGAAGTGAGAAGAGCCGGTATGAAGTGAGAAGAGCCGGTATGAAGTGAGAAGACCGGTATGAAGTGACAAGACCGGTATGAAGCGGAAGACAAACGAGCGGGCCCAAAAAATTGGCGCATCCGCCATCAAACACTGTTTGCAAGGCCAAGTTGCAAGCTTTGGTTGACCTTATCTTAATGGCGGGGCGTTGAGTGGAGAAGCAATTAAATACGATTCCTGCATCACCAAGCTGGGGAGTGCGTAGAGAAGTTTGACATTTTCTTGCGGGAGACAGTTGTTCCGCGATGGCTACTTTGAAAAAAGTGCGGCGCAGCATGAAATGCATGGCCATACATTGTAGGACCAAGAGCCAATGCATTGCCGGAAAAAGACCACAAGGCTGTGATTTTCATTGGTCTGTTTGCTTTGTTTTGCTTGTTCAAAATGCACATTGGCCCTGGGTGCTCTTCTCATGACTTGACGTGGGAGGAGCTAACATTTTAGTTCCAACGCAGCCGTGCGACTGTCTGTAGTGCGACCTCAAGTTTTTTTCCTTTCGGCTCATTCTAGGCACATTTTCCTTCTGCCTTGTGGTCTTGTGACCGCAACAACCGATAATTAGTGCATACCAATTAAAACGAAGGCCCGTGGTGTCTCGTAAATTATCTGGCGACATGAGCGGCAGACGGGGTAAATTGGTATGCCATGCACCTCTGGCGTGTCTTATTTGCAGGACCGATACAAGGGTTCTTGGCCCCATCTTGGCATTTATCAAATGCTCCGCTCTATAAAGAGGCTCGCGCTCCCCGTACTGACAAGAAAAAAATTATTTTATAGACTACAACAAATTAATCTTTTAGAGTTTGGTATGCCTAACTCTGATTCGAACAAAGAGAAAATTCCATCTTACGAACGTAATGACACTGAAGAGTCTTCCTCCATGTCAAGCAAGTATACTGGTGCTGACGAGTTTCAGCCCTATCGTCACACGGTAGAGAAAGTTGCTCGCGTGTTCGGATGCGACACAACTAATGGCTTGACCTCGCAAGCTGCTAAAGATTTGCTCCTGGAGCACGGCTCCAACACCTTGGGCGAAGGCGATAAGATCAGCTACACCAAGATTTTGGCTCACCAGGTGTTCAATGCTATGATCATGGTATTGCTCATTTCCATGGTTATTGCTTTGGCCATCAAGGATTGGATCTCTGGTGGTGTTATCGGTGCCGTTGTCCTTATTAATATTTCCATCGGTTTCATCCAGGAAGTGAAGGCGGAGAAAACTATGGGATCCTTGAGATCCTTGAGTTCCCCTTCCGCAAGAGTGACTCGTGACGGTGACGACTTTCAGATTGCCGCTGAGGAAGTTGTTCCTGGCGATATTGTTCACATCAAAGTCGGAGACACTGTTCCCGCTGACTTGAGATTAATTGACGTTATGAACTTGGAAACTGATGAAGCCCTTTTGACTGGTGAGTCCTTGCCCGTGGCTAAAAACCACGAAGAGGTTTACTCGGACCTGTCTGTTCCTGTTCCAGTCGGCGACAGATTGAACATGGCATTTTCTTCTTCCATCGTTTCGAAGGGTAGAGGAACTGGTATTGTTATCGCCACGGGATTAAACACAGAGATTGGTAGAATTGCCCAGTCTTTGAGAGGTGAAAAGGGAGTAATTAGATCAGTCAATAGGGATGGCGACAATTCCCCTGGCGTGAAAGATTACTCTCGAGCATTTTTTGGAACCATCAAAGACATCACAGGTAACTTTTTGGGTGTGACTGTCGGAACACCTTTGCAACGTGTTTTGTCCTGGTTGGCAATCTTTTTGTTTTGGGTGGCCGTTGTCTTTGCCATTGTGGTTATGGCGGTTCAAAAAATGCACGTCAACAAGGAAGTGGCCATCTACGCTATTTGTGTGGCTTTATCTATGATTCCTTCTGCATTGGTTGTCGTTTTGACCATCACCATGGCCGTCGGTGCCCAAGTGATGGTATCTAAGAATGTCATTGTCCGTAAACTTGACTCCTTGGAAGCGTTGGGCGGTATCAATGACATTTGCTCTGACAAAACAGGCACGTTGACCCAGGGAAAAATGGTAGCGAAAAAGGTGTGGATTCCTTCGGTTGGCACCTTTGGAATGGAAAACTCTAATGAAGCCTTCAACCCAGAAATCGGTGACTTGACCTACACCAAGTACTCTCCTAAGTACGTGAAGGAAACAGATGAAGAGATTGACTTTTTGCCAATTGACAAGACTGATAAAGAAAATTTTGCAACGAACTTCAAAACTTGGTTGACTGCTGCAACTTTGGCCAACATTGCTACTGTGACTCAAAGTAAAGACGAAGAATCTGGTGAAATGGTTTGGAAAGCGCACGGAGATGCTACTGAAATTGCCATTCAAGTGTTTTGCTGTAGAGTTGGTTTCCCTAGAGAAGAATTTGCCAGAGGTTTCAAGCACATCGAAGAATTCCCATTTGATTCTTCTATCAAGAGGATGTCTGCAATTTATACTATGGGCGACAAGACTAAGGTTTTCACCAAGGGTGCAGTGGAGAGAATTTTGCGCAGATGCACCCGGTGGACTGGTAATCCGGAAGAAAAGACAGACACCTCTGAATTGGTGGAAATGACAGAGGATGACATTGCAGAAATAGAAGCTAATATGGATGCTATGTCTTCTCAAGGTTTGCGTGTGTTGGCCTTTGCCAGTAGGGACTACGATCTTGAAAAGGAAGATATTTCGGACAGAGAAGCTGTTGAATCTAACTTGACTTTCCATGGATTGGTTGGTATTTACGACCCTCCTCGTCTTGAGACAGCAAAATCTGTTAAATTGTGTCATAAGGCTGGTATTAATGTCCATATGGTTACTGGTGATCATCCAGGAACTGCGAAAGCCATTGCTCAAGAAGTCGGTATCATTCCACGCAACTTGTATCATTACAGCCAGGAGGTTGTAGATGCAATGTGTATGACCGCAGTTGATTTTGATGCTTTAACTGATGAACAAATTGACGCTTTGCCCGTTTTGCCTTTGGTTATTGCCCGTTGTGCGCCACAAACTAAAGTCAGAATGATCGACGCATTGCATCGCCGTGACAAATTCTGTGCTATGACCGGAGATGGTGTCAATGATTCTCCATCTTTGAAGAAAGCAGATGTTGGTATTGCCATGGGTCTTAACGGTTCTGATGTGGCCAAGGATGCCTTCTGAATATTGTTTTAACTCGAATGACAAATTTCCACCTCCATCTATAAATGCCCGTTGAAAGAAGGGTAGAAGAAATGTCTGCTTAATATCCAAAAAAATTCATATTGCCAGTTATTGGCCAGAGAATGTTGAACAAAGCAATTTACCCTTATTGTTGGTATGGCATTCATGGACAGCTCTAGATACTCTGTTTTCCCCATTATCCCCCAGTTGAGGTGTTTATGGATTTTGGTTGTTACTTCTTGCTTCCCAGCCATGGGTTTTGGGTCAGCAGAGAGCTGCAGCCGAGATTTTAGACGAGCCTCCCAAACGCAAAATTTTCACCTGGGAACTTATTTGTGACATGTTCGTGTATGGTTTCTTGATGGCTGCGTGCTGTATGGTTTGCTTCGTCGTTGTTGTCTACGGAAAAGGCAACGGTGATTTGGGTAGTGATTGCAACTCGACCTCTGCAGACAAGCATATTTGTAATTTGGTTTTCAGGGGCAGATCGGCGGCTTTTGGTGCTTTCACTTGGTGTGCCCTCATTTTGGCTTGGGAATGTATCCATCCAACTAACTCCTTACTCAAAATGAACCCAGATTCTGAACATTCGTGGTGGAAACAAACTATCACTGAGCTTTGGTCCAACCAATTCTTGTTCTGGTCGATCATTGGTGGCTTCATCTCTGTGTTCCCAGTGGTCTACATTCCCGTGATCAATACCAAAGTATTTTTGCACGCACCAATTGGTTATGAATGGGGTGTTGCCGTTGCCTTCACTGTATTGTATTTCTTGGGATCAGAAGGATGGAAGTGGATGAAGAGAATTTACTTCCGCAAATGGAGCAAGAAGGTGAAGAATCCCGAGTATGAGTTGGAGAGAAGCGACCCTTTTAAGAAGTACGCATCATTCTCCAGATCCAATACCATGGATCCCGACATGTTGGCATAAGAATGCTTGGGTATACAAAGGCTTTTGCTAGGCAAATGCTTTCCCATGCAGATTCACTTTTAATTTCTTATTTTTATTCATTGTTGCATTGTGTTGCAGTTCTTGACTTGATATTCTTTACACTGGTGCTTGGAATAATAATGTGAGTAACAGTCTCACCAACCGTTTATACAGCTAGATTTATAATTACAAAGACTAATAAAGTCAGCATAGAATGTTGTTGTAAAGTATGAAAGATCAAATGTAAATATTGCCAGCAGAGACGACGCTTGTCAAACGATGCTTTAACGCAATTGCTGGTTGGACACGACAAAGTGACCACCCAAATGCTCCGTCAGCCCAAAATTCTGGATGAGTCCTTCGCCTGTAGTCTTGTCCAAGTCTATCATCGTCACCGAGGTATTGAAAGGAACACGAAGGTCTTCGAACGTCATTCCCTCGGCCAACTTGTAACCCCGGACATTGTACAAGTGGTTGATGAAAGCTCTAATCACACCACCGTGGGTGCAAAGCACTGTATTGGTGTGGTTTTCGGCCACGGCTTTCTTGAATGTCTGTTCCCACACTTGCGTCACGCGGTTTACCAAGTCTTCTTGTTTCTCGCCAATGTTTTTGAAGTCGGGTCCATACTTTTCAAGGGCATCTTGCACTTGCATCCCTTGGACGGGGCCCATGTTTCGTTCTCGCAAGTCTGGGGTTGTAGGGAAGTTTCCAAATGGTTTTTTCTGCTTTTGTGCGATGGCCCGGGCTGTATTCACACAGCGGATCAAGTCTGAGCTGACGATGTAGTCGAATTCAATGTCTTTCAAGTGGTTGGCGGCTTTTTCGGATTGTTCCCGGCCTTCATCATTCATGTCGATATCCAAATGGCCCTGCATGATTTTTTTAGCATTGTAGTCGGTTTTGCCGTGTCTCACGACAAAGATCCTCACGACATTTGGGTCGGTGTTAGCCACGATTTCACGAGTCATGTTGACAAGAAATAGAAACCAGATGAGTCGTAGATAAGTGGATGGGCATCATGTGACTAGATGCGTACAGCATGCGTGAGATTATTATTATTACATTATACAAACAATAAAAGAGATCAGTGGAAAACAATAGAGAAAGGCATATTCAGTCCGGCCGGCGGTAGAGTAAAAAGCCGCTCTTAACTCCCACCTTGGTGTACAACAATTGTGCCCGGTGGTTCTCAAACTGCGTGCTCCAATAGACCTTCTTGCAGTTTTTCTTATCTGCCTCGCCATAGACAAATTCGATCAAGGCGCGCCCCACACCATGAAGTCTCGAGTTGGGACTAACAAATAAATCGTTCAAGTACAAGGCGTCTTCGATGGTCCACGTATTTCTGTGGGTGAGGTAATTGGCAAACCCGATAAGTTCTCCGTTTTCGTTTTCAGCCACGCAAGAATAGACCGGCTCCTTCTCGTCGAAAAAACGGCCAAATGTACATTCTGTCACTTCGGGCGACACCTTGTCCAACGACTTGTAAAACTCCAAATACGAATCCTTGCCACTCCACAACTCGATCCATTCCTGCTTGTCTTTCTCTTCAATAGGTCTGATTGTGAAGGTCATTTTTACTGGTAACCTTTTTTTTTTCTTTTCTTTTCTCTTCTTTTCTTTTTTGATCTTCTTCGTTTCTACTATATATATTGCTTTAGCGCACTCGGCTCCAATTACTCATTCCGCTGGTGCGCTATCTTGGCGAGGGGAACGGAGATTATGGCCAATTCGGCCGTATCTACGAGGTGGTTTGTACAGTCTCGACCCTTTGGATTACAAACCTTTTAGGCGAACGCGCACTAGTAAACGACTGCAAGAATGGTAAGCTGGTAGTCGTACCAGATCGGTCGATACAGAATACTTGAAAACAATTGTTTTTAGCTGGTAAACGTGAAAACCTGTATGCCTTTCGTTTGTCGATTAGTTTGTATGATTAGGTGGCCCGTTTTGCTCATTTAGGGGCGAGCACCATCTCATCATGCAGAGAAGAAGTATTAGGGTCCTGAGGCCTATTTTCTTGGCTTTTCCTTTCGCCTTTCAAATTTTTTTTTTTTTTTTAAAAAGAGTTTTACTCGAATTTTTCTGGATTTTTGACTCCGTTGCCGCAACGGAAAAACTGTAGTTGTGTAAGTGTTCAGCCGTGCCATGAGATGAGGGTTTCATGACTATCTGTCGACGGTACGAAAGGGCGACTACAGGCCAGCTTTTTTGACCCTTGTACACTTCAACTATCCAATTGTTTCATTCTCAAAGAACTGTAGTCTAGCGTTCATTGGCAAAATTGTCCACGAAATGAGTCACTGCGACTCATTTACATTACACGTGGCGATAGAAACCAGGCACCACACTTTGCCAGTACAAGTGAGTTTTCTTTCTCCAACCACATCTTTCCTTTTTCGGCCTAGTTTCTCTTTTGGTGATGTCTTTTTAGAGGAGTGACTGCCCTCACGTGAAACCTTACCCCACATGAAAAGCGCGAGTGCAAAGAAGCGTAATTTACATTATTCCATGGATTCTAACCAGTTGCGAGACAAGAACATTCGAAAAAGAGGCAAGTACGGCCGCCCATGTGACGTTTGCTCTTTCCGCCGAGTTCGCTGTGTTTTTCCTGCCGGCAGCTCAAAATGCATAGGGTGTACAACCCATAACTGTGAATGCACCAACAACCGGATCCGCAAGAAGCTGGGCCCCAAACCGGGGAGGAGAAGCATCGAGAACGGAGAGGAGGCCGTAATACGACGTGTCACATCTGCAGTTGAAGGTACTTCATCAACTTTAGAAAACCCGTCTGCTTACACGGGTATTCACATCGCTCCAGCCCCAAGAATGGATAAGGAGCAGTGTCCACCAGACATGAACAGCATGAACAACCAGAATGCCTATGACAACACGGCTCCTCATCCGTCCAGTTTCCTTCTGACTCCACCGACTAATTTCACACCTGACGTTTTGGCTGTTCCAGATGCGTTTGCGTCGTCGCATCCCAACTCTGACATGTTGATCCCTTCGCCGTCGCTCTCCGAGGATTATGCGGCCATTCCAATTGATAAGCTACTACCGTGCTTGCAGGTTTATCAAACTTGGTTTTATGGGTACTGGCCCGTTTTGTCCGTAGCAGATCTTATGCTGACGTTAGTTGGAGATTCTAACATGGACTCCCTGTGCAAGTATATCAAACTTTCAGAAGAGAACGCCATGTCATATGCCTTATGCTGCGCTGTCTGTGCCACGATACTAACGCAAGTGACTTTTGTCACTTCCAAAATTAAAATGTTGAACATAAACGCTTGCCTCCCCGCCAATGAATACGCTAATGAGGCAAAAAGAGTTCGTTACCTATATGATTATGCAGCTAATCCTACTGTGTTGACACTCTTGAGCTCATTTTTTTTATACACCCATTACGTCAATGTCAAGGGCAAAACTACTCAGTCCAACATGTATTTGCGAGAAGCAATCACCACCTCGCAGATTCTTGGTCTTCACGAGCCCCTGAGCTACGTGAACAAAAGCGCAGCCGAAGTTCATCGGTGGAAAAAAATCTACTATATGTTGCTTGTCACAGAACGATACATGTGTTTTGAAGATGGCTTGCCTGTAATTCTAGATCCATGTATTGAAACTCCTTCTTTGGAGAATGAGGAATATCCAAGTTTGCTTGTTGGTTTCACGGAATTGGTGTGGGTATTTTCGGTTCCCAGCAAAGAGTTCTTTGGTGAGTTGAACCAGAAGAGGGGAAATAGAGATTTGAATGCTTTTAGACACTCATTAGAGAGACAAGGGCTTGAGGAGAAAAAAAAGTGGATCTTAAATGTTCATAACAAGCTCAGTCAGCCATATGACGATGCTATCAAGGTTTCTGACTCGCAGAAGCTAAATATTGTCCTCTCACAGGCTTGGATTCAATCGATTGCATGGCATATCACTTCAGAAAATGGTCTTTTGTACGGTAACACAGACCCACGGAATTGTTTTTCTGTGGAATTTCCCGGAAAGATTGCGGAGAATTTTTTACGGGCCACAACAAACCTTCCTCTGTTTGCTTTCGAATCTAATGGGCCGGGTGTCGGCGTAAAATTGCTTGCAATTGCCGAATCTTTGAGCCACGCCATTCCTCACAGTCAAGATAAATTGAGTATGGCGGAGAGGTTAAACTGCATTTTTTCCCTAGTGAATCGTTACAAGAACGACGTGGCCTTACCATTGGAAGTTTACACTAAGGTAGCCAATACAATTGCTGATCTCAAATCTTGCATTCCCCGGTCACTTCAGCAGATTGGCGAGTACGAACAGAATCGTATCGAGGAACTTTGCGAAGAACATGAAGATCCGGAATTGACGTACGAGGGGATGTTGCGGCAAAAGCAAGCGGAGGAATCCGAATCGCTAATTCCTGATACATCGTCCATGCAACCTTCGCAAATATGCAAGCCAGCTACTTTGAGGTCCCAGGGCGAATTTTTTTTGCTGGGCAACCGGGTGGTAAATGGGGCTGGCGACTTTAATTCCATGAGCAGAACTACGAGCTCTAGCACAACGTCGATTATTGGCCTCATGAACTCATTCATACCCGGCCAGTTTTACTCCAACAAAGAATACCCTACGTTGAGTCCCGAATACCCACTTTGATGCCGGGTGGAGTAGCATTTTAAATGTATATACAACCATTAATGAAAAGGCCCATTAGTTCTGAATATGATAGAACATGAAAGAAAAAAATATTGTGGTCATATCTTCAACTATTTGCTCTCACAATGCGAAAATACGAGTATTTTTCGAAGAATAGAACGGCACATGTAAGAAGATATTTTCCAGCATCATCTCTTGCATTCGGAAAAATTAAATGCACCTGAGGGGATCTCTCTCGTAAGTAGCGCCACAGCAATACAGAAAAAAAAAATTCGAGGACATATGGGAAAAATGCACCATGTCTATTTGACGTCAATGTCGGATAGAAAAGTGTGTTGGGTATACTCCACTCATTGACATTTTAAAGTTGTTCCTGTGTTCCACGTATGGTCATTCTTTGAGTGACCCCACGATTCGCAATGATACCTCGCAAATGTTTACGTTTTGTGCGTCCGCATACAGTAGCAGTGTCCTGTCTTGGGCCGAAATTATTCACGAAATGCTATTTCGCAACAACCCTCGCAATTTTTTCTCCAAGTTCATGCCTTGATATGGTTGTTCTCGCTTGCCCGCAATAATTAAGAATTTTCCCCGCCACTCACGCATCGCGGCGGAGACACTCACTTCTCATGGCAGTTTGGGGTCTCTTGACGTTATCAGTGTATTTCTTTCACAAGTCACCTGAGAGGAAACTACACCAGAATGCAAAACAAAACAAATAATACATGATAAAATCGTACCAATGTGGCGAAGAAAACAAGAGCCGATGTCCCGTTAGCAATCCAAAAGTACGGGTCGCTTGCGTTTAGATGCACTGATTCTGCTGAGCAAAATTTCCCACTCCTGCAGCAATGTGTGTAACTCGCAGAAAAACGCGGAGTACATCGCAAATTGAATATGTGCCCCACAGATGTTCGATGCAAGGCAAAAACATATAAATGCCATGGACTTTTCGACATCGTCACACTCATCTTACACACTTAAATACAGCAGCTTCACAACATGACACAAGAGTTTGTTGAAGACATCAAACATCCCGATATAATGACTTTCCAATCGGACAAGATGTCCAAAGTCGACGACGATAGCTTGGATGTGGAAGCACAAGACTACATAGCCAAGTTTTTGGACATGTCCAATAATGCTAAGGACAATGACAACAAGGAAAAGACAATGCCCTTGAAGGAAGGTTTGAAAACCTTCCCAAAGGCTGCCATGTGGTCCGTCATCTTATCTTCAGCCATCATCATGGAAGGTTACGATACCAACCTTATCAACTCCTTCTACTCGTTTCCCGACTTCGTGCGCAATTTCGGACACTATTATCCTGAAAAAGGGAAATACGAGATCCCTGCCCGTTGGCAAACGGCTTTGAGTATGGCTGTTTACTGTGGTGAGATTATTGGGTTGTTTGCTGCGGGTGTCGTAGCTGATAGAGTCGGCTACAGAAAAACCTTGATTGCTTCTTTGTTGGCCGTTGCTGGTTTGATCTTTATTGTCTTCTTTGCCCAGAGCATTGAGATGTTGCTTGTCGGGGAACTTTTATTGGGCATACCTTGGGGTGCCTTTCAGACCTTGACTGTTTCTTACGCTTCCGAGGTTTGTCCCACAGTCTTGAGGTTGTACTTGACGACATATGTCAATGTGTGTTGGGTTATCGGACAGTTGATTTCCTCTTGCGTGTTGAAAGGAATGGTGGAATCTAGTATGAAGAACGCGTGGAAAGTTCCTTTTGCTGTTCAGTGGGTCTGGCCTATTCCAATCGCTATTGGTGTATACCTTGCACCTGAGTCCCCATGGTGGTTAGTCAAAAAAGGAAGAATTCAGGAGGCAAAACATTCCGTGCTGCGGTTGTTGACTGTCAATGAACATCTTCCAGACAAAGAGGTCATGGTCAACGCCATGATTGACAAGATGAAGATCACTATAAAGGAAGAAACAACACAAGCAGAAAACGTCAGCTATGTTGACTGCTTCAAGAAGGAAAATATCAGAAGGACGAGGGTTACTTGCTTGACATGGTTGGTTCAGAATATCACAGGCTCTGCCTTCATGGGTTACTCCACATATTTCTACGAACAAGCCGGCTTGTCCACATCGAACTCTTTCACGTTTTCCATCATTCAGTATGTCTTGGGTATCATTGGTACTCTTTTGTCCTGGTTTACATCAACCAAAATTGGTCGGTTTGATGCTTATTTTGGTGGTTTGTGTGCACAAACAGTCATTTTGATTGTTGTCGGTGGCCTTGGTTTCGCCAATTCAAGTGGCGCCTCTTGGGCTGTTGGAACATTGCTTTTGATCTTCACGTTTGTATACGATTCCTCTGTCGGTCCAATCTGTTATTGTTTGGTCACCGAACTTCCTTCCACGAGTACGAGAACAAAAACTGTCATTCTTGCACGTACAGTTTACAACATTTCCGGTATTGTCATTGCCGTCATTATGCCTTACATGTTGAATCCTACTGCATGGAATTGGAAGGCTAAAACCGGTTTGTTCTGGGCTGGTTTTGCTATTTGCAGCGCTATCTGGTGTTGGTTCGAACTACCAGAAACTAAAAACAGAACATTTGCTGAGCTCGATTACTTGTTCGAAAATGGTGTCCCCGCCAGAAAATTCAAGACTACCGAAGTCGATGTTTTCGATGTTGGTCGTATAATGGAAAAGATTGGCGAAGATGGCATCAGAGATATGGTTGAGGAAAGCAAAGCAGAAGCAAAGCACTTAGAGAGTGTTTAGCTTACTCCCATTGTCAGCACTTTTACTCCTTTTCAATTCTTTAAAAGTCACATAGTTTTATAAATTCGCTGAGCGTTAACGTACGACAGGTATTGTAGCTATAGTAAGTACCCCTACACCCGGTGCTTATAGTCACATTGGCAATGATAACTTTGAATTAGATCTTCGTATTGTAGAAGTGCTGAATGAATTACTAACTGCTGAAAAAAAAAGATGATAATTATGCAATTTGAACACAGCGCTAGGCGAAAGCTAGATCATTCGTCTTCGTCCTCAATGTCGGTTTCTAAATCACAAATGGACCGGCAATTGGGACAGTAGAACTGTGGATAGCTCTTTAATTATAATGGGTCGAATACACTTGTAATGCCACGAATGTGAGCAGGGACTAATGAATAGCGCTTGACATGGTTCGAGCTTGAATAAACAGATAGCACATTCAGATAACTCTTCACCCTTCTGGTTTTCAGTGTTGAGGCCGAGGCTCTTCATTCTGTTGTGAATGTCCAAGTTGAAACGGTTGACTTTCCTCTGCCAGCTACGATTGAATTCACATCTCATCTTGACACATCTGTACACTTCCTCGGTACCTCCTCTGTAGTCTAGACCCAATTGGACAATATCGCCATCTATTAGTGGCCAGAGCGTCAGTTCCTGTGACGCCTGAGACAATCTAATATTGTTCAAGAACGTACCGGAAGATGATTTGCAGTCCTTGATAAACCACAGGCCTTCCTCATTACATTGAAACAACGCGTGTGTTCTAGAAACAACCTTGGATTTAAAAACTACCGGTGCTGAGGAGCCCTGTGGTGCATGTGCAGCGCTTTTGTTTTTCTCTGTGTATCTGCCAATGGAGATCAGATCTTTGGGTTTGATGCGGCGAATCACAGGCGAAAAATATAAGCCACTGTTTGATGATGAGTGGTCGATTATAGGGGTCAACCGGATCGAGTAGAATCCATCTTTATCTTTGCCCGATTCTGGGGTGTCTGGCTCAGCCACAGTAGACTCTGGTGCTTCGTCCCGCGTTTCAGTAATGCACATTGTGGTTTCTTCTCGAGCTTCAGCTTCTTGCAGGTCACGAACGACGGGCCCTTGGCTGGTTGGTGCTGATGCAACAGAGCCTCTAGTGGCTGTGGAAGGAGATTCCTCGGCAAACCCGCTGAGATTACCAATCGTGGGGCTGTTCGACATAAAGTGCCCTGAAGATTCAGCAGCAGCGGCCGCCAGCGACACAGAGCCGCGAATGGTGTTAGAGAATGAAGAGAGGAAGCTCAAGCCAAAAGAAGGCCTTTGCGTGGCCTGTGGGCGCAGGTCTTCGTGTGAGTCTTGTGTAGAAGGCCGGCGGACATTTGCAGAAGTAGTTTCGGCATTCACAGATACCTGCTCAGAGGAAGACGCGGCGCTTTCGGACAGCGAAGACGATTCTGGGTCGCTCTCAGGCGCCGGCATTCTGTTTTGGTGTGGGGATCCAGGCGCGGAGTGGGAAGGGGAACTCAAAGGGGACGAGTCTTTTTTGCAGGATCCGGCAGGAGCAGAGACAGCAGCAATGTTTTCGGACATGGGACACTATTCGTTGCAAAAGCAGATATTTAATGGCAGCGCTCTGTGACGGGTGGACGAAAATGAGGTGAGGAAACCTAAACGGAAACTGAAACGATAATGGAAACAGAATACTCCACTTCGAGCAAGGGGTGGCCACAAAAGGAAAAGAAGGTCAGCAGTGGAATCTGATCGCTCAGCTCTCAAATGTCGAAGGCAAGAGAAGAGGATGGAGGGAAAATTCTGGCTCCCAGGAACAGCGAAATAGAAAAAGGAAAAAAATTGTTCCAGCGCTAACTTTAAAACTGGAGAGGCTAAAGAGGAGCTGCGACAATCGGGCCCCCGGCCATGCAGGAAAATTTGCGGATGCAATCAGTTTGGGTGTTAGAGAACAGGAATGGACAGATGGTTCAATCCAGGCTGCAGCTTCGAGACCAACAAGAATGGGGAAATTTTTGAAAGAGACAAATCTCGTGTAACAAGAGATTTGCTATCCAGAGAACAACTTGGTTTTTCTCCAGTTGTGGCCCTGTTCCCTCTATGCTTCTGTCTTCGTTCTGTCCTGTACTGTGCCATTCGGCGCGTGTTACATTTTCCTGATGTGGGATGATTTGCTGGGGCCCAAGCTGCACCTGCATTTTCCGCTCCGAGAGCCAGCCAGGACGCTCATGCAGCATGCATCGATAACTTCAAACGGCGTTGGCGAAAAAATATACCTTCGGCCGTGCGCCTGTAGTTGCCGAAAAATTACTGGATGTGGTGATTAGGCTGGATGCTGATTGGTTTTCTTTGCTTGCTGCTTTCATTGCAAGTATGATTTGCAAAGGACGACATTCGTTCAAAGCCAATGACGCTTCAAAAATTGACGTGTTCTAACTTAATTGAGCATGCGTCGCTCAGATCCACCAGTACACTTATCTTCGTTACCTTTAAGGTTTGAAAAGCTACTCTCCGTCAATTTCGGAGTTTGGTCTATTTCTTTGACTTATGCCATTTATTAGGCCGGATGCGTTGGCTTGAAGACGGTAATTCTCGATAAAGAGTCCAGACTCTGCACCAATTTATCGTTGTAATCTGAGGCGATCTGCAACCTCAGTTGGTAGTGAAGATACTCGACCACATACATTTGAAATTAGGCTCGTCTACATATATATTCATGGCGCTGACATTTGGTCAATGTTTAGCTTCAATGAATGCCATTGATTTTTCGTGAATCCCGTTATGTTAGCTATAAAACTTGCGGTGAATTCGTCGCCACAACCTATCAGCATGCTCCAGTAATGTAAATTTACTACTTCCTTACATCACTACATTTCCTCGATTTTGTCACTGCTCAAGATGTACATTCACATACGCTAACCAAGGTAGTTGGACTTTTCGCTTACCAACCGAAGCAAAAGTTGCTGTAGCTGCTCACGGCCCTTAGGGCTGTCCCATATCCGGTGGTTGGTGTTTTCTGCAACCACCCACTCCAAAGTATTCAGACTTATCTTCGTCAATTCCCGTTGCCATTTTCCCCAATTGAGCGACTGCTTGATCATGTACTCTGACAGAATAACTGATAACGGCACCTTCAGGACGTCGGCAGTGTGTACCTCATTGTACGACAAGATTGACGCCGTCACTTGTTCTTGTAAACGAGCACGCAAGTATTTGGGGCTGTATACCATGTCACGCCCAAAGATCCGGCTCTTTGACAGGTACTTACGAGGGTGGAAAAACCAGTGTAAGTTGCGTACAAGACCCAAGGGGGAAATCAAGCCCCGAAGCCAAAGCTTGAAACCCTGCCATGAGTCCATCAAATCGAAATCTTTCCGGAAAACATGACGGTTTTCATTTTTCTTGTTGGTGCCGCTAAACGGAAAATGCTTCAAGAGATCCTCGTGCCAGCTATCCACAAGAAGCATCGAGTGCATTTGGCCCACGTTACGCAGGGCAAATACTTTAGAGTAAAGACCGCCAATATCGAATCCGACAGAGCAAAAGGGGCCCTCTATCTTCTCTTTGCGAAGTGCTTCCATGAGATACTCAATATTGATGGAGATTGATAATGGCGATGGAGCACTATCAGAGAACGCGTAGCCTGGGCGATCCCAAATACAATACCGCTCGATTTTGTTCATGTGGTACAATTCCTGGATCCACTCTTGGAATTGCTCTGATGATGCTTGCTGGCCACCTTCCACAAGCAAAATCGGCTGTTTTGCCTTGCCTGAATCATCTTCATCTTTGGTCATGTTCGCATGTACATCACCAAAGCATGCCAAATGAATGCTAAACAGATCCTCATTCACGGGGATCATCTTTCCCCAAGGTTTTTCGTGCGAGTCAAAAGCCTGAAGAATGAGCGACAAACTAATGTTCCACACAACCAACAAGAGAAACAACTTGACTAGGATTTTGACTGTCATCACGAAAAGTTCGAAGATGGATTTGCGTTTTTCGACACGCCCAGTATACTTTATTTCCTGGCGTGCTTTGCTCCTTTCTACAGTGAAATCTGCAAAGCAATTAACCCCAATGTTGAATAAAGTCCAAAGAAGAAGGAAATTTCCCAAGGGCCCTTGTTGGTCTCTGAGGTACGAGACCGAAAGAATAACCACAAGATCCACAAACAACAATACGAAGCTTATGTAGCCAAGAATTCTCTCGTAATACGCTGGAACTGTAAAACACCATAATGTTACTAAACCTGTAGCAATGTTCAAAATGGTAAGATCCAACTCAAGAAACAGTCTTCCTCTGTTATTGAACCCGGGGACAGAAATGAAATCGCTAATCAAAACGAGAAAGAAGCTCAAGCAGTTAAAACCCAAAATGGCCACGAGGAAAACTCGAAGAAGCTTGATCTGGTCCAAATTCAACGGGGAAACGATTGGGTCGTCTGGGTCAACATAGTTGCTGCGGGAGTTGAGCAAAGGCTCTCTTTCAATGTCGGACGGCGGACTTCTAGTCACAGAATCAACCGATTCTGTAGTCTCTGGCTCTTGCATTCGTCAAGGAATTATTTTTTTTAAAATTGGGAAAAGAAGTTCTATATGCGTTAGCAATCGTAAGTACGAACATGACGGATGCTGTCGCACGTGACTTTATCGGGCTAGCTGGCTACCAGTCTAGATGAATTCAGCGGTCTAGATTCCTATTTTGGAAGCTGGCGATAGTGCTTGCCAGTAATCGGCAAAATCATGTTCACTCCCAATTTTACGGGTTTGTTCTACCCTCATCAAATTAGCAAATACCTAAGCCATTCTTATAGTTGTGACGAGTCTTCTCTAGACATTGAGCCTGCATGCAGATTCCACAACGTTATCAGTCAGACGAGAAGAGGAAAACACAATTGGAGAATAATGGCCACCATCTCAATCAATGACACTTCTTTAGAGAACAAGGTCACATATTACCATATTTCCGTTACGCTTCCCCTACGATCGATTTCGGTGGCCCGAAGATACTCTGAATTTGTATCGTTGGTAGAAAACCTCTGCAGTGAAATAGGAATCTCCCAGAGAGATTTTCCTTATCCGCTTCCGCCCAAGGGAGGCCTTTTCAACAACAGCACCAAAATTGTTGCAGAGAGAAAAGTGAAGCTCACAGAATTCTTATCGAATATTGTGCGTGACCGAGATTTACAGAACAGAGACTCTGTCCACAAGTTTCTTGGGTTGCCGGTAAGTTTCCGTTTCACTCCAGAGCTATTCAAGGAAAACCAACAGGATGAATCCAGTGCCAAATTCCTTATTGACGATGATGTTGCGGATATCAATAAAGGCCAATGGCTATCATACCTACGTATAGTCCGCTTCAATGCAAGCGACATGGGCAAAGGCACAGATTTGGCATCGAAGCTTGCCGCCCGCGAGAATGCTAATAAGTTTATTCGCCCTAATTTGGAGAAACTCTCGTTAAGTTTGCAGCATTTGTCGAAATCCGGCGCCATAGATCACGGGGAATATTCAAAGAGAAATAATATGCTTAAAGAGATTCAGGCCGATGTCGAGAAAGTCGTACGGGGCGAGGCACCGAAGGTTTCCAATTTGCCAGAATCTTCTCTGAGGAGGATCTTTGCAAAGAGAGACGACACTCCGCCCGAAGAAACAAATACTACACTTGCCTTGAACAACAAGGAATTGCTTCAGCAGCAAAAGCTAATGCATCAGCAACAAGACCAAGAGTTAGAGCAACTCAGGATGGTTATTGGTAGACAGCGCCAGATTGGAGAGGCCATCAACAAAGAAGTGGAGGAACAAAATGAAATTCTCGACCGCTTTTCGAATGAGGTGGAGGCATCGTCACAAAAAGTTCAAACAGCCAGGACAAGGACTCGCAGAATTGGTTAAGATGTTTTTCTCGCTTGTCCCTAATTTTACTTTAAATTACTGAATTAAGGTTTTATAGACGCCTGGCTCTCAAGCCCTAGTAATCTATAGAGAAGTCCCAACTGGTAACAAATGCGGGTAACCGCGATGCGCAGTATAAAAAAATGAAAAGGTCGGAGCATAGTTACTAACTTTATACAAATTTTATCAACATTACTGGTATGTTTTGTGCTAAGAGTATCAAGATGAAAACACTTCGCCTTTATTGAAAATTCATGAGAATTCAAAAAGTTTACACCAAGATCTACGCTGAAAGATACTTTCTTGCTATATTAGAGTCCACACTAACAATTTAGATATCGTTAGTATAATTCGGGATGTAAGCTTCTGATCACAGAACCCCATTTTTCGATTCCCTCTTCTATCTCCTCTTCCGTAAGAAGTGCCACGCATAGCCGTGCTCCGCTTTTGCCCCATCCAACAGGGTCTCCAGCAACTTCGAAGAAGTTTCCGTTTGGAATGCGGACGCTATGTTTCTCTTGGACAATCTTCAACGTTTGCTCAAGATCAAAGTTGGGGCTGTCGATGTAGACCCAGCAAAAGTAGCCGCCATCGCCGCCATAAAATTTCATATGGTTTACTGGAAGATGCTTGGCTACAGCAGACCGCAAAGTTTGTGCACGAGATTTGAAGGCGTTGGCAAATACTTCAATGCTCTTGTCTAACTCTCCGGACAAGATGAAGTTGTTAACAACAAATGTGCTTAACTGACCAGGCGTTCCACCGGAGATGTTGGCTCCGGTAGAAGCTAACTGCTTGGCTAAAAGCGGAGTGGCTGTTTCTTGCCAACCCACGCGTAACCCTGGAGCTATAATCTTCGAGAAGGAGCAATTTGAAACGGTGTTGCCGTACTTGAAACCATCAGGTAAGCTGTCCTCGTCCAAATGGCTTAGCTTGGGTACTTTCGGTTGAAGATCGTAACACAAGTAGTCGTATACATCATCACAAATCAAAAGGAGATCGTGCTTTCGGGCCACCTCTAGCAACTTTTTCCTCGTTTGCACAGAATATGTGATAGCTCCAGGATTAGAAAACGTTGGAACAAGATACATGACATAACGGTACATTTTTCTCGGGCCACGGCCTGTAGGGTCTTCAAAGATGTTGACTTCTGTTTCTTTCACTTCCTGGAGTCCATTCTCTGCATCCAATTCCTTCAACCTTGTCTCTAACCTATCGATATCAATATCATATTTTTCTCCTGGAGTCTCCTTTATGGCGGTCATTTTCCCTTCAAAGCCAGCATCCATGAATGCATAATTGATCAAAAAGTACGTGGGAGAAACTGCAAATGCCTGGATTGTGACAGAGGAACTAGTGCAAGATGTCAATATGTTTGCTGCGCCATATGAAGCGCCTCCAGTTAGGTTGATTTTGTTGGGGTCATTTTGCGTACGGCCAAACTTCCCATTGGCCCACTTGACAACATTCTCTCTAATCCGCAAGTTTCCAGGATCTGTTCCATAGTGGAGGGGATGGGTATTCTGAGCATCCCGCTGATAATGTGGATATGGCTCTTCTTTGAGAATCTTATCATAGGCAGCGGCGATTTGGTCCGAAGGCAATAGGCCTAAAGTAGCATGGCCTTTAAAGAAATCTATCGTCTTGGGAGCAGCCATTTTGGAGGAAGGTTGACAGGTAATTGATACTTCGTTTTGTTTTTTCTCGTATTGTACCTCTCCACAATGAATTCCGCCTCGAGTAGGTAATTCCGCCTATAGCGCGATATCACACTCCGATAAAGTGTACAGTCCTTTGGCTAACTAATCGGGACAGTGGACCTAGATTCTTGAAATTTCTGTTATCATAGTGTCAAAATACGAGAACTAACTCTCTCATGCCTTAGATTTGAGAAGATTGATGGAACATTATGTGGTGAAGAGATTTTTCTAGATGCCACAGCACAAGGATGCTTCAAAAGATAGGAGAGATGCAATACTTCAAGCTTCTATTCCTTGACTTTCTTGCTCCAAAAGTCATTTGCTTCTGAATCCCTTTGCCTTTGGAGACTTTAATTTCTCTGGTTGAATTAGTAGAGCATGTTGGCTACGGGGGATAGATATCAGCACATACTTTGTACTTTTCGTGACAGAATAGCAACTTAATTCTAAATTGTGATCCTGAGTTAAATCTAAACCGGAATATCTAACATCTTAGTTAAATAAAATTCAATGAAATCAGGAGTCAATGGGATTTTTGGATCTTCAGTTTCTCCATTTTTATCTTTGGTCATTACCGGTACGTACTGCAGTCACTAATCTAAAGCCTCTGAAACGTCAAGTGGCGCACAGCAAGAACAAAGACATATGCTCACACATTGAGGCAAAAAAAAAAAAAAAAAGGAAAACCGCACATTGAACACACAATTATGGCTTCAACAACACCTTACCGCCATAGATGACCACTCTCTTTCTAGTAGAAAACCGGTAGTCTGTGATGTGGACCATGGTTCTGGTGTACGGGTGTCCGCGGCCCAATCATACTCGCACGAAAACTTTTGTAATGAACCACTTCCTAGCAAGAACCATAATGCCATCTACAGCAGGGTTAATTTTTAGCACGTTTCTTGGTGTGGTCACCAGAAGAGTCCAGGTCCAGCTTGTGGGCAAGCAATACCCAAGGTCATGGGACAGATTGACCGGATACATTTTGTCCGTCGGCGTTTTCGTTGGAGGCTACGCCGTGGTGGACCATTTTGTCGAAAGAAACAGAGAATTGTTGAACAGAAGATTGCACCAATTGCGTGACCAAAGAGAACAGGCGGCTGTTTTCCACGAGTTCGACTTGGAAGCGGACCACAGAATCACTGCCCCAAAGAGATCGTCCAAGTTCTACGACTTGTTGGACAAGTACGGCAGTGCCTACAAATGATTGATGCATAGTGAACACAACACTGACAAAAAATGACATATTCTCTCCTCGCTCGCGGTATATGTATTTATTTAGTTGCATTAGAGCTGAATCTACGCTTTTTGGTTTGCGCTGTATTAGTTCTAATCTACAACGGAGACTCCCGTGTCTCCTCTCAGGAAATCTGCTCCAGAACAGCCCCTTCCTCTTCTTCCACTTTTACGTATTGCTCCTTACTCTCTTCAGCCATGATGCCGGGCGCCTCTCCTGCCTCCTGTTTGACTTCCTCAATGACTTCTTGCTTTATCTCCTCCTTGATCTCGTTCTCCTCTCCTTCATCTTCTCCCTCAGTCTCGTCACCCGATTCTGCTTCTAGATCGCTTTCTCCACTTTCGGCGTTACTATCGAACTCTTCTGCTAAATCGCTGTCGCTTTCGCCCTGTGGTTCACCCGTGTAAGAAACATCTTCCTCTTCGTCATCATCATCGTTGCCCTCCGCTAATAAAGCTTCTGTTCCTGTAGCACCAGTATTGTCTTCCTTTGGCGCAGTTTCTCTAAACTTGTTGTCGAACGAATTATCGGCGATATTCATTCTCCTGATGAACTCGTCAATTGCCTGGTGCGACTTTTGGTCAATCATGCTCAACTCAAGAGTCGCTTCTTTCCCTGAAAGGTGGTCATCGTAAGTAATCACTGCTGTGAATGTAAACTTGGAAATGTCCTTGTACGAAACATCTTTAATGCTGGAAAAGTCCAATATTGTAATTGGTTTCTTGAAACCGAAAACTAGGAACGCCTTATCAGGAGATGGAGACACTAAAAGGAGTGCGCCCTCTTTCGATCCCTTGTAGGCCTCCACTGCAAGAAAATCATTGACTGAGTTGCCCTGAGCCGATACAGCAATTACTGAATCAAAGTTCATATTGAGTTGGTTCTTGAACACTTTTGCTGAAGGCATAAAGTTGAACAAGCTGATGCCACACAAGCTGAACTGCCGTTCCAAAAAATCAATAATGAGCTCATTAATGGGCTTGATACCGTCGGGACTAGATGCCATGTGGGCCACACGAGCCTCGGCATCGGGCGGAATCTTCCCGTCTTTGGCCAATTGTTTTTTGACCAAGTCTAAGTTGAATGTGCAGATGATGGGATCGTTCTTCGAGGGGTCAGCTACCAGATCATCATTAAGCCAGAAGCACAACATGGCGGTGTTTTTCTTCGTGGGTAAAGTCGAGTTTCCTAGAATTGGAATGAGACAACATAACTTGATTGAGGAGCGTAAGTTGCCGATTGAGATTTCCGGGATCCCAGTGTTCACATTGACAACAGAAAATAGCGGATGCGGCGTGCTGTCTGGTGCAATTGTCAAATGAAAGACAAGATTCATCTTTCGTCTCATGGGCGAAGTAAATGACAAACTGGAAAGCTCAAAAATCACCTCGTTTGGGTTGATCGGCGCATTTGGCCCTTGGTCTGTGTGAGGCTCAGCATTAGGCGTAGCACTTTGTGTGTTTGGAGTGTTGACCGCCCCTGTGTTATTTTGGCTTTCTTGTCCATTGGTAGCAGGAGAAGCCAATTTTCTCTTTTTTGCTTCGGGGCTCAGTGCCATGTAGTCGTAAAGTTCTTTGAGAATGAATTCGCTTGAAGGCTGCGCTCGGATAAGGGCACTGACTTTTGCCTTCAAGTCGAGAGGCAAATTGTCGACCCACATGGAGAAGAAAGGTTTGTTGCGGGTGGAGAAAAGGTGGATGCGGGTGCGATATCGTTAACTGTGATGGATATCGGAAATGAATTGTAATCAGGACCAACAGCAATAATTGAATGGCATCAATTTATTTCTAATTTTTCTCCTTTCTTCATTATGTGGTCGTAGACGATTAGGCTGGAATAATCAAGACGAGATGGAACTACATTATTCACGATGTGTGCTTAACTTTATGTGTGCCCAATCTCCAGACTAGTGAGCTGACAGAGAACTACGCGTTAGATTAAACATGAAAAAAAGTGGATATATTCCTTGGATCTGTATCTTTCGCTGGTTGTCCAGGTTGCCGGTATTTCCCATTCAAGCGTTGCCGAGTCGATTTATTGTGCTTCACAAACATGATTGCAGTAGATTCTGCTTACATGAATCACAATGCTCAAACAACAAACAAATACATCAATATGTATGAAAAAATAAATGTACAATGGTATTACTTCAAGCAGTATGATAAGTAAGGCGAAGCAAATAGGCAAATGCCAGTAGTAAGACCGACAAGGAAAGGCTAAATTGATGGAAAACAGTTCGGTCGTACGAACGTCCAAATGTCTGCGCGTAACTTACACTAGATAACCTTGTTTCTCAATTGGTGATTGATGTTCATGCTTCTCGGAACGCACAACAAATCATCTCTTCGAGGATAAACACATTTGTCTACGCGCGTCTCTGACGTCAAAGAAATTTCTCCACGTTTGGCTTCCTTGCGTGTATCCCATCAACGTCACGATGGATCTTCTTGAGCAAGACGCGGCGATTCTCACGCTTGTCCCGTCCCTAGCACCGGGTCTCGTATCACGCCGCCCCTACGTCGACTCTTTGTATACTTTTTTAGATACATTGAACGATGCGCGCCCGGAACTTGTTAGTGCAATCCGGCTGCTGGTGGAAAAAGCAGTAGCGGCCGGCCAATGCAAGAATGTTTCGACGGTCCACGTGGATCTGGATAAGACTGTTTTGCTTACGTATGCCTTTGGGGATCTCTATTCCGCGGCGTTGGCGCTTGCAGACGGTGGAATCGAGGCGCTTGTCGCGGGCGGCGAACACCACAGTGCGCCTGAAGCGGTGCAAAAGTACATGCGCGGACAAACGCCGCCGGTACCTGTGTTCATGCGCGTGGACTTGGCTCCGCGCCAAACACTGGAGCAGCAAGCGGCGCCCGTCCACGGTCTTCTTCGGGCGCGCGCAATGCTCGAGGTGCTCGGGCTTCGCTTAGACTTGGACACTTTGGAGGTGCATGCGGACAGTGAAATGCAGACGGATGCTAGAGATGATCCGCCAGCTGCGGAAACTGGACACGGGATGCATCTTGGTCCACAAGTTCCAAAAGGAAAACATGTGCCACAAGTCCCAAAAAAATTGGAGACTTGCCCAGAGCCTTTGCAGACACCTACGGTATTGGCAGATTTGCACGCCTGGTTCTGTCTGTGCGAGCCATTTTCGCGCGCATGTGTGGGCCACTTTCGCTCGGGAACCCAAGTCGCTGCGCAAACTCTGGGCTTGCTCGCCCGGTTTTTCCAAGGCTCGCGCTGCAATCACGCCACGCCGCTCCCCGTGTGCATGCACTTGCTTGCTCTAGTGCTACTGGCATACAATCCCGCGCTCCCAGTACGCGTGCGTCGCATCACGCGAGCACGCGAGATATGAAGTGAGGCGCCTCTTCTTCTTTCCGCCTGGCCCGCAACTTGTCTAATCGGCCTACACCTAATAGAGGAAAACGAGGTGTCATTTTTCCAGGTTGGGGAGTCTACAAAGTCCTGAGAATCGTTTTCCCGGGTTACTTTCTTCTTCCTCCTGTTCCCTTTTTCCATCTCTTGTAAAACTCTAGGCGCCTTCGTTCTCTTCCCGTTTTGCTGACATATCCTTCCGTTTTCCGTCCTTATCTGTTCGTGTCGAGGCTGAAAAAATTTTCGCACCGCCGCTCAAAAGTTCGTGTCCATTGGCTATTTCGCTTGAAAAGTGCGTGGTCCAACTCCGCTTGCTTCGTTGTCCAGGCTTAATCTCGGACTCTATCTTGTCCTATACGTCATCACTGGTATCAGTTTAATTTCCGTCTTTCCTCAACGGCCTTGCATTCTTTCATTTTCCTTGCCAATGCCCCATCATGTCTAAACCAACCGTTTTGTCCAAACCCACACAAATGTCCACACACATGTCCAACGGCTCGAAAAACCCTGATGCCTTGCATTCAGAACAGGATGTCGTGAAAGACAAAACAAGAAAAGCTAAAGATGACAAAGAAAAAGTCATCAAAGAAGAGGATAGAAAGAAGGTGTCCGTTTCTAAAGACACCCAACCCAAAGACTCCGATTCTAGCGCAAGCTCTAATTCTAAGAAAACCCTCAGCTCCTCTTCTGATGGCTCTAATGACAAAGACAAGGATAAGGAAAATAGCACCAAAGATACAGCCAAAAAGGCCGGTCCGCGGCGTTTCCGAGGTGACGTGGCACCGTTCAACCCAAGCGGTCAGACACAGCTCTACGCCCAGCAAATGCAGTATCCTCAGGCACCACAGCCTTATCCCCAACAGCAGTTCTATTCCCAGCAGCCGCAGTTCATATACGGTAATCAGATGCTCCCGTACTATCCCATGGCCATGGGATACCCGGACCTTATGTACCAACAGTATCAGTTTTATGCCATGGCCAACCAGTTCAATTCACCTCAACCATATACGGGCCATGTGCATGCCAACGGATATGTTCATCGGAAAAAACACCCCAAGGGTCAGCATAATCACCAAGGCCACCAACCTTATGGATACCAGCAAAACGGTTCAGGCTCACATATAATCCCGCTGGACTCGGCACTGCCGCCTGCATCTCAACTGGAATTTGTGACTCCAGAAAATCATGGTCCTTCGCCTCAGCATGATCCTCAGCATGACCTGGATCCAATCCAGCCTAATCAGCCAGAAGTTCCCAAGTACTCAGAAGAATTTCCTCAACCAAGTACAGAAGACCAGGAAACCACTCAAGCTGCTGAAATTAAAGCACAAGCAAACCAATCGCATCCACAACTACAATCACAGCATGGATCCCAGCATACGCCTGCTGCTACACCAGGCAGCGCTACCACTGATCTGTATGCCGAAAACGCAAAAGTTCCTATTAGTGGGCCACTCATATTCAACATTTCCGCCACTGAGCTTGCAGAAGAACGCAAGAGGAGCGTTCAACTACGCCGACAACTCGCTGAAGCGAAAAACGCCCGAGCCAATGAATTTATAAAGCAAGTCGATGGTGACCTTGCCGTTAATCCATACGGCTATTACCAGCTCAAAGACCACAACTCTAATGATGAATACTACAAGCACAATTTCCCTAGCACCAAGACTAGCAACGAATCTAATGATAATGACTCTAATGACCCTTCCATTTCATCCCCCAAGGCAAACTTGAACTGGGCATCCATCTTGCAAAGCTCAAAGAAGCAACCAAAGAGTGCTGTGGCCACCAAACCAGCCTCTTCTAATGTGACATCCGAAGTATCTGCTGGCAGCTCAGTTACTGCTAAAATTGTGGAGACTGAACAATATCCGCAACTGCTCGGCCTTCTCGCGATGAAATTGTTACTGGATCCCAACTTCAATCTAGATGCATGTGAAATGTTCGAGGTGAAACCTCGCGGCTTAACAAACTCAGGTAATATCTGTTATATGAATGCTGTGCTACAGTGTCTCGTGATGTGTGAGCCTTTTAATAAGTTGCTTCGTCATGTTCAAGAAAAGTCTATTGGAACGCTAGGGAAGACATCGCCTACTCCTTTGCTTGATGCCACGATCAGCTTCATTGAGGATTTTATCAACATCCCAAGCTCTTCCAAGCCTAATGTTTCGCTGTTGAATAGCGAAGGCATCGTTGTTGGGAAGCCCTTGTCACCCGAAAGTTTGTACATGAAGTTGATTGAAAATCCTAAATTTAAGCACTTGAAGTGGGGTCAACAGGAGGACGCCGAAGAATTTTTGGGTTATCTACTTGATGGATTGCATGAGGAATTTGTCAAAGCCGAAGCCAGTGTTCTGCCGGAAATGTTGGAAATGTTGTACAACAAGTATTCGCAATCGCTAGATCCTCACCTTGCTGAACAACTCAAGCTAAAAATGAAGAGCGGTGCACGTTTAGTGCGTAGTACTGAGAGCAAAGAAGTGGAAGACTCGGAAGAACTGGAAGGTGATCACTCGGGTTGGTCTGAGGTTGGAAGCGGAAAAAAAGTGAACAAAAAGCGTGTGATGGAGGTGGAGCCTTCTCCCATCACAGAAATCTTTGGAGGCAGTTTCCGAAGTGTCTTGACTGTTCCAAAGGCAAAAGTGTCCCAATCCATTACTATTGACCCATACCGCTCGATACAGGTGGACATTTCTCACAAAGAGATTGAAACCATCGAAGATGCATTGTTGAGGATTACAGAAGTGGAAAAAATTCCTTATAAGATCGAAGCTGGTAAAGAAGTGATCGCACGTAAGCAGTCATTCATTGAAAAATTACCTCAAGTGTTGATTCTCCAACTCAAGAGATTCTCGTTTGAGCACCAACAACCGCAAATCGCAACGTCTGAGAACGGCGAACAAGACTCTAAGCTGATCAGTACGCACCATATTGGAACGATCGAAAAAGTCATGAAGAACATAAAGTACGGCTTGGACTTAACTGTTCCGCTCGAATGTCTCTCAAGTGGTGTTCGCCCCACTGAAAAGCGCGACTACCGCTTGATTGGTGTGGTTTATCATCACGGAAGAAATGCGGAAGGAGGTCACTACACATGTGATGTCTTGCGTAATAAGAGGGAAAAGAAGTGGCTCCGTATCGACGATACAGCTGTCGAAACCATAACAGCGGATATGGTTGTTGACGTTCCAGATGCCAGAGATAAAAGTGCGTACATTTTGATGTACCAGAGAGTCTAGGTTTTGTTAGTGTCCTGGAAAATGGCTGATATCTTTTCAATATGTGGCATGTACTTTACGAATGATGGTGATAGAATGGACGATGGGCGGCTAATATTATCGTAAGTGTATGAACTGAGAGAAACTTTGCATGATTTATATAGTTAATGCTGAACCGTGATACTCATATAGTTTATGGGACGTCTCCATAATGAAACTTCTTTTCTGCACCTTTTGTAGCCAGTAAAAGGAGACAATAAGAAAGTCAATATGGGGAAGCGAGAGTTGTAGAATCCAATATGTAAAACGGGACTAAAGCCTTCGCCTGGACAGGGCTTCAGAGGGTATTGCATGATGATTGTGCTTTGCTAACTACGTGAGGAATATCTGCATGCTACTAAAAGTGTTAAAACGCACTAAAGATAGCCGGGCTCGATGACTAATGTTGAGTTACATTACTCATCGGCAAGTTCAGTCACTAGTCGATGAATATCCATAGTTCTGCCTCACCAATACACGAAGACGAGATAACACCAACATGCTTTCAAGAGTTCTTGCGAGATCTTTGCGCTAATAAATGAGTCTGGAGAATTCCGTGCGTATTTTCACTTTGCATTATCTAAAGGCGATCTTTCGACATGTCGGCAACCACATACGGCCGCCCGAAGGGGAAATAGCACAACAAACACTTTCGCGCACTATCAACGTGGACAGTAGTATTCGCGCCGCGTTAAGTACTCATAACCGAGAAAACATAAGAAAAAAAAACACGAGCAAACACGAGTAAACACGACCCGATGCAAAACAGAAACATACAAAGATATTAAAAAAAAACACGGGCGGAAAAGCGCCAGAAACACGGGAGAAAATGGTGGCTAATGGATTCTGCGCTATCACCACCTCGAGGCGAAGAGAAGGAAAAACCCAGTCAGGTGTAATCGACAAAGAAGAGCCGCATGATAGGCGCGGCCGCATCGGGAAATAGGCTCTGCCAGCTTCTATGGCGGCGTCAAGCTGGACAGAAAAAGTTTTCTCTGCCTTGCATGGTGTGGCATCTCCTGTATGGGCGCTCGGGGTGCGAAATGTCAGTGATCTTCCTCCGTGAGGAAAATTTGAGCACTGCCATCTGTTTCAGATCATAACCCGATGCCCCAGAGGCGTACAGTCAAAGCTTAAAAGTAATCCGATATATAAACCTAAAGTATCGGAGCACATGGGGGCCCCAAAGTGCAATTGTAGACAGATTTTAGTCCTGTAAGCAGGCGGAGATTAAGGAAAAGCCCGCACACGTTTTCTTGGTGGGAACACTAGCAACGGAAAGTTTTCCCGTGCGGGCTTTTTTCCTAAAATAGATTGCCCTCATTTTTCCTGTGTGGCGGTGCGGTTTTTCGATGTTCTCGAGGAACTCACCAGCTGTGTGCCGGAACTGTGTGCACGCAAGTTCCGCATCGGGTGCTTGACTTTCCGCAACAGGAAGGTCGCACTGGGATTTGCCTTCGCAACCATAGCATGGACGGCAAGATTCTGCTCCCAGTGCAGGAACACAGTGTGTCTGCCCTCTCGCTTCTCTATAAATTGGCGCTTCGCCCACCTTGACCTGACTTTTTTTTTCCTTTTCCTCACTACTCTCGTCACTCGCTAATTTACTTTACAATGCAATTCTCTAAGGTTATCGTCCCAGCTGCTGTTGCTTCCGCTGTTGTTGCTTCTAACGTCACCGTCACCACCGACGTTGTTGTTACCGACTACACCACCTACTGCCCAGAGCCAACCAAGGTTGTTGTCAACAACAAGACCATCACCGTCACTGAGGCCACCACCTTGACTGTCACTGGTCCATGCACCATCCCAACCACCTACGTCACCACCTCCCCATCTTCCGCTGCCCCAGCTGTCTCTACTGTCAACGCTGCCGGTAAGGTTGCTGTCGGTGCCGTTGCCGGTGTCGCTGCTGTCGCTGCTGCTCTCTTCTAAGCTTGTTAAGAGCAATTGTTTGTACTGCGCCGAGTGATTTGCACGATTACGTTTGGCTGCGTCTAACTTAGTTTTACTTAATAGCTTAATTATACGCTGGACAGAATACTTTTACATTGTAGTTGTTTTTGACTGGTTTTTGTCACTTTATTTTTTTGCCTAGACTTTTGGTGCGAAGACCTTCTGCAACTTTTTTTTCCCTGTGGCGTAAAATTTTTTCCGCTTCGCGCTCAATGCAGACGCATGTACTGCAGGCAGTGCTCATGACTAATGTCTGTTTTGGTACTCCCGATTCTGTAATACAACCTGCCCTATTGGGGCACATCTTGTCTGCTTCGGTAATAGGGCGAGTAGGGGTGAATCACCACATTGTCAAAGTCCCACACATTTTCCTGGGCATAGATATCCTCCTTGAGAATGCTCAATACTTGTGACCGACTTTCTGCTTGAATGGTGAAGCTGGATCCCAAAAACCGCGATTTTGTTTCATCCTCAAACACTGGGCCGCAACTGGTGATAACGCCACTCTTTACCTTTTCGGGCACCTTCCGGAGATGCTCAGCACGGAATGCCAATCTCCGATTGAATGGTTTGTCGTAAATGATCACGAGCCACTCCAATTTCTTAGGAATCTTTGTCATTGAGGAATTTCTTACTGCTTCTGTTTCATTTCAAAAGTGGGTACTTGTATGTACTTGTAGCTTCCCCGCTAGTGTGCAGTGCAGCCTCCTCGGTATCTACGCTTTTTATTCTGGCAAAATCTTCAGACTTGTGTCAGACTAAAAAGTGCTAAGACTGAATAAATTCTAGTCGTAGTGGAGAGAAATCAAAAATTAAAAGATCCACACTTCCCCCAGAGAACACCCGTCCAAACCAATCGAAGAAAGCCGAAGCTTCCTTGGGAATGGAAGACGTTCTCTGTTGATAGAGAAGTTGGCAGCAGCACCTCGCAGCGCTGTGCAATGCAAACGAAGCGCCACGGCTACAAGACTACTTGATCTCCTGTAGCATCTCAAGGTAAGTATGAAGAGAAAAAATTTTGGTGCGTCGACGCTGGAGCTTTTATACATTGTTCTTGGTCGGTACACGACTCGTAGTCCTACTATTTCTCTTCTCTATGCTTCGATCGTGTATAATTCGTAAATAACTCTTTTTTTCGTTCTAGCCCTAGAAATCAGAATCACATTCATATCAAACGTATCCTTGCGGGTGAATATGTGGTGCATCCCACATTGCGGACATAGACTTTTTGCTGCTTCTTACAGTGAGCAGCGATTAGCCCTATTCCAGTAGGCGAACCCTGTCTGAAATTGAAAGAACCGCTAGTAACGAATCCAACAAGGTTTTCCATGCTGACATTTTTGGTCACCTCGTAAATTCGAGCATTATCTCTAATTGTTCCTTTTCCAATTAGTTCTAGATGTACCTGCACCACGGGAAGGGCAGGAAACTTGGACACATCAGGCTTGTAAGTGCCCTCAACTATTGCCCTGTGAGTTGGATCGGCACGACTAAAGAGGGCGATAGGACTGTCTTTTTCTGACTCTGGCCTTGTGTTGGCAATCACTAGTGCCAAATCGTCTGTGTTCTTAATAATGCGCACGCGTTCTTCAGTAAACTCACCATGGGCAGCAACGCTGTCCTTTCTATCAATTAATTTCATGCCAAAAATCCACTTCCGAAGGAAAAACCAATCGCAGCCGAGTTGTAAGCGTCCTTCAACTTTCATCGGTGCTTGTTTACTTAAAGGAAGTTTTGCGCGGGCAGCTTGCGTAGCCGCTTCAAGTAGCAAGTGCTCTTTGTAACCCTCGAATAGATAAGGAAAATCATGTGGGTACGTTGCAATGCCACGCTCAAAGTTGATCTGGTGCTCCTGTCTCATTCCAGCGGTTTTGATGCTCTTCACCTGCACCAACTTGCTCCACACTGGCTGGACCCAAAACCACGGCATGTTCACGCACCAGGTCCCGTTTGCCATTTTATAGATGAGTACGGGAAGTTTGGATGCGCCGTGGATATGTGTAGAAGACGGGTCGTGGTTAGCGAATTCTTTGCCCAATTGTTTCAACGAGTACATATTGTCGTATGAAGCAGTGCGGCCCTCAGACAGTAAAAGGGAAGAGAGGACAGAAGGTTCCACAAAACGCTGGTTCTCGAAAAGAAAGTCTCCGCCTCGCTTGCTGCTTGGTGGTGGATTCACTGGATGCTTCCAGAAGCGGGGGTCTTTTGCAAAAAAACAAAACACTGTCCCTATTGGAATATTCAGTGAGTCTGCCACTTGCGAACACCATCTCCAGGCATCAGAAACTGCGGCCGACGCCAGTTCAAGATGCAACACTTTGGCTAATGACTGTAATGCTGTGGGCCCGTGTAGTTGGATACTTCCGAGAGCAAAGCGAGAGTCGATTGTTGTTACACCTTCTGGGGCCCATTCCACAACTTTGGAAAAGAAATCTTCATAGACACTAGGATGGACCCTAACAAGAATCTTTTTGAGAGGTAAATCCACCACAACAGTTCCTAACGCAAACTTCTTATCGTCCACATAGATCCAGTCATTGTATACTTTCAGTCCCAAAAGCCATTCAGGAACAGGACTGTTGTACTTCGTAAATGTTGTCAACCATGCACATAGAGACTCGGTTGTGGGGAATTCCGTAATGAATTCTCCATAGTACGATGTCTCGTAAGCCAAGGTAGCTTGCTTAGCAGCTCTACTTGTTGATCTGAAGCATTTTTGGTTGGGGCTGAATGGAATCTGAAATCCCCATCTTTTCATCATGTGAAACCTCTTTGCGTGCCAGATATGCGTAGGGCACCATGTAAATTCTTTCTGTCTATGAGCAAACTTCATGTTCCCCGATGGTTTGGGTGCCAAAGCATTTGTTGCACAAATATCATGGGCCCCAACCTTATTGTTGAGAGAAACTGTTCGTTTTTTTCTCGATTCGTCAATCTGTTTATTCAAAATCTTGATTTTCTCTTGAACAGACGTACCCTGAACCCTTGGAAGCTCCTTCATTTCCTTTATCTTCGATGCCAACCGTAAAAGCCTTTTCTGCATCTTCAAACGGTACAATTCTCGTCCACGTAAGTGGGGTTTTTTGTCTGGTGTCCCTGAGACCGAGTTCTGCATTTCTCTGAGAGCTTTATTTCTCAATCGCTTAGGAATCCTCTTCACATTGTGCGAAGCTGTTCTTCTTCGAAGTGTCCTAGGTAAACTCTGAAATACTCGTGTTGATGTGGCATATTTTGTGTTGAGCTGTGATTGTTCAAATGCTCTGATTTCGTACTCACGAGACGATAGAAATTGAGAAACATCTAGAACACCATCTTTCACTGCAGGGTCTACAGACTCTGACCGGATAGCCCTGCTGTTATAAAGCTTTGTCTTTTTGGAATTAGGTGGGGGCTTTGGGGGCATGTATAGTCAAGAATGAATGATATAGGATGGAAAATACTCATCGCGACTTTCATACCGTAGTTTCGATAGTTCTATGCGACACAAATTGGTCCCCACATTGAATACACTTTTAACCAATTGGCTTGCATTACTGTGGTCAACGAATCTTCTACTTAGTTGTTTATATGATGTTTGTTGTTATACTATGCACTGGAGAAAAAAATGAATCCCTATAAAATAATACATCTAGTAATATGATGCGGTATACAATGTTGGTAGATGCGTATGTTCTCTCTGCCACTCTGTTAGTATCTTCATGATGTTATCTTCCAATAAAACTGGGTATTGGTCTTCATCACCTTCGTCTATTTTCCTTTGCTTCTCTTTTTCACGATATTCATCAATCATCTTGACTAATCTTACAATGCCTTTGCCACCAATTTTAGCATTCTCATTATCATCTTTAATGTCGATATTGATGATGTGCACCACCTTCCGGACATCTTTTTCTTCTGCATCTTCGGACTTATTGTTCATACGATTCATCAAGTCTTCCACTACCGAATCGAAACATCTCTCTTCGCATGTAATGACAAGGTCAAACTTTCCAGCATTTGCATTGTTGTGCCACTTTTCGGGTGCTTTCTTCACATGCCTGTTCCTGTCCAACATTGATATCAACCCATTAGCCTCGTACATTTTCCTGTATTCCTGAGACAACAAATCCTGGTAGATGGTCTCATAAGGTGTGCCAAATTCGTAGATATTCGGTCTGTCTATTGATGGTCCGGGAAGTTTGACTGAAGATCCTGTTCCGAAAGAGCTGACATCAAAACCAGCATCCTTTAACTGTTTATGGGACTCCATAGAACGGTTATTATTTGATGCACATACTGTGCATACTTTTAAGCTGTCCGCCACCATTGAATGTGATGAATAGGGAGAGAAGTATTTTAATGTTTTGACTCTGAAAGTTAGTCTGATACAGTCTACTAGTTAAGTTGAATGAGTAGTGCGCGCTCCCAGTTCAGAAATAATCCATACATTGAAAAGATTCAAATTGAAAACAAGCCATACTGTAGGTACCTGCCCTTGTAAGGCCGTCTGGATTTTGAGGCTAAATGATGTTATAAAACTTCGTACTTTCCCAACAATATCTATGCAGACCCACAGAATCTGGTGTAATTTGCCTTTCCTCATCTTGCACATAGGGCTCATTGATTTCTACGAAATCATCAATATCAGGATCCAGGTGGATTCTGAGCTCACTTGGACAAAATCTTCTCTATAGTCAGACGTTGGTGGCTGTAGAATTCGAGAATTCTCCATAAAGTGAATGATTTTGTTTTCTTTGACAACACGTCTCTTTGAAGTCAAAGGTAGTCATCGTAAGTCATTTGATTAACACTCCAGCAAGCATTGAGGGGATCAAGATTTGAAATTGATAATGTTTGGAACTTGCTTGTGTGGTATGTTCCGGGGTCTGATGAAGCTGCCTGTAAATTGTGAGGATCTAGGTAAAGAAGATTCGAGCCCTGGAATCCAAAGAAGTAGTAACTGGAAGAAGGTTTCCCACCGGCAATTCCCACAGACTGTTTTAAAGCGAGCAATTGCAAGAGACTGGGATAATAGATAGAGTTGATTTTGTCGATACCGAGTCGAAGAGGGAACAATATCAAAAGAGGAGATTCGCTCTCCTCAAAAATCCCCCTGATCTCCTCATCATACAAGTTGCAACTCTCGCATATGGACACATTGATGTTCGGTATCTCATTTGATTCGAATTTGGCGCAAAGCCTTTTGATAGACAAAGATGCAGCACTTGGGCCAAACCATTCACCGGGTTTAACTTTTAATGGCAGAGCCGATGCAACCTTGATGAAGTTGTGCAATGAAAAGGGACAGGTGTAATCGTCCCCAAATAACTGAATTATTTTTTCAACTTTTTCCGGAGCACTTTGGATTGCTTGGGGACTTTGGTGGTCTCTTCCTAGGATCAACATTTGGAGAGCATTTGCCAATAAAGACTGGGAAGTTCGGATCATACAGCCCCACCCTACATCAGTAGAGTAATTTTGGTTATCGAATAAGCCTCCCAAAGCCATACTCGGCCTCACATTGAAGATCATGGACTTCAAAAACGCCAACGGACTAGGCCCATCTTCCGCTTTTTGTATGGGCTCAAACCCTGCTCGGTACGTGAACCATAATCTTGAATTTATGACTGGGTAAATTTCTTCCAAGGGGAATCGGTTGCCTAGAATCGTGACATCAGAACTACCTAACTGTTCCAGTTCTGTTGATTGGACCCTGTTCCACCATTGTGCTATGGTGTTCTGCAAAAGTTGAACCTGAGCTTCGATGGCATTCCCATCTTCTTGATTATCGGATGTCATAAGGTCAGTGGCCCGACTTATCTTGTGTTGTAATAGTTTGGTCGACGGTAGTTGGAAGTGCTATATTGAATTGCCTTTCGCTTGAGAGGCTATTATGTCAGGGGAGTGCACAAACTTCTTCCTTATCTCTGCCTTTATCTCGTCTTGATCTATAAGTTTATACAACTTAATAATAAATAAATACAAAACAAACTCTCTCGAATAGATAGGGAAATGGATATATGTGAATTGGGTTTTTTTTTTTCCTTGATTCACATTTTCACCTGGGCCCTGGATTTCTGGTAGGGTTAACAAGTTTC